AGTTTACTGCTGACATGGGCTGTGTGTCACATAGTTTACTGCTGACATGGGCTGTGTGTCACATAGTTTACTGCTGACTTTGGCTGTGTGTCACATAGTTTACTGCTGACATGGGCTGTGTGTCACATAGTTTACTATTGACATGGGCTGTGTGTCATTTACTGCTGACATGGGCTGTGTGTCACATAGTTTACTGCTGACATAGGCTGTGTGTCATTTACTGCTGACATGGGCTGTGTGTCACATAGTTTACTGCTGACATGGGCTGTGTGTCACATAGTTTACTGCTGACTTTGGCTGTGTGTCACATAGTTTACTGCTGACATAGGCTGTGTGTCATTTACTGCTGACATGGGCTGTGTGTCATTTACTGCTGACATGGGCTGTGAGTCACATAGTTTACTGCTGACATTGGCTGTGTGTCACATAGTTTACTGCTGACATGGGCTGTGTGTCATTTCCTGCTGACATGGGCTGTGTGTCACATAGTTTACTGCTGACATGGGCTGTGTGTCACATAGTTTACTGCTGACATGGGCTCTGTGTCATTTACTGCTGACATGGGCTGTGTGTCACATAGTTTACTGCTGACATGGGCTGTGTGTCACATAGTTTACTGCTGACATGGGCTGTGTGTCACATAGTTTACTGCTGACATGGGCTGTGTGTCACATAGTTTACTGCTGACATGGGCTGTGTGTCACATAGTTTAATGCTGACATGGGCTGTGTGTCACATAGTTTACTGCTGACATGGGCTGTGTGTCACATAGTTTACTACTGACATGGGCTGTGTGTCACATAGTTTAATGCTGACATGGGCTGTGTGTCACATAGTTTACTGCTGACATGGGCTGTGTGTCACATAGTTTAATGCTGACATGGGCTGTGTGTCATTTACTGCTGACATGGGCTGTGTGTCACATAGTTTACTGCTGACATGGGCTGTGTGTCACATAGTTTACTGCTGACATAGGCTGTGTTTCATTTACTGCTGACATGGGCTGTGTGTCACATAGTTTACTGCTGACATGGGCTGTGTGTCACATAGTTTACTGCTGACATGGGCTGTTTGTCACATAGTTTACTGCTGACATGGGCTGTGTGTCACATAGTTTACTGCTGACATGGGCTGTGTGTCACATAGTTTAATGCTGACATGGGCTGTGTGTCACATAGTTTACTGCTGACATGGGCTGTGTGTCACATAGTTTACTACTGACATGGGCTGTGTGTCACATAGTTTAATGCTGACATGGGCTGTGTGTCACATAGTTTACTGCTGACATGGGCTGTGTGTCACATAGTTTAATGCTGACATGGGCTGTGTGTCACATAGTTTACTGCTGACATGACGAAGTATGTTTTCCAAATACGTAAGATTTAATATCGTTGTCAACTTTTTTTTTTAAATGAAATGTTAAAAGTGAAAAAAAAAATTAATTACATCAACCTAGCAGTTGTCACTTGTAAGATAAAACCCAGTGAACAAAACAAATAAATCAAACAAATTAAAAAATCTTAAATTTTGTGTGACGTTCTATTTGGTCTGACAAGGTGAACAAAATCTAGGCTACTCGAGATATCCCGGCAACTTTGGGCTACAAATGCAGTTCAATGTAATCCATGGGATAAAAACTAAAGCGAGATACCAACAGCTCCCCAGGGGGAGGCGTGAATTTAAAATAACCCCAGTCATCCATTAGCTGAAGATGTTCACACACACACTTTAAATTCTATTGCCGTTTTCTTGTAATTGAAAAGATAAATCTAACAGTAGGCTACTTACACTACACCTTATTTTAGAAGTTCTAATGATAAACCAAGCATTTAAACAATACACACCACAAACCTAACTCGATCATAACTTAATCTAATCCGAAGTCCGAAAACCTCACGGATCGTACATAGATCACGTTACGTTTTTCACCTCACAGCCCACCCCCAACCTATTTTATACATTCTCAAAATCTGAGACCCACGCCCCTAAAATGTACGCTGAAATCTCCATGTTCGTTAGAGAGCAGATCACCTTTTGAATCTTTTTGATACAACATTGTATTAGTCCATAACAGCTCGTGTGGACGGTAGAGCACCCGAAACTTTTTATTTCTTATTTCTGATGCCGTTAAATGTCCATGAGTCCTCCCCCCCCCCCTCCCCCCATTATAGGTACCCCATTACCCCTTTAAATACCGCGAACAGAAACCTGCCCGTTTGACTTATTGCCCAACAACAACTGTGAGACACTTTCTGTGTTGATGCCCCGCTTCAAGAGACATCGTGTAACATGTTGGCTTGTCAACCTTGCTAAAAGCTAAAACAGATCTACATAATGTATTGAATCAAAATTGGGTCAGGTTTTCTGTAGCTGCATCATTCAAAATGTGTTTTGAAAAAAAAAATTAGAATGCGTTAGGTCTAATCGGCAACTACAGACCTTGTGGATCCAAGTCCTTTCAATGAACAGCGTTCTGCCTGAATAAAAACGGTTGTATCGAAGTATCAACAACGTTGGTTTGCCCGTTTTAACGTAGCGTATTCATGGTCTCAACGAATTGAAATAAGTGTCAGCAAGTGCGAAGCAAAAATGTCAAGTGCTTTTGTCTTGGTTACTTTTGTCGTTTAAAGAACAAAATATGTTATTCAATACATAGTCTGTTGTGATACATTAATAACAGTTTTATTGACTGTAAGTTCAAATAATATTACAGCTATGCCCCCCCCCCAGCTAAACACCGCGTTGAGCCCCGCGTTCAACCCCAGCGGTGTGGGACGTAGTACAGCTCTGAAAACACAAACTACAGGCAATCGGACCAGAGTACAGCTTCAAGTTAGCGACCGTTGAACCTGTGTTGACATCTGAATGTCACGGTGACAAGATGTTGGTGTTATATTGACATCTAAATGCCACAATGACAACACGTTGTGGCATCTGATGGTCTTAAGCTGACAGGAACGAAACAAAATAAAATAAAACAAATATTTTTAAAAAAAACTTTATAGCTTCAAGCTTTTAAGTTCACTGAAAATAATAAAATAAAACTAGTCTGCTTTCTTTCATGAAAAGCTTTGGTCGCTCATGAGAACTTTTACATATTTTAGTGACCAAAGCAGATTAGTTTTTAATCTTACTACCTCCCTTTAGTTTCAAATCGTTTCAAAACTTAATTATCTGCACAGGTCACCAGGCTTTTAGGTTGATCGTCTCTAGAGAGGTATCTCCACTTCTGTTATTGAATATAGTAATCTATCGAGTTATTAATTGTGTTACCTTCTTTTAGTTTCTAAACCGCTTAACTAATTTTTAATGACTGATTAAACGTCCCATTAAATTTAAAAATGTATTGTCATCGAAGTGGAACGTATCTGGACAGTTTGAACGAAATCGCCGCAGTAGAAGTGGGTCAAAATTAAGCTACAAGATTTGCCACAAACCCATAAACAGACGTTACTAAATTAAAGCTTGTAAAAAAGGGGACCTCACTGTTGGTGTAAGATCAGACGATAAAGTGCCACTATTCCTCTTTTTCAATGCGGGTAGGACGAGATGAATGTCTTGATAGAGCTGGTAGAGCCACTGCAGTAACTCAATATGTCTCAAAGATTTTTCCTTTAACCAGAAGATAGGGTTATAAATAGTTTTAGTTTATTAAAATCCTGACGTCTGTGCACAAGAGCCGTCAGAATGAACAGTAAAGACGTTTTAAAATGAGCCAATATTAGCCTTTTTCTGGTTATACTTTATGTGTGCATCAGTCTTTTTCGCTATTTTATAAGATGTGTAAAACAATGTGTTTTGTTGCTGGTCATCTAAACTATTCTTGGTCTTTGAAATACCCGGAAGAAAGAAGTTTCAGCCGCTCTACATAAAAACAAGAACGACAGTCTTTTGGTTTCTTTTCACCAATGGCTAATGGGAAAACCAAAATAATCCCGACCCCAGACAGGTTGGGGGGGGGGGGGGATTTGACAGCCTCATCCAGATAGGTGTGTGTGTGGGGGGGGGGGGGGGTCCTAGTCTCCGAAATAGGTGGGGGTGTTGGCATTCTCTCCTCATAACGTCCCTGGCGAGTAATTAGAATATAACGACGCCCTTTCTTTTGGGCCTCTACGACATTTGACCACACGGTAGAAATAACATAATGGACCATGATCAGTAACAGCGCCGTTTGCCCAACGTAACTTGTGTTTACGTCTCTTAATCTACTCACTGGGATGTTTACGTCTCTTAATCTACTCACTGGGATGTTTACGTCTCTTAATCTACTCACTGGGATGTTTACGTCTCTTAATCTACTCACTGGGATGTTTACATCTCTTAATCTACTCACTGGGATGTTTACGTCTCTTAATCTACTCACTGGGATGTTTACGTCTCTTAATCTACTCACTGGGATGTTTACGTCTCTTAATCTACTCACTGGGATGTTTACGGTCAGACTTGAAGCATGCTAACATTAAGATTTTTCATTTTAAAATGAGTTATTGGGAAATTTTTTTGATTCAATAATGTTTCATTTTTAGATGAAATAATGATGTTACACTTAGATAAAATGATTATTTTACATTTAGATGAAATGATGATGTTACAATTAGATGAAATGATAATTTTACATTTAGATGAAGAGATTATTTTACATTTAGATAAAATGATAATGTTACATTTAGATAAAATGATGATGTAACAATTAAATAAAATGAAGATATTGCCATTACATAAAATGATGTTGTCCTTAGAAAAAATGAAGATGTTGCCATTAGATAAAATGATGATGTTGCCATTAGATAAAATGATGTTGTCATTAGAAAAAATGAAGATGTTGCCATTAGATAAAATGATGATGTTGCCATTACATAAAATTATGTTGTCCTTAGAAAAAATGATGATGTTGTCATTAGAAAAAATGAAGATGTTGTCTTTAGAAAAAATGATGATGTTGCCATAAGATAAAATGAAGATGTTGCCATTACATAAAATGATGTAACATTACAGATTGTCCAGAGGATTGGGTCAGCAACGATGTGTTTTGTTACCAGTTTGCGAGCGACACACCGGCGACCTACGACCGTGCCAGGGACACTTGTAATGTAAGTCTCAACTGGCTCAACAGCTCATTCTTTATTTTAAATATTAGCCCACTTTTACATATCTGTATTTAATAGATGGAACGACTTTTATATATCTGCATTTGATAGATGTAGCAACTTTTATATATCTGCATTTGATAGATGTAGCAACTTTTATATATCTGCATTTGATAGATGTAGCAACTTTTATATATCTGCATTTAATAGGTGTAGCAACTTTTATATATCTGTATTTGATAAATGTACCAACTAGCATATATCTGTATTTAATAGATGTAGCAACTTTTATTTATCTGTATTTAATAGATGTAGCAACTTTTATTTATCTGTATTTAATAGATGTAGCAACTCTAGCCTTTCAACAGTGGAAGTCCAAGTCTAACGAGTCAACGGTTAATTGAGGGATTCGTGATAATGATATAGCCCAATTGTTTCACACCTAATATTGTTTTGTCCAATTGTTTCACACCTAATATTGTTGTGTCCAATTGTTTCACACCTAATATTGTTGTGTCCAATTGTTTCACACCTAATATTGTTTTGTCCAATTGTTTCACACCTAATATTGTTTTGTCCAATTGTTTCACACCTAATATTGTTGTGTCCAATTGTTTCACACCTAATATTGTTTTGTCCAATTGTTTCACACCTAATATTGTTGTGTCCAATTGTTTCACACCTAATATTGTTTTGTCCAATTGTTTCACACCTGATATTGTTGTGTCCAATTGTTTCACACCTAATATTGTAAGACACAAACGTTTAGTGTGTACCAATATTGTAAGACACAAACGTTTAGTGTGTACCAATATTGTAAGACACAAACGTTTAGTGTGTACCAATATTGTAAGACACAAACGTTTAGTGTGTACCAATATTGTAAGACACAAACGTTTAGTGTGTACCAATATTGTAAGACACAAACGTTTAGTGTGTACCAATATTGTAAGACACAAACGTTTAGTGTGTACCAATATTGTAAGACACAAACGTTTAGTGTGTACCAATATTGTAAGACACAAACGTTTAGTGTGTACCAATATTGTAAGACACAAACGTTTAGTGTGTACCAATATTGTAAGACACAAACGTTTAGTGTGTACCAATATTGTAAGACACAAACGTTTAGTGTGTACCAATATTGTAAGACACAAACGTTTAGTGTGTACCAATATTGTAAGACACAAACGTTTAGTGTGTACCAATATTGTAAGACACAAACGTTTAGTGTGTACCAATATTGTAAGACACAAACGTTTAGTGTGTACCAATATTGTAAGACACAAACGTTTAGTGTGTACCAATATTGTAAGACACAAACGTTTAGTGTGTACCAATATTTACCCTGTGTGTAGACCGTGTAAGAAGTGTTGTATTGCATGTATGTGTAATGAGCCGTGCTAACGGCTACGGTTGCTTACATCTGTACACACCCGGCTGATCACGGCTAACTGTTCACAGCTACATGGCGCCGGGGTGCTGAGTGTTGAAACGGCCGCAGAGAGTTCTTTCATCTCGGGCTGGCTACAGAAGAACGACCCGCAACAGTAAGACACGTTAAGACATGGATTAGCACCACGGGTGGTTGGGTTTGGGGGTGGTGGGAGGGGCGGGTGATAACAATCGTTTTATTGTGAAGGTTGGAATTAACTCGGTTGTCTGGGAGGGGGGGGGGGTGTACACTCTAGTCAGACATCTGTGCTAGGATGGAGGTAGGTATAGAAGAGGGGGGGGGGGGGGGGTTTACAATTCTCTAGGTCACACCAATTTTACTTATTCTGGTTCTTAATAAAAAGACTGCATCTAACTCTGATGTTATTATCCTTAAGAAATGTTTTACTGAAGCGAATAATAAAGCTGTATTAGTAAATTATAAATAAATAAAAATGGTAATAAAACTGCTAATGTTAGTAGACATTGAACACAATTACAGGTACAATGGACGGTTCGATGAAATATCCTGTGCATCTAATCCACTTCCATACCTCCCTCCTTACACCACGTCCTTTATCTGCCTTCATCGCGCGTTTTTTTTTTCGGATATTGTGGCATTTAGACAAGACGTGTTTTCACTGTCAAGCTAAGTTCAAAATTATCTTACTGCCTTATTGTCGGGTCTTAGCCACGCTGTTGTGTGCTGTGGAAGACCGGTAAACGAAAAAAAAGTCACAGGAAAAAAAAACACAGAAAAAAAGTCACAGTTTTTGCTAGGAAAAAAAGTCACAGAAAAAAAGTCACAGTGGAAAAATTTTATCGGAAAAAAAGTCACAGAAATAAAGTCACAGAAAAAAAGTCACAAAAATCCTTTTTAGAAATATTTTGATTTATTTGTTAGGAATTGTAAAATTTTGTATGTTTATTGTTGAGGGTTGTATTTTTGATAGCATAAATTATTTATAGACGTTAAAAGCATTATGGTTTATAACAATTGTAAGTAAAAAATACTCTAAGATAATTTACACAACAATCTCAACTTTTGCTACGTATTTAGTGAAATACGCGGTAGAAAAGTTTATAAAAGAAATTTAAGCAAATTTTGCCGTAGGCTATTCTCTGGTCGGCCTCACATCAGTAGGCATTGTCCGAACATATTTTGTGTTGTTGACGTTATGCGTCAATGACAGCCTTTGAACCTTGTCGGCTTTCTGTTTGATCCTAAGTTTAGTTATGTAATGAGCGTGATAAATGTGGGCAGTAAAGGTGGTTGAACTGAGCGTAACTATTGTTGCCATGAGTTGAGGACAGCAAGTCAGATGAACTTACCATTTCACGGTAATTTAATGTTGGTATTTTAAAAAAAAAACACGATGAAAACCGTGGACATTGGAGCATTCTATTAAATGCTACTAATCTTAAGTTTAAAATAATTACAATCTACATACTTCTTACTAAATATTTTTAGATGAATTATAAAAATTACTATGCGTATACAGCCTACACGCATTACATTAAATTTAAATAATCCTAAGTTAATTTGCACTCACTAAATATTTAATGCATAAAAGTATTACCAAATATCAAGCAAATATATATTTGTGACTTTTTTTTCCTGTGACTTTTTTTCCTGTGACTTTTTTTCCTGTGACTTTTTTTCTGTGTTTTTTTTTCCTGTGTTTTTTTTTCCTGTGACTTTTTTTCCTACAATCGGAAGACCTTGGGTCGAAATGTCCATCGTACTTGTCTTTAATTTGTGAGGATACTAACACTGCCCGTTTTATTTTAATTATATTATCCTCAATTCGTTATATCCTCAAAATATTATCCGAAATTTTTATCCTCTAAACATTATCCTAAATTTTTATCCTCTAAACATTATCCTAAATTCTTGTTTAGTGTTCCTAACCTCGTGTCTGAGCATTTGTTTATTTCACCAGACACCAATGGTACACCAGCGGTATTTTAGATACGTCCCAGCCAAAACAGAAATTTTTTGTCTGGGATTCAACAGGAAATGCTATAGACACAACTCTCTTGGACACTCTAATGGTGCAACGTCCGAACATGTCGCTTGACTCAGGGGTCATCATCTACACACAAGGAGGTTCGTTTGGTTTTAGGTCGGGTGTCCGTGGTTGGTCTGTGTGTCCGGTGACATTTTGTTGTCCGTGTGTCCGGTGACATTTTGTTGTACGTGTGTCCGGTGTCATTTTGTTGTACGTGTGTCCGGTGACATTTTGTTGTACGTGTGTCCGGTGTCATTTTGTTGTACGTGTGTCCGGTGTCATTTTGTTGTACGTGTGTCCGGTGTCATTTTGTTGTACGTGTGTCCGGTGTCATTTTGTTGTACGTGTGTCCGGTGTCATTTTGTTGTACGTGTGTCCGGTGTCATTTTGTTATCTGTGTGTCCGGTGACATTTTGTTGTCCGTGTGTCCGGTGTCATTTTGTTGTCTGTGTGTCCGGTGACATTTTGTTGTCCGTGTGTCCGGTGTCATTTTGTTGTACGTGTGTCCGGTGACATTTTGTTGTCCGTGTGTCCGGTGTCATTTTGTTGTCCGTGTGTCCGGTGTCATTTTGTTGTCCGTGTGTCCGGTGTCATTTTGTTGTCTGTGTGTCCGGTGACATTTTGTTGTCCGTGTGTCCGGTGTCATTTTGTTGTCCGTGTGTCCGGTGTCATTTTGTTGTCTGTGTGTCCGTTTATGGCTTGTATGTCATGTGTCTGTATGTGGTCTGTGTCCGTGTGTTTTGTGTACCGGGATAAGTTATCCTCAATCACTGGATCATGACATTGGGGCAAATGGGTATATTTAGCAGAAATCGTGTTTTGAATCACAGGTGATCCCTGTGTAAAACCATATAGAGAAGATAAAACTGAACAGGATAAGAAATAAAGCAACCCAGCGTTTATTGGATCTCTCGAACAAGGAGATTTTTAAGTCTTAAAATATTATGACGTTGTAACTACTTGTCTCTATAGACTACTGGGACATGTATAGACTAGACTATTGGGACATGTATAGACTACTGGCACATGTATAGACTGCTGGGACATGTATAGACTAGACTACTGGGACATGTATAGGGTACTGGGACATGTATAGACTACTGGGATATGTATAGAATACTGGGACATGTGTAGGCTACTGGCACATGTATAGACTACTGGGACATGTATAGATTACTGGGACATGTATAGACTACTGGGACATGTATAGACTACTTGGACATGTATAGACTATTAAGACATGTATAGACTACTAGGACATGTATAGACTATGGGACATGTAAAGACTATTGGGACATTTATAGACTATTGGGACATGTATAGACTACTGGGACATGTATAGGCTACTGGGATATGTATAGATTACTAGGACATGTATAGACTACTGGCACATGTATAGACTACTGGGAAATGTATAGACTACTGGGACATGCATAGACTACTGGGACATGTATAGACTAATAGGACATGCATAGACTACTGGGACATGTATAGACTACTGGGACATGTATAGACTAATAGGACATGCATAGACTACTGGGACATGTATAGACTACTGGGACATGTATAGACTACTGGGACATGTATAGACTACTGGGACATGTATAGACTACTGGGACATGTATAGACTACTGGGACATGTATAGACTAATAGGACATGCATAGACTACTGGGACATGTATAGACTACTGGGACATGTATAGACTACTGGGACATTTATAGACCACTAAACTATGTATAAACTACTAAATATGGGGATGAGTGGTTAAATGACACATGTCGTTTTTAAGAAAATGTTTTCTCCTATATACAGCGACTGGTCCAGGGTGGTTGTTTACAAACCGAACAATGGCCAGGGCTTACATCTGTAAAATTCCACGGGCGGAGGCTTACAGGATCGTTCTCTCTAACCGAGGCTTTGGTAAGTTACGTGTGTCCTACATGACTGTCCTCTCTAGTCGAGGCTTTGGTAAGTTCCGTGTGTCCTACATGACTGTCCTCTCTAGTCGAGGCTTTGGTAAGTTCCGTGTGTCCTACATGACTGTCCTCTCTAGTCGAGGCTTTGGTAAGTTACGTGTGTCCTACATGACTGTCCTCTCTAGTCGAGGCTTTGGTAAGTTACGTGTGTCCTACAGGACTGTCCTCTCTAGTCGAGGCTTTGGTAAGTTACGTGTTTCCTACAGGACTGTCCTCTCTAGTCGAGGCTTTGGTAAGTTACGTGTGTCCTAAAGGACTGTCCTCTCTAGTCGAGGCTTTGGTAAGTTACGTGTGTCCTACAGGACTGTCCTCTCTAGCCGAGGCTTTGGTAAGTTACGTGTTCAACAGGACCCCTCCCCTCTATCATCAAATGTGTATTTATGGGGGTGTGCGCGCTTTTAGAGTTGTTTGCTTCCAATGTTGACATTATTTCAGCAATGAAAGTGACTTTATAAAAGGCTATGGGGTAAGGGGACTTAATATAATATATGCGCATGGAAAGGCTTTATCATTGATACTAAGGTATGGTTTGAGCTGAATGTTAGCTCTGGGGTATGGTTTGAGCTGAATGTTAGCTCTGGGGTTGGGTTCGAGCTAAATGTTAGCTCTAGGTTTGGGTTTGGGGGATAGGCACTTGAAACTTCCGGGGGAGCATGTAAAATTTCTGGAGGGGGGCGGGCGGACACGATACTTTTCTATTTGGATAACATATTTTTTATTTCGTCCGATGGCTGAGGGTGGGGTGGGGGTGGACTTTTTTTGTGACCCCCACCCCCGGAGAGATGCCTGAAAGAAACCATGGTCGGGTGGTCGGGTTACATTAAGGCTAAGATTGGGTGATTGTTACTGGCTAGTTCATAGCCGTGTTTGGTTTGTCGTCGATGCTTAAGTTAGGTTAGATGTCAACTTAGATTTTCACCAAGTAGATCAAATATGTGGTCATCCGTTTATGACATCAACAATTTGTTTTTAATTATTTTAGCTCTCCCTCCCCACCAAAACTGTTGGGGGTGGGATGATAAGCAGAGTTTTTAGAAACTACTTAAATAGACGTGTGCACTGTTTCTTGTAGATTACGGGATCGAAGGCGCCGACATGAAAAATTTAGAAACTGGTCCATTTTTTATCGAGCAACCAAACAGTGTGGTGGTTGTCAGCCAGGTCGAGGATGTGGTTGTCGAATGTCTGGCCACTGGCAACCCGCTCCCTGTCTACAAGTGGTTTAGGGGAGCCAACCTTGACCAGGAGGTCACAGAAAACACGGACCCCAGGTAGGCAGGTGGCTTACACTTGAGGCCCTTCTCTCTTTTTCCTTCTCTCTATCTCTCACTTTATTCCACCCTCTCTCTCTCTCCCCTCTCTCTCTCCTTCTCTCTCTTTCCTTCTCTTCCTCTCTCTCTCTCTCTCTCTCTATATATATATATATATATATCCTTCTTTCTCCTTCTTTCCTTCTCTCTATCTTTCCTTCTCTCTTTCTCTCTTTCTCTGGATGCAGGCATATGAATGTTCGGTGTTAATTTCCCAAACACAAAATTAAAATAAACCGGGAGTGATCTCCCCTAAACTTTCTCGAATATTTTTATATAAAATAACAGGGGATGGGAACTCGGGCTATAGACATGATTTTTAATCCATTTTAAATACTTAAAGTTTTAAAAATAGAATAAAATCTCGTAGACAAAAGAATTGCACACCAAGTGAACGCTAAATAAAAAAGTGCATAATAGTGCGCAATATTATTAGTACTTTAAAAATTTACATTAGTTTTTTGAGAAATCGGAAGTAGCGTAAATTACTACTTCCGTTCAACGGAAATGACTCAAAATTTAACAGAAGGTAGAGAATTAGATCTTTTACTTACATGTGAAATTTCGTTTATCTATCTGAAATAGTACTCAAGTTATAGGCTTTTGAAAATTTCAAAGTAGGAAAAGTACCACTTCCGGTTATCGGAAATCGCTCAAAAGTTGATAAGGATCTACGATTTTGATAAAATACTTATATATGAAATTTCATCAACCTAGCTGTAACGGTACTCAAGTTATCGTGTTTACACACACACACACACACACACAGACAGACAGACACACAGACAGACACACAGACATACGGACAAGATTGCAAAATTATGTTTTTCCGTATCAGTGAGATGTAAATCTCGATTATTTTTTTTGCACGATTACAATACTTTCTCTATACTTCGTATATACGAGAAAGTAAAAATGACCTACAGAAACATGACGGCATGTTTGTGTTGTTACAGCCATAAAACTTGATTTCAAATTGGTGCCAGATAACACTGCAACGTCGGATTGTTTATACTTACGTTTGTTTGTAGTCAAGTTAATTAAATGATTGTAGTTACATAAAGTTGATTGTACATAAAGTTGATTGTTTGAGTACAGATACATAACGTTGATTGTACATAAAGTTGATTGTATGACTGCAGGTACACACTGACCAACGGGAAACTGACCATATCGTCACCCAGTGAAAGATTAGATGGCAACAACTATCGATGTACAGCTGAAAACAAATTCGGAAAAATTATCAGCAACACGATTGAGATCGCTTTCGGATGTGAGTTGTTGCTATCTACTAGATGTTTAACCTCGGTAATAATACAATTAACCAGATCAAAAATAAAATGGCGCCTAGCAATTAATTGAGATATATGGCATAGATTTTAAAATTTACTTCCAAAAATTGTTTCTCAGTTCTCGGCGAGTTCAATAACGTACAAGACGCTGGAACACGGGGGAAGGCTTTTGAAGGCGCCACAGTTGAGTGCAGCAAGATTCGATACAAGCCAGGTACATCACCTTAACTCTTACAAAAACATTGAGTACATACCAGGTACATCGCTCTAACTCTTACAAAAACATTGAGTACATGCCAGGTATATCGCTCTAACTCTTACAAAAACATAGAGTACATGCCAGGTACATCACTCTAACTCTTAAAAAAACATTGAGTACATACCAGGTACATCACTCTAACTCTTACAAAAACATTAAGTACATACCAGGTACATCGCTCTAACTCTTACAAAAACATTAAGTACATTCCAGGTACAACTCTTACAAAAACATTAAGTACATACCAGGTACGTCGCTCTAACTCTTACAAAAACATTGAGTACATTCCAGGTACAACTCTTACAAAAACATTGAGTACATACGAGGTACAACTCTTACAAAAACATTGAGTACATGCCAGGTACAACTCTTACAAAAACATTAAGTACATACCAGGTACAAACTTTTCAAAATCATTGAGTACATATCAGGCAAGGGCGTAGCGAGGGGGGGGGGGGTGCGGACCGCACCGGGTGACACCATTTAGGGGGGTGACACCAAGGCAAAAAATAGCAAAATAATTAAAGAAAAACTTGAGGGAGGCGGGGGGATGCAAATCGAAAGTTTGAAGGGGGGGGGGGTGCAAATCGAAAATTTGAAAGTAATACGAGAGCCCGTGTTTTATCTTTTAAAACTTGAACTTTAATATATTAGACTATAGGTTTAAGTTCTTGCTAGATTATAATGTTTTATTCGTGCCTCCAAGTTTTGCATTAGTGTCTAATTAAATATTGTGTCTGTAATTAAATATTGTGTCTGTAATTAAATATTGTGTCTGTAATTAAATATTGTGTCTGTAATTAATATTGTGTCTGTAATTAAATATTGTGTCTGTAATTAAATATTGTGTCTGTAATTAAATATTGTGTCTGTAATTAAATATTGTGTCTGTAATTAAATATTGTGTCTGTAATTAAATATTGAGTCAGTAATTAAATATTGTGTCTGTAATTAAATATTGTGTCTGTAATTAAATATTGTGTCTGTAATTAATATTGTGTCTGTAATTAAATATTGTGTCTGAAATTAAATATTGAGTCAGTAATTAAATATTGTGTCTATAATTAAATATTGTGTCTGTAATTAAATATTGTGTCTGTAATTAAATATTGGGTCTGTAATTAAATATTGGGTCTGTAATTAAATAGTGTCTAATTAAATATTGTGTCTGCAATTAATATTGTGTCTGTAATATTGTGTCTGTATTAAAATATTGTGTCTGTAATTAATATTGTGTCTGTAATTAAATATTGGGTCTGTCATTAAATATTGAGTCAGTAATTAAATATTGTGTCTGTAATTAAATATTGTGTCTGTAATTAAATATTGTGTCTGTAATTAAATATTGTGTCTGTAATTAAATATTGTGTCTGTAATTAAATATTGAGTCAGTAATTAAATATTGTGTCTGTAATTAAATATTGTGTCTGTAATTAAATATTGTGTCTGTAATTAATATTGTGTCTGTAATTAAATATTGTGTCTGAAATTAAATATTGAGTCAGTAATTAAATATTGAGTCTATAATTAAATATTGTGTCTGTAATTAAATATTGTGTCTGTAATTAAATATTGTGTCTGTAATTAAATATTGGGTCTGTAATTAAATAGTGTCTAATTAAATATTGTGTCTGCAATTAATATTGTGTCTGTAATATTGTGTCTGTATTAAAATATTGTGTCTGTAATTAATATTGTGTCTGTAATTAAATATTGGGTCTGTCATTAAATATTGAGTCAGTAATTAAATATTGTGTCTGTAATTAAATATTGTGTCTGTAATTAAATATTATGTCTGTAATTAAATATTGTGTCTGTAATTAAATATTGTGTCTGTAATTAAATATTGTGTCTGTAATTAAATATTGAGTCAGTAATTAAATATTGTGTCTGTAATTAAATATTGTGTCTGTAATTAAATATTGTGTCTGTAATTAAATATTGTGTCTGTAATTAAATATTGTGTCTGTAATTAAATATTGTGTCTGTAATTAAATATTGTGTCTGTAATTAAATATTGTGTCTGTAATTAAATATTGTGTCTGTAATTAAATACTGTGTCTGTAATTAAATATTGTGTCTGTAATTAAATATTGGGTCTTTAATTTGGTGTTTGTACTTTCTGAAGCTGTCAGCTACAACTGGTACAAGGGCCCTAGCCAGCAGTTCGTCAGGACGGAGTTTCAAACCTACATTTTTATATCCAGAAATGGAAAACTCTACTTCTCAGAGGTGACACGAAATGACGAGGCTGAATACACGTGTGTTGGTAAGAACCTCAGACTCCATTTCTATTTTGTGAGACATACTTCACATAAGATACGAATGTTAGAATTATAAACTAAAAAATTTCTGGTTTCAGTCAATTTGATTGGAGTCAATCAGTTCACTATCGGCAGCAACCGTTCACCATCCAGGAACAGCTTACCCATCCCTCTGCTTGTCCAGGACCAAAGTAAGCACAGAGCGATACGAGCAGTTTATCACAGGCGCATATATATATATATATATATATATATATATATATATATATATATATATATATATATATATATATATATATATATATATATATATAGCCTACTTATAACTTCCCTGTAAATTGTCTACAGCTGCCCAAGCTGACTGGGGACCTGTCATACAAAATGATTTTATTGGTGTCTTCCCGAACCCAGCACTGGCAGGACAAGACATCAGATTAGAATGTTTTGCTTATGGCTCGTAAGTCATTTTTCTTGTTGAAAAATTGCACGTGAACATTTTTGTTGTTGAAAAATTGCACGTGAGCATTTTTATTGTTGAAAAATTGCACGTGAGCAAGGTAAATATGTTTAAAAGCTACATTTTTAAAAATTGTTTTTGTATTTAGGTTTTATGTCGCTTTTTGTACCGTATAAGAATCTATATATAGCGCTACAAAATCCGAACTGAAAATATTTTTTCTCCAAAAATCATTTTTCTTTTTTATGCGTCATTTTACCTTGCCATTTTCGCTTATTTTAAGTATTAAAGGTTTCATGATGGGCTTGTGACGACTGGTACAGATTCACAAATAGTAATACTTATTTCTGACATTTACTTTCATTCATTAAAGATAGTTTACTTAGGCCTATACATAATTTTTTTAAAAAGTCTAATTTCAATATTTTTTTGAACCTGGAAATGTAAATGTGTAATTAAATGGTGATTCAATGTTCTGTGGAGAGAAAAAAATGTAAAAAATAAACCGGGAGTGAACTCCCCTAAACTTTCTCGAATATTCTTATATAAAACAACAGGGGATGGGAACTCGGGCTATAGACATGATTTTTAATCCATTTTGAATACTTAAAGTTTTAAAAATAGAATAAAATCTAGTAGACAAAAGAATTGCACACCAAGTTAACGCCAAATAAAAAAAAGTGCATAATAGTGCGCAATATTATTAGTACTTTAAAAATTTACATTAGTTTTTTGAGAAATCGGAAGTAGCGTAAATTACTACTTCCGGTCAACGGAAATTACTCAAAATTTAACAGTAGGTAGAGAATTAGATCTTTTACTTACATGTGAAATTTCATTTATCTATCTAAAATAGTACTCAAGTTATAGAGTCCTTGCAAACACGTGACCTAAATCACGTGATACCTGCGTCCGCCGCCACGGTGGTGTACACCGGACGTAAACACAATCAGCTGTTCACCAGCGCTGGACGCGTTCACTGTATGTAAAGAACCGCCCCCGCGGAAAAGGAAAAATACGTTAAAAAACTTGAAATTGAAGATCCTTATACTGTTATTGACAGTTTCGTGGCTAATATAAATATTTAGCCGAAATTTCTAAATAAATATTCTGTTAGTTATACTGTTTGCGTTTAGAGTTTAAGTAGGTATATTATAGGTTATCTAATCTGGTTAATGTAGATTATAGATTCTCTGTTAAGTACAAGATTTAGTAGCAATAGATCTAGTACAACCACACTACTGTAGCAAACGTGAGACCACTTAACTCCTACAAAACCCACACTACAACGGCTAATATAATTCATGGGTAATAACCACTGCTGTTCTTAGCGCTCAGGCAATCTGGGTAGCATGTTATACAATTTAAGACCCTTAGAATCCAGAAGGGAAGTGATCAGACACATTAATACTGATGTTCAACCCTCATGATGGCCAGCCCCACCTTTTTTAGCCCACAATAAAACCAAAGAGTAGTCAGTACCACTGCCCTCCCCTGAAAATTTCTCACCTCCGTGATACCCTCAGGGCCCATCAGGGAGAACAAAGGGGAAAGTCCCACTGCTCTCCCCTCAACATTTCTCACCTCGATGTTATGTTATGTCATTTATAGCACACATGGCTTATCAGGGAAAAGCATTAAGGCATTAAGATTTTGGAAAAATATCGATGTTTAAAAAAATTCAACTGCAATTTTGAGGAGGGGGGGGGGGCTGTAGGCTGAGGTGTGACGTCATTTTAGGGGGGTCTGGCTTTTTGTGACAATGTGTGACTTAGGGGAGGGGGGAGGTAAAAATCGTCAATAAAGCATGACGTCATTTATGGATGACCCCCTATGTTAAACACGTTTGAAGTTATTTTCCTGTTCTTCTTAGTTCGACATCGCCATTTACCTACAAATGGACAAGGGAAGACAACCCTATGCCTTCGCGAGCCCAGACTATGGATAGCAACAGAGTTCTCGTTATTTATCAAGCGCAACTAGAAGACAACGGCATTTACCGGTATGTAACCTTTATATGTTTTTAAACGTCTAAGCAAAAACTTGGTGCTACGATAGATAATTCGGGCTTTGTGTTATACCAGTGTCTAATAATGCCATAACAATGAGATCTTCTTAAAATTAGATATATGACTTGCAAATGACAATGTCAACGCTAACAGTAACCCAAGTCCAACCATAGCCTAAGGCCTAACAAAAATCTCTAACCACACACACACACACATATATATATATATATATATATATATATATATATATATATATATATATATATATATATATATATATATATAATATATATAGGCCTATATATAATTTATTTTTCTGAACAGTATTATATTATCAGCCATTGGTAATACCAATACTCCGATTGAACTAAAGCTCAGGATAGGCATATAGAGTAAGATCTCGTATGTCAGTAGCCTCTTATGTTGAGGTTACAAGTGTAGGCCTACTAGATTTTCTACATGTGACTAAGTCTACATTGTACTAGATTTACATATGTTAGTTTTTCTGATGTATTGGTTTATAGATTCTAAATGTAACTGTTGTAATGAACAAATGAGATAAATAGGTAGATAAATAGTATATCTTCTATCTATCTATTTTCTATCAGAATGTATTTTACTGATGTATCACACATTACATTCAAACACATTTACATACATTACCACCTATTACAATCCAACACCTTCACACACAATGTCACACATTCTCACACAATGTCAAACAACATTCCCCCACAATGTCACACAACATTCCCCCACAATGTAACACATTTCACACAACATTCCCACACAGTGTCACTCAACATTCCCACACAATGTCACACAACATTCCCCCACAATGTCACACATTCCCACACAATGTCACAACATTCCCCCACAATGTCACACATTCCCACACAATGTCACACATTTCCACACAATGTCACACAACATCACCCACAATGTCACACATTCCCACACAATGTCACACAACATTTCCACACAAAGTCACACATTTCCACACAATGTCACACATTCCCACATAATGTCACACAACATTCCCACATAATGTCACACAACATTCCCATACAATTTTACACATTCCCACACAATGTCACACAACATCCCCCCCCCCCCCCCCAACAATGTCAGAGATTACACATTCCACACAATGTCGCACATTCCCACACAATGTCACACATTCCCCCACAATGTCACACATTCCCAATTCCCCCACAATGTCACACATTCCCACACAATGTCACACAACATTCCCCCACAACGTCACACAATCCGACAAAATGTCACACATTCCCACACAATGTCACACAACATCCCCCTGACAATGTCGCACATTACACATTACACAATACACACAATGGCACACATTTCACACAATGTCACACAACATTCCCACACATGTCACACAACATTCCCCCACAATGTTACACAACATTCCCCGACAATGTCACACATTCCCACACAATGTCACACAGCATTCCCCCACAATGTCACACAACATTACCACACAATGTCACACAACATCCCCCCCCCCATAATGTCACACATTACACACAATTTCACACCTTTCACACAACATTCCCCCACACTATCACACATTCCCACACAATGTCACGCAACATTCCCACACAATGTCACACATCCACCCCACAATGTCACACATCACTCATTACACACAATTGCTCACATTCCCACACAATGTCACAAAACATTCCCACACAATGTCACACAACATTCCCCGACAATGTCACACATTCCCACACAATGTCACACAACATTTCCCGACAATGTCACACATTTCCACACAATGTCACACAACATTCCCCCACAATGTCACAAATTCCGACACAATGTCACACAACATCCCCCCCCCCACAATGTCAGACATTACACATTCCCACACAATGTCACACATTTCCACACAATGTCACACAACATCCCCCACAATGTCACACATTCCCACACAATGTCACACAACATTCCCCCACAATGTCACACATTCCCACACAATGTCACACAACATTCCCCCACATTCCCACACAATGTCACACATTTCCACACAATGTCACAAAACATCCCCCACAATGTCACACATTCCCACACAATATCACACAACATTCCCCCACAATGTCAGACATTACAAATTCCAACACAATTTCACACATTCCCACACAATGTCACACAACATCCCCCACAATGTCACACATTCCCACACAATGTCACACAACATTCCCACACAATTTCACACATTCCCACACAATATCACACAACATTCCCCCACAATGTCACACATTCCCACACAATGTCACACATTTCCACACAATGTCACACAACATCCCCCACAATGTCACACATTCCCACACAATGTCACACATTCCCACACAATGTCACACAACATCACCCCACAATGTCAGAGATTACACATTCCACTCAATGTCGCATATTCCCACACAATGTCACACAACATTCCCCCACAATGTCACACATTCCCCCACAATGTCACACAACATCCCCCTCACAATGTCACACATTCCCCCACAATGTCACACATTCCCACACAAAGTCACACATTTCCACACAATGTCACACAACATCCCCCACAATGTCACACATTCCCACACAATGTCACACATTCCCACATAATGTCACACAACATCCCCCCACAATGTCAGACATTACACATTCCCACACAATGTCACACATTTCCACACAATGTCACACAACATCCCCCACAATGTCACACATTCCCACACAATGTCACACAACATTCCCCCACAATGTCACACATTCCCACACAATGTCACACATTTCCACACAATGTCACACAACATCCCCCACAATGTCAGAGATTACACATTCCACACAATGTCGCACATTCCCACACAATGTCACACAACATTCCCCCACAATGTCACACATTCCCCCACAATGTCAGAGATTACACATTCCACACAATGTCGCACATTCCCACACAATGTCACACAACATTCCCCCACAATGTCACACATTCCCACACAATGTCACACAACATTCCCCCACAATGTCACACATTCCCCCACAACGTCACACATTCCGACAAAATGTCACACATTCCCACACAATTTCACACAACATCCCCCTCACAATGTCACACATTACACATTACACACAATGGCACACATTCCCCACAATGTCACACATTACACATTCCACACAATGTCACACAACATTCCCCCACAATGTAACACATTCCCCCACAATGTCACACATTCCCACACAATGTCACACATTCCCACACAATGTCACACATTACACATTCCACACAATGTCGCACATTTCCACATAATGTCACACAACATCCCCCCACAATGTCACACATTACACATTCCACACAATGTCGCACATTTCCACATAATGTCACACAACATTCTACACAATGTCACACAACATTCCCCCACAATGTCTCACAACATTCCCCCACAATGTCACACATTCCCCCACAATGTCACACATTCCCATACAATGTCACACAACATTCCCCCACAATATCACTCAACATTCCCACACAATGTCACACAACATCCACCCCACAATGTCACACATTACACATTTCACACAATTGCTCACATTCCCACACAGTGTCACACAATATTCCCCCACAGTGTCGCACAACATTCCCCCACAATATCACACATTTCACACAATGTCACACATCACTCATTACACACAATTGCTCACATTCCCACACAATCTCACAAAACATTCCCACACAATGTCACACAACATTCCCCGACAATGTCACACATTTCCACACAATGTCACACAACATCCCCCCACAATGTCAGAGATTACACATTCCACACAATGTCGCACATTCCCACACAATGTCACACAACATCACCCACAATGTCACACATTCCCACACAATGTCACACAACATTCCCCCACAATGTCACACATTTCCCCACAATGTCACACATTCCCACACAATGTCACACAACATCCCCCTGACAATGTCACACATTACATATTACACATTACACACAATGTCACACAACATTTCCCCACAATGTCACACAACATTCCCCCACAATGTCACACATTCCCGCACAATGTCACACATTCCCACACAATGTCACACAACATTCCCCCACAATGTCACTCAACATTCCCACACAATGTCACACAACATCCACCCCACAATGTCACACATTACACATTTCACACAATGGCACACATTCCCACACAATGTCATATTCCCCCACAGTGTCGCACAACATTCCCCCACAATATCACACATTTCACACAATGTCACACAACATTCCCCCACAATGTCACTCAACATTCCCACACAATGTCACACAACATCCACCCCACAATGTCACACATCACTCATTACACACAATTGCTCACATTCCCACACAATGTCACAAAACATTCCCACACAATGTCACACAACATTCCCCGACAATGTCACACATTCCCACACAATGTCACACAACATTCCCCCACAATGTCACACAACATTCCCCCACAATGTCACAAAACATTCCCACACAATGTCACACATTCCCACACAATGTCACTCAACATTCCCCCACAATGTCACACAACATCCCCCCATAATGTCACACATTACACACAATGGCACACCTTTCACACAACATTCCCCCACACTATCACACATTCCCACACAATGTCACTCAACATTCCCACACAATGTCACACAACATTCCCCCACAATGTCATATATTCCACATTCCACACAATATCACACATTTTACACTATTTCACACAACATTCCCCCACAATGTCACACAACATTCCCCCACAATGTCACACATTCCCACACAATGTCACTCAACATGTCGTGTTTCATTTTTTATCAGGTGCACAGTGAGTCGGGGCGCCTCTGCCAGTGATACAAAAACTCTGCAGCTTACATTAGGAGGTGAGTCTCCTTTTTTATTTAACCACAGAGACATAGTAAAGGACAGAGAAAGAAACTAATTTAAATAACAGAAAAATATAAAACCAGCACAATCTTACCATGAATGGAAAGTGAAAACAAATTTTAAATAATATGCCTAGATAAAATTTATTTAGAGAAAATTATTTTTAAGAAATATTTGTTTTAAGAGTATCACTTATTTAATTAGTTTGAGCTGAAACAAAATTTATTTCTGGTTGTGGTCATTAGAATTACACATAGATTCTAGTTGCATTAGAAATCAAAAGTAATCCAATAGTTCTTTAGGAAATGGAAAGAAGTAACAAAATTGTGAAACATACCACGCCACTAACATACTATAAATTTATAAAGATTAGGTAGATGACCTCTTTGTAATTATGATTTTAATCAAAGGGGTCAGGTCTATTTTCTCTGTCCACAAAGAAATCCCCATTTAATTTGGTCCCTGTTCAATTATGCCTAATTTAAGTGCACCAGTCACCAGGATTGTAAATGATTAAAAAAATTTTTAGATGTAGATCTAGGCCTATACTATAATAAGTTGTAAATAAACTTTTAAATGTTACACTATTTAATATAGATAAATAAAATATTTATAGCTTTATTTTAAAAATTAATTTAGCTTGGTACAAATATTAACTAATTTAGTCGTTTATAAAAAATATTTTGTAAATTAATATAGTCTAGTGATACTTTAAAAATCCAGCTTTACATATGTAAGGAAGGGAGAATAATAAAAATTGTAAACACGCAACAACTAGTGTATTTTTTTAAAGTTTGAATCTGTTTTAAATCTCATTCTTTAATAGTTTTTTCTTTGACTTAGCCCGGCCCTACTTTGTGAGTCCACTAATGAATCAGCATGCAGACATTGACTCGAGACTAACATGGATATGTAATGCCAGAGGTAACCCAGAACCTGTCTACTACTGGTACAAGAATGGAGAGAAAATTCAAACTGATCGTGAAAAAAGAATTCAAGTAATTTGACATTGAGAGTTTAGTTGTTATTGATGCAATACTTTTCAGGACACTTTTGCCTTTTAGAAGTAAACACAGCAGTGATTATTATAATTATATTACACAAGCAGGTCCATTTTTTAAATTATTACTGCTATAATTATTAATTAGTAGTAAGTAGTAAGTTTCCCTTTCAAACCTGACGGTCTAAGGGGAAAGTGAAGTAGCGTTCACTTGTTTCTGTGACCTATAATTCTGTGCTATAATTAGCTAATCACAAAAGTTTTAAATTGAAAAAATTGCCAATTTTTTTATATTTATCGCACCATTCACAATATTTCTATATTGCTTGTAACTGATCAGTTTTTTATCTACAAGAAGCGAGCCACAGGGGTATTATTTGTTTTGAAATAAATTGTTTCATTTAGTTTTAAGCTTTTAAGTTCCACAAAGAAAGTTTGCTCATACAAAGAAATGAAATAAGTGACCAGCACTGTTTAACTTTTGTACTAGGTTGTGAAGAATGTCTTAAGCATTGAGAAGCTGTCTCCAGATCTGCACAATGGCATGTACCAGTGTGGTGCTGAGAACAATTATGGCTCGTCAGCATCATCAGCTCAGCTGCGTGTTTTAGGTCTGTATCTTATCACAGTTACATTAGAATTAAATTACTATTAAATATACTAGTAAAAATATCATAAATACATGCTTCTTTATTTTACAAAATACATTCACAAGATAAATTTATATTTGAATGTAGGTATTGGCAAAGATGAGTGTATAAAAACTTTGCATATGTTGAATACCTTCAGGGCTTTGCTAGTATTTAAAATACAACACCCCTCTTACTGGTATTCAGCAATAATTGGGTTTTTTCTTTAAATGGCTGTCAAATTCTGTCCATGATTCCATTTGATTTTTAGAAATTTTATGTAATATCATGGATTTTATAAATAAGTCTGAATAACTTATTACGTCTTTTTGTTAGCAGTAGCCATCGATTCATGGACTTGTAATAATTAAAAAGTTATATTAAGATTTTTAAGTACTAAATGTTTTAAATAAGTGTATTTTTTGTCAGACTTCTATTGATTCTAATATCTTAATGCTTCATTAAATATGTATATGCATGTTTATATACATACATACATACAATTATATATATATATATATATATATATATATATATATATATATATATATATATATATATATATATATATATATATATATATATATATATATACATATCAATTGTCAATTTTAGCCTTTAAACCAAACCTGGACAAATATCCCCCTCCTGTTACTTTGATGGCTCCACAAAATGGAAACGTGACCATCAGATGTAATCCTGAGGGCTCACCATTTCCAACAATAACATGGACCAAGGATGGAGCCGCATTATCAAGTGGTAAAAGTGTTTTTATAGTTATGGATATTTCATTTTTCAAATCTGACCAAGTGTAATACTAACTGAAATTAAAAATATCCAGCGTTTTTGGCAATAGAAAATAGAGCAATATCTTTGTGTAAAAACATTTCAGTTTTAAAATTAAGTCTATAAAAATTCTAATCTAGTTAACAAGTAACATTTTAAACCAGATGGAGCTAAATACACAATTTATGCCAATGGGAACATTTACATCACATCACTAAGTCCTTCAGATCATGGAGTCTACGTGTGTAAAGCTGTAAATATTTTTGGCGAGGCCCAGGCAAGCACAGCATTAACAATAACAGGTGAGAGGAATTCTTTGAAATGATAACCTTTAGAAATCTTGTAAATAACCAAGATCTTTAAAAATTAATTCAAGTTGAAAGGTTATAATTAATTTTAATATGATTAAAATTGTGCAAACATGGTTAGTTAAAAGTAGCAGGGAAGTTTAAAAATGTATGTGTAAAGTATTTAAAAATTATTTTATTTGTATATTTCATATATTATTCATTATGGTTTTTTCTCCCTCCAGGTGGTGCTGCTATCACTCTAGCTCCATCAGACCAGACGGTGATAGTAAATAATACAGTGTTCCTACCCTGTGAAGCTTCTTACCCCAAGGGTGTTGATCTGGTCTATGAGTGGACGTTCAATGGGTTCCCTTTGTTTCTGGAAGAAGTTTACTACAGACAGGTGAACAGCTCTTTGGGTTTTGTAGAAAGTCAGCTTTAACAATATACAATGATTTGATATAAAATATACAGTGTGTGTGTGTGTACAGAGGTAAATATGCTATGGGCTGGTGGGGTCAAAGCTGGTGGGGGTTAGGGTGGGGTAAGACTTAAAACTTGTGCATAACTTGTGCATGCAGTGGGGACACTGGCATATGCTCTTGTACCTGCTGGGTGTTAGCCAATGGTTCACTCCATGCTGGATGTTAGCCAATGGGTCACCACCTGCTGGGTGTTAGCCAATGGGTCACCACCTGCTGGGTGTTAGTCAATGGGTCACCAGCTGTTAGGTGTTAGCCAATGGGTCACCAGCTGTTGGGTGTTAGCCAATGGGTCACCACCTGCTGGGTGTTAGCCAATGTGTCACTACCTTCTGGGTGTTAGCCAATGGGTCACCACCTGCTGGGTGTTAGTCAATGGGTCACCACCTGCTGGGTGTTAGTCAATGGGTCACCAGCTGTTAGGTGTTAGTCAATGGGTCACCAGCTGTTGGGTGTTAGCCAATGGGTCACCACCTGTTGGGTGTTAGCCAATGGGTCACCACCTGCTGGGTGTTAGCCAATGGGTCATCACCTGCTGTGTTAGCCAATGGGTCACTACCTGCTGGGTGTTAGCCAATAGGTCACCACCTGCTGGGTGTTAGCCAGTGGGTCACCACCTGCTGGGTGTTAGCCAATGGGTCATCACCTGCTGTGTTAGCCAATGGGTCACTACCTGCTGGGTGTTAGCCAATGGGTCACCAGCTGTTGGGTGTTCGCCAATGGGGCACCAGCTGTTGGGTGTTAGCCAATGGGTCACCTCCTGTTGGGTGTTAGCCAATGGGTCACCACCTGTTTGGTGTTAGCCAATGGGTCACCAGCTGTTGGGTGTTAGCCAATGGGTCACCAGCTGTTGGGTGTTAGCCAATGGGTCACCAGCTGTTGGGTGTTAGCCAATGGGTCACCACCTGTTTGGTGTTAGCCAATGGGTCACCACCTGCTGGGTGTTAGCCAATGGGTCACCACCTGCTGGATGTTAGCCAATGAGTCACCACCTGTTGGGTGTTAGCCAATGGATCACTATCTGCTGGGTGTTAGCCAATGGGTCACCACCTGTTGGGTGTTAGCCAATGGGTCACCACCTGTTGGGTGTTAGCCAATGGATCACTATCTGCTGGGTGTTAGCCAATGGGTCACTACCTGCTGTGTTAGCCAAAGGGTCACCAAGTCTAACTTAATTGTCTAGTCCTCACCATGCTTGTAATGAAACTTGATGAGATATAAAATTAACTTGATTGTATTATGCAGCTTGATGTTAAATAAAATGAGTTTGCTGCTTTAATCAGGTACAAGATGCCACCCCAGGTAGTAATGGACTTTACATCTTAAATGCCCAATTCAGGCATGAAGGAGTTTACATCTGCAATTCTAGAACACCATTCAATACTGATACCAAGTCTGCCTATATCAAAGTTAATGGTAAGTCACTTTTTTAAGGAAAAACTCAAATGTAAAAAAAGTAAAACGTTAATGTGTGACCAATTAAAAAAATAAATTCTGTTTTAATTTAATTTTTTCTACCTCATTGGGGGTGGGAACAAGGGTGGTGGACATGAGAGATGTCTGAAAGAAACACTTGCAGTGATTATAATTTGTTTTCTAGTTTTTGTTTTAAAGGAAATAAAAGCTAGGTTTTTAAAAAATATTTTATATGATTGTTACAACCGAGATGTTTGCAAATTTTACTGCCAGCTGATCTGTGTGTGATCTATCCCAGGCCCACCTAAACAGCCAGCAGGTGTTCACAGTTTTGGCGAGTCAACAACCACAAACTCAACTGTCATAGCCTGGACAGCAGGTGCCGACAGCGGCTCTCCAATCACAGAGCACCTGATTCAAGCTGCCAATGAGTTCACACCAGATGAATGGACTGACATGACCAGTAAGTCTAGCCCAAACTTGTCAAAGCTGTCTTGTGTAGATTAAAACATACTTGTGATATTAAAAAAACTTTCTTAACATATCATTAATTGAGATCATTGAGGAGGTATTTTTTAATTTTTAGTGTTAATTATTTTATATAGACCTGTAACATTGTAAGTAGCTTTATCTGATGCTTATTTCTTAATACACCCTGAGTCCTCTCATAGCTCCTGATTTTAGCATGGGTGGAAATATGATTGGATTTTTTTTTCCTGGGTCATTGTGGGGTCGAATAGTTTGAGCCTGTATTGAATAAAGAGTTACATATTAAAAATGAATTTTATCATCATCAAGTTAGCACCAGTTTGTCCTCTCTGTAGCTATAGCTTCTGCTTGTTGGAACATTAATTGTTCTGGAGCACAGAGAAGCTCATTATACTCACAGACTCCCATGTTCTCCCACTGCTCATTAGAAGAATGTAAAAATCAATGCTTGTCCAGAGCAACTAGTTAGGCTAGTGTGACATATTATTATAAATGTAAGTATTTTGTACTCACAGCCATAAAGGTGTCAGACAGCTACAGAACAAATGACCCAGTAGAAAACAAACACTCAGCTACTGTTGAGGGGCTCAATCCTGGCACGGGCTACACATTTAGAGTGCTAGGTAAGGTTATCCAGTAAGGTACAGAGCTCAAAGAGAACATTTTGATGTCTATAATATTTTGTTGGTCCAAAATGATACATAAATACTAATTATATTTATTGAATGGGGTCGGCAGATGAATTACTCACATTTAATACTGGACTACAGTTAATTCACTGTATCTTGCTGAACTAGCATACTGACATACGTGTTATGAGAAGATTAATGTGAAATGATTTCTGTCACATGCAGCACGTAATGTTCATGGATATGGAGAGCCAAGTGATCGGTCTACCATGATCCAAACACTCCAAGCTGCCCCTGCTGTCTTTCCCAAAGAGCTTCGAGGTGGTGGAGGATCTGTTGGAGATCTGACCATACGATGGAATGTAAATATCCTACTTTAGATTGTAAATTGGTTTCAAAAATTGGAATGTTTCTATGGGGTGTAAATATCCTACTTTAGATTGTAAAATGGTTTCAAAAATCAGAATATTTCAATGTAAATAATGTACGAATAAAAGTGTACATAAAAACATATTTTACTCTGTAATAATAGGTGTACATTAAACTGAACAGAACACAGTGTATTTAAAAAAAATTAATTGGCCTGTAAACGTTTAAGCTTGACATAATTTGCTTGTATACCATAGTTCTAAAGGAAAATGTCTGACTTGCAATGTCTTCAATTGACAGCCTCTGCTGAGGTCTGAATATGGATCAGATACAGTAGGGTACAGAATCTTCTGGAGACCCAAGTCAGAGAGTACAATAGGTGGAGGCATGTGGAGAAAGGTAAACATTTGGTTTTGTTATCTTTCAATCTGCTAATCAAAAACTTGGAAGGTAAACATTTGGTTTTGTTTTCTTTCTATCTGCTAATCAAAAACTTGAAAGGTAAACATTTGTGTAAGCCCTGCTAGGGGGGGATACCTAAAATCTACCCTTCTAGGCTTATCTAACTAACTACCGTCCGGTCAGTGCAAGCCCGGCTAAACCCAGGCTGGTTAATAACCTAACCTTAGTCTAAATAATAAAAACAAAAAAATATTTAACAATTAATAAAATTTATTTACCAAAAATATGGAACCAATGAAAAATCACAAAAAAAGAATAGATAAAAACTACTGACACAAAACAGACAAAACAAAACCAAACAAAACCAAACATGCAACAGAATTATATAAAAAGACAATATAAACCATGACAACAATATAAACGAAATATATACAAACTAGCTAGTTCTATAAACAGGGACATAAACAGTGAGACAGCAGCGCCATAATACGGGACTACACAACTAGATCTAAAAACTACGAACAATTTACGACATGAAACGAAATGATACATTCGCCTTCTAAGTTACAAATAATAATAATACACTCCAGCCGCTCACATTTGGTTTTGTTATCTTTCTATCTGCTAATCAAAAACTTGGAAGGTAAACATTTGGTTTTGTTATCTTTCAATCTGCTAATCAAAAACTTGGAAGGTAAACATTTGGTTTTGTTATCTTTCTATCTGCTAATCAAAAACTTGGAAGGTAAACATTTGGTTTTGTTATCTTTTTATCTGCTAATCAAAAACTTGGAAGGTAAACATTTGGTTTTGTTATCTTTCTATCTGCTAATCAAAAACTTGGAAGGTAAACATTTGGTTTTGTTATCTTTCAATCTGCTAATCAAAAACTTGGAAGGTAAACATTTGGTTTTGTTATCTTTCTATCTGCTAATCAAAAACTTGGAAGGTAAACATTTGGTTTTGTTATCTTTTTATCTGCTAATCAAAAACTTGGAAGGTAAACATTTGGTTTTGTTATCTTTCTATCTGCTAATCAAAAACTTGGAAGGTAAACATTTGTGTAAGCCCTGCTAGGGGGGGATACCTAAAATCTACCCTTCTAGGCTTATCTAACTAACTACCGTCCGGTCAGTGCAAACCCGGCTAAACCCAGGCTGGTTAATAACCTAACCTTAGTCTAAATAATAAAAACAAAAAAATCTTTAACAATTAATAAAACTTATTTACCAAAAATATGGAACCAATGAAAAATCACAAAAAAAGAATAGATAAAAACTACTGACACAAAACAGACAAAACAAAACCAAACAAAACCAAACATGCAACAGAATTATATAAAAAGACACTTAATATAAACCATGACAACAATATAAACGAAATATATACAAACTAGCTAGATCTATAAACAGGGACATAAACAGTGAGACAGCAGCGCCATAATACGGGACTACACAACTAGATCTAAAAACTACGAACAATTTACGACATGAAACGAAATGATACATTCGCCTTCTAAGTTACAAATAATAATAATACACTCCAGCCGCTCACATTTGGTTTTGTTATCTTTCTATCTGCTAATCAAAAATTTGGAAGGTAAACATTTGGTTTTGTTATCTTTCAATCTGCTAATCAAAAACTTGGAAGGTAAACATTTGGTTTTGTTATCTTTCTATCTGCTAATCAAAAACTTGGAAGGTAAACATTTGGTTTTGTTATCTTTCAATTTGCTAATCAAAAACTTGGAAGGTAAACGTTTGGTTTTGTTATCCTTCAATTTGCTAATCTAACTCTGTTTGCCCTAGTGACAATTTTTGCCCAAATGTTACAGTTGGGCACTGTGTTGATATTCCTACATGTTTGATCAAAGAACTATTATTGAAATACAGATAACTTTTAACAATTGTAAACTGGTTAATCCATTTACTCAAGTCTTTTAGAAAGTTATGATGGGCTATGTGGGAATGTTGATATAAATAAAGAGATTGTTAAACTTTTTTTGACAGCAAGAGGTGACAGATCCAAATGTGGAATCATTTGTCACACTTGTGGGTGTGGACAATTATTACCTCCCCTACGAGGTGAAGATCCAAGCCTTCAATGTGATGGGTAGTGGTCCTAACAGTTCTATAGCAGAGGTCATGTCTGCTGATGGCAGTAAGTTGTGCAATGTGTACAGGGGATTGTGCAATATGTACTGGGGATTGTGCAATGTGTACAGGGGATTGTGCAATATGTACAGGGGATTGTGCAATATATACTGGGGATTGTGCAAATATTATGCACTTGAGATTATTCAATATATACTCGAGATTGTGTTTTAATGTTATCCGATATTGTTTGTCTATTATATCAATGATAAAAGTGCCTGTTTACCATTTGGTGCTATTTTACCTTCACAGTACCAATAGCCATACCACTGAATGTCAACACACTTACCATCAATGTATCTGCTATACAAGTATGGTGGGACCCACTACCAGAAGACAGAGAAACTGCCAGAGGAAAAATTCTGGGATACCAAGTAAGTTCATATTTTCCTGGCATATTTTTCTGACATATTTTCCTCGCAGAGATTGACATGAGACTTGAACAAAAGGAGCTTGCTCTAACTGGCATACTTTGAAGCAACCAGCCTGTTACCTCCCTCACTCCAGTGTTATTGGATTAACATTTAACATCTATAATTATAAATGACACTCATTGTTTCTCTATGTAAATGGAAAAGAGGGGTGTAGACTAGTTGTTGACATATTGTAAAACTTGTATTATTTTTATTAAACTTTCCTAGTGCAAGCTGTGGGAATTTTTAGAACCATTTGATCTGTGAATATTACTAGTTTCCAATCATCTGAGTCCTACTAGTTTCCAATCATCTGAGTCCTACTTGTTTCCAATCATCTGGGTGCTGCTTAGTTTACAATCAAACAACTTGATTTAGGTGTTAGTTTTCTGTATTTTTCATGAATGGACTGTACTCACTGTTGCAAACAATGTCTCAAGTTACTCATTTCATGTCATAAACTTCATACAAACTGCTGACATGAAATAAATAAAGTCTTGTTCACACAATGTGCCACACTTCATGGAATCTTTGGCACTATCATTATTGAATCTACTGATCAGCCACCTTTTATCCCAATAGCAAGTTTTCCTCATTTCTTTTTTAAATGCAAGTGCAGAGCATGAAATAAACAATAAAGTATGCCTAAATTGCAATGTTAATTTTCTGAAGGTACTATATCAGTTAATAAATATGACCACTTTTTAACCCAGCTCAATTACTGGAATGAAGAAGAGGATCCAGGCTATTACATGCAGTCCATACGTTACTATGGCAACATTGGAGAGGGAAAGGTCATTGGCTTGGATCACGACATCAATTGTGTTGTAGATGTACAGGTAGGTGTCATCTCATTTACCAACATTCCTGTATTACTGAAACACAAACCTCACATTTTTCTCTCCTACACTCAACAAATACTTGACTCTGAACTTCTTCAAAATGGTTTGTCCCTAGAAAACATTACAGGTTAATGAGGCACTCTCCTATGTGAGAAAGTAAAATGGTGTTAAAAGAGATCAGCTGTAAACAATTTTTCTTAATTAGCAATACCATAAAAATAACTTTTTTATGCTAGTTCTTCTTTTTTTAACTCTCAGAAAATATGTTTTGGTGAAGTGCAACCAATAATTCAATCTTATATTTATGTATGCTAGGTTTTGTGATATTCACTCAATTTTCCATTGCAGGTTTATAACCAAGCTGGTCTTGGGCCTCGCTCAAACTATTACATTATGGAGACATCAAGTTTTCGTAAGTTAACGCTTACATTTCTGCATTTTTTTTAAAACTAAGAGACAATTTCTATAGTAGAAATAGATTTATACTAGTAAGTAAACCACCCGAAACAGGGACATAAATTAAAATGTATGTATGTTAAATTTTAAAAACATCTAAGATGACTATGTACAAATTATGGGACACAAATATGTGCCACTTGTTTTTTTTACCTACACCCTACTGTACATGACATTACATAACTTTTCGTTAGACCAGCACTCCCTTATGTTATAGCCTATACCTTTTTTTAGGAACCAGTCTCCAGCACCAGAAAACCACAATAAAATGGGGTGATTTGTTGTTTACAGCCTGTGCTCTCGTTGTTTTAATAATGATTAGATATAAACTGTAGTGGTATGCTACATTATAATGCACAGCCCTATAAGACAAATTATCACTAAAAGATAAAGAATCATAATGTATTTATTTGGGATTAGTCCGTAGTGGTGAAATTAAAGTACTGAAATTATCCTGTAATTTTTGTATTGCCCCTAATAAAACAGCATTGTTGTTGATTCTTAACATTTATTTTAAATTCAACATTTTTGATCCTCCTAGCACCCTTACATTATCCTGAGGAAGTACGAATCACATCAGTTGGTGCAGGCAGAGCTCATGTCTGGTGGCGAGGTCTAACTATCACATATCTAGAGGAGGATATCACAGGATATCTGGTTAGAAAAACTATTAGAAAAACACAAGTAGTCTTTTTGCATGTACCTAAGATATAAGAAATAATATTGTTTATGGTGGGTTAGCCTTACAGAAAAGTACCAAAACTAAACAAATCTATATACACAGAACCTACTATTTCAGTAGCTACTATTTGATAAGATTAGTATAGCTGAAAACTGTTTTTATCAGGATCATCTACAGTTTGTTGGAATTTAATTTTAAAAAATTATTTATGGCACATTGATAATTTAATTTGAATATTATTAAACAAAAGTTTCCGATAACTTTTTATAGTGGTGAGAAATGTTTGCCTATTAGCGATCCGCATTTTACAACCTAGGAAAGGTGGGGTGGGAGGGGGAGGTGCAACATAACTGAGATGCATGTGACCAGTGTATGATGGTTAAAATTCTTTATTATTGTGGTTTTTTTAAAAGGCAAGAGAAAAAAGAAAAATGTAGATTGGCTTAAATTTCATTCAATTTACTTAAACATGACAGAATTTGTTGAGGATTCGGGTATTTATAGAAACTTTTCTAGAAATACATTTTCCATGCCTCATATAGTTATTTACTTCTAACAGATCTATGTTTGGACAGCAACTGAAAATCCTCGGTCAGCAAGAGAAATTAAGGTTGAAGGAAGATTTGGGGTTTATGAGTATACAATCTCCAATCTTACCAATGATAGGATCTATGCTTTGAGGGTTGCAGGTGATGGTAAAGGAGGTACTGGGAAGAAATCCCCAACAATGTATTTTGCTCTAGGTAAGAAACCTTTAAAATGTTTTTCAAAATTCACAATCACTACCCTTAATACAGTGTCGTCGCTAGGTCGGGTGTCACCCGTTGCAGCACCTCATGGTGTCACCCCCACCCACCCACCAAAGGAAAAAAGTATAGGCTATATATATATATATATATATATATATATATATATTATATATATATATATATATATATATATATATTATATATATATATATATATATATATATATATATATATATATATATATATATATATATATAGTCGGTTATTAATACAGCTGGATGTAAGATTCTTTTCTCTACAGTTTGCATGTTTAAGTTATGGTATCACATATAGCACCCCCCCCCCCACACACACACACACTTATCAGGGTTATCACTTTGTACTTAAAATAAATTTTTACTCTAATTAACTGAAAAAAAGCATATTTATTCTATATATTTTGCTGTATTTTGTCTTGGTGTCACCTGGTGCAATCCGCAATACCCCGCCCCCACCTCGTGACGCCTCTGATATAATATTTCAAGTGGAGAAATCACTTAAACTAAAAGAATTAAAAACCTAGTAATTACTTCTGAAAAAATATTTTTAGCAACCACCCCACAGTATATAATGCTATATAATGATTGCATTGACCACTTGATATTATATATATATAAGTTTGTGGGGCATTTTTATTAATAACAATTACTAGTGTGTCTGCTCATGGAATATTTTGTATTAATTATACATAGGAAATCAAACAATGAACTCTTAAAATAAGTAGCAGAAAGATTGGAAATTAAAACAAAAGTATTGTTCCTATAACAAGACTCTTGTCAAATTTTTAATATTATAGCACTGTTAGTAGCACACATCAGTGACACATCTCTTCTCCTCTAGTCACATACAAGCTATATTTATCCATTGCTATATTTTTTTTTTCTTCAGAGGGCCAAATAATGATAGACTCAAGTTTTGCAGAAACTATTGATGTCTTCTTATCAAGTGCATTAACACCTAAATTATCAATACTTTTTTTTGCTTTAAACATTTGTATTGTTATATTATACATCAAACCTTTTTTTTTAAATCAATAATGAAAGATTAGTGCCTTATTATGTTTTTATTCAGAAAGATAAAAATAAGCTGTGTGAATAACATGTCCTGAATAGCTGTTAAAAATTATTGCAGAATATCATTTTAGAGTATTGCCCTTCTGTGTAATTTTTTAACCCAGTGCTCAGGCTAGGATTGACCTTTGTCCACACAATGACTTTTTATGCTGAAAACATCATAGAACTGTTATAATAATATAATATAGATATACAATAAGTTTTATGTCTAAATGGAAAGCCAATTAATTATATCTTTTCCATCTGATCTAACTCAGAACTCTCCAACTCTTTTGGTATAATAAAATAGGTGACATTAGATTTAGATTGCATTTAGTTGGGTTGTCTTTTTAATAGCAATAAAAAGACTTTTCTTTAATGATATTATTCTACTTAGTGATAGTCTCTAAATTTTAATGTTAATTTGTTTATTTTTCTCCACTGTTTTTGGTTTGTTTTGACTGACTTGCTTATAGCATCATTATGCCAGTGGTTAAAATAACTCTTATAGTTGTGATAATAGAATAGTGTGTTCAGTTTTAGGCTTTGTGTAGACTAAAGTGTTAATATGATCAGGTTGGACAATCCTGAACTGAACTGTGTGTAGATAATAAATAAATGTATGTTCTATGACACAGGAAATCCAAGTTACATTATTTGTATTGTTGTACATTTATAACAAAAAGTTATTGCTTAATTTTTCCTGTGTGCAAAATGTAAATAGTGTAAACTTCACATTACGACAACATTCCATATTATTCTAAATCATTTTTGTATAAGTGTATATTTCATGCGTCAGCCTTCCTCCAGAATGTATTTTTTTAGGTATGGGTGGTCTGGTTTGGTTTTATCAGACAGATTTGTAAAAACTGAATAAACTATAAGAATATACCACATTATTTTATTTGGGCATCTTGAAGTCTTTTTGTGCATGTTAAAAATCTGATGAATGTTTGTGTGTTTTAATTTTGACATTGTGATTGTAAAAGAACCACATTTTAAAGAACGTCCTTAATATGATGGGCTACAACAATCAATGAGAAACTTGTGACTAGGGATTGCACCCGACACAACTGTAGTAATGTGATTGGTGGTTGCCAAGAGCGACCCTTAATGCCCCTGACATCTTGACTGTCATCTAGGGTTGCTCTACCTTATCCATTGCAAAGGATGATCAAAGTACACTTAGGGTTTTATACATGGGCAGTAGTGTGGACAAACCCATGCCCTACAACTAAGGTCCAAGAAATTTAGTGCCAACAATGTTTACATTCAAAAGTTTTCTAGCAAAAAAGTCACACATCTAAAAATGGATGCATGTCAAGTATGTGGCCAGCTCACATGTCAACAAACCTGATTTATTTGTCCACTAGATGAAATTTTTTTTTAAATATTGTGTATCAATACTGAACAGATAAGGTGAGAAGAGGGACTTAATATCCAACTTCTCAACAAAGCTAGTTAGTGGCAATATTTTTAAAAAATCTACAAAACATACACAAATAAATCAATGACATTTGAAATAAATAAAGAGCTTCCCCTAACAACAGGACAGTCAGAATAAAAAAAATGCTGAGGAAGTCCAAAGGTTTGTGAAGATCCAAAATTATGTTTATGGGGCATTTCTCTGTACATCTCAAGCAAACAAATTTCTGGCATTGGAAGGATGTTATTGATAAAGTTTTTATTACAGATGTACGCTTTATTTGGATACAATGGAAAACCCCCCAAACTTTGCACTTTCCCACTTCTCACCAATCTCCCCTAGATATATATATATATATATATATATATATATATATATATATATATATATATATATATATATATATATATATATATATATATTGTAATATTCTTGTTTCTATCAGATGTAATGTGTTTGCTGACACCAAATGTAACGTTTTTCTTCTCTTCTGTTTCTTGCTCTCACTCTCAGACGATCAAAAATTATGAAGAATAATTCATGTTCTGTAAATCTTTATTAGACTATCTTCCTTGACCAGGCATTGTCTGTGTAGCGCATGTTAAAGACTATAGCGCCACCCCGCGTGCTGCATAAATTAGTGGCTAGGGTCGTCGTTTCCCCATCCCCTCGAAGGCTAAACCGTCGGTTTATATACCCCATCCACTAGCGTCTCGGATGACACCTTACTCTCGGCCCAAATTCTAGCGCTTACCTGTGAAAATTTCCCCTGGTTTTGTGCTAACCTACCCCAAATAACTCTATATAAAAACTTAACGCGATCTCCTAAAATTCTAATAAACTTATCATCTGAAACCACAGACAATTCCCTTCACAATGATACAAATCTATATATATAATTCTCTTCTGGGAGACGCTAGAAAACAAGCTGTAAGCGCGCTCCCTACCACCCCCACCCCTACATGGTCTAATGAGCTGTAGTTCACGCTAAAAGTTACCATTCGTAGAGACAGGTTTGGTGACGGCTATTAGGGGCATTTAATTTAGTTTGAAACGATTTTAAACGTAGGGGAGGTAACTAAGATCGAGACTGCTTTCAAGGGGGGGGGGGTGTAGGGTAGGGGTTGGGGGAAAGGAGAGTGGGGTTAGTATCGTTCTTAACGACCTACTGATAGTGTTTTAAAGCAAATATTTTCAGTGGCAGCATTGGTACTGTCGAATTCACAAATTATGAATTACTGAAAAGTAGAAAATAAACAACTAAATAGCGGCGTATGATATGCCGCGGGTCGGCTCGTTACATATAACATCAATACGTTGTTCTTAAACAATAATACTTCAAACACGCAAATAACGTAAAAATATCATCAAATACACCTAATTAAAGTAAATTTCCATAATATTGGCTTGGTCCTAACTAACACAAAGATATTCTAATTAAAGATCCTGCTTGGTTCAATAGTTCTTCCAATTATTATGCTATATTAACAACTATTTATTAAGATGCAAATTTTTCTTCTTGCCCTACTAAGCACTCTTGGCTGATTCCTAAAAATTCACTGCAATATATATTCTAATTTATATATATATATGTATATATATATATATATATATATATATATATATATATATATATATATATACACACACACACATATATGTGTATATATTTGTATATATATAGGCCTAAATATATATATATATATATATATCTATATATATAGTATTATATAGGCCTAAATAAATTTATTTATATATATAGGTCCCTCTCTCTCTCTCTCTATATATATAGGGATATATATATATATATATATATATATATATAGGGATATATATATATATATATATATATATATATATATATATATATAGGCCTATATATATACATTTATATAACATTATATAGTAATATATAGGCCCTAGGTTTCCAATATATAGATCTATATATAAATATTGAATATTGGCCTTTTTGACAAAAGACATTTATTGTCATGATGGCTGGATTTGTTTTTGCTAAACACATTTACTACACATTACTACACATTTACAAATGTACTCCTCATAGGGGGGAGTTGATTTAAAAGCTACTTTTTTATATTATTTATCTGCTTGTTGGTATCTAATACGACCTTTCGATGTAAACAAGATGGCGTCAAGTCCAAAGGAAAAGTTTGATGCTGCTGTAAAAGTTATACGAGGGTTGCCAAAGAATGGTTTGTAGATACTAGTAGATAGGCCTCTATCATTCTGTATTGATATTGTGATCAAATTTTAGTACAATATATAATTGCCTGATCTAGGAAGATCTAGATCTAGTTTACATGTGTTAGGAACTGTTGTTGCAAAAGGTTCAATGAAACAATGATTTTCTTATCTTTCTTCTAGATCTAGATTCTAGGTAAAACTCCATTTCAGCGTATTTTATTCTCCGTTGCTTGTTTACCTCCAGTTGAGCGTATTTTATTATAACAACCGAAACACACCAAAACATTAGGAAAACACGATTTATTTTTTGTATTGTATTTTTGTTTTAGCAAATGAATAAAAATGAATATTTAAAAAGCATGACTTGTTTATTTTTATTGTATTTAAAAAAAAAGGCATTTGTCTTATGGTGAAACTGATACACTGTTAATCATTCTGTTTTATATTTTTGTATTTATGCAATAAATGTACAAACTCTGTGTTTTTTAATTTGACAGTTTTGCTAAAACTGAAAAAAATATTTTACTATAGAGTTGTATGTTATTTAAATTCATAGTAAATCTACCATCCTTCCCTTTTTTGTATGAGTAAATTTCTGACTTTAAAAAAAAAAATGATGTGGGGTCGTCCATAAATGACGTCACACTCGTAAGGGAGAGGGGGGGTCAGCAATTTTGTGACGGTGTGTGGGGAGGGGGTGGGGTTTCAGATGGTGTGACGTCCCTTTTTTGCATTATAAAAAAGCAATGTTAGAAAAACAAGTTTTAGCCGTTATTTCACGTTTTAGAAAACGGTTTTAACAAATTGTAATATGAATTGATCAAAATACTCTATGTTGACAGAGTTCTGACAAGATTTTGGAAAAATTATCGATGTTTTAAGAAAAATTCAACAGAAATTTTGAGGGGGGGGGGGGTTGTAGGCTGAGGTGTGACGTCATTTTAGGGGGGGGGGGGTCTGACTTTTTGCGACGACGTGTAACGGAGGGGGGAGGTAAAAATCGTAAAAAAAAAGCGTGTCGTCACAAAAAGCAAGACCCCCCCCCCCCCCCAAAAAAATGACGTAGCACCATCTGAACCCCCCTTCTCATCACACACCGTCACAAAATTACGGACCCCCCCCTCCCCCTATGAGTGTGACGTCATTTATGGACGACCTCTAACATTTTTTTTTTAAAATGACAACGTGAGTTGTCACAATTTCTCTAACACTCCAAGCCATCAGTCACCAAATTCCACCCCCCCCCCCCCTCGGCCCACTTTCGGCAGCATCATTGTGCCTTTTAGTACTTTTATTCAGTTTAGTTGAAATTGGAACACTTAATTGTACAAAGTGTGCATCTCTATTTTTGTAACCAACAAACAAAGCACTTCAGTCAGTCTCTTTGTTGTTTTTTTATTCATTTGTTAAAACAAAAATACAATACAAATAAATAAGTCGTGTTTTTTAAACATTCATTTTATTCATTTGTGAAAACAGAAATACAATACAAAAAATAAATCGTGTTTTTCTAATGTTTTGGTGTGTTTCGGTTATTATAATAAAATACGCTCAACTGGAGGTAAACAAGCAACGGAGAATAAATTACGCTAAAATGGAGTTTTACCCTAGATCTAATCTAGATCTAGATCTATACTGTAGGTTGAATTATGGATTTTTTAAAATAAAATATTCTGTTATTTCAAATACACCATTAACTTCCTTACCCCTTAAGAGAACATTTGACACCACATTTAAATATCTAGCTTACTCGGTTGACGAGAAAAGAGAGAATTTGAAAATTAGGTAATCTATCGTTTTAGGTACGTAAAATCGCCCTCGACTAGTAATGTGAAAAACAGGTGACTCCTTACATTTTAATAATTATTTCACATTTTGAGGAGGATTTATGTTTTGAAAAATACAAAAATGTTTCCTTGTTTCATTTATGTACCTGTTTTTAAACAATTGAATTAAAACTTTTCAGTAATAAATGAACACCAGCAATGTTTCCAACAGATGCAACCATGCTCATTTACTATAGCAGCCATCTTGTTAAAGTTTTATTTTTATAGACTTATAGCGCGAGATTCAGGCGGAAGTCACTCTATTTTACAAATGGCTGCTGTTTATATAGCAAATCTTGCTTGCAGACACTGCTGTTTAAAGTTAATTTCTGGCCTATATTGATATATTTAGCCATTGATTTAGGTTTATTATTCATTTATCTATAATATTTGACACAAACATATCACAATATACTTCTATTACAGCCTTGACAATGAGGTAACGTTTTGGTACGGGCGTTTTTATGTACCCAAAATGATAGATTACCAAAAAACCAAATCATCTTGTTAGAAATAAAGGCCAATCTATCGTTTTAGGCTTAAGGTATGTAAAATCGCCCGCGGCTAGTAATGTACAAAACAGTTACCTCATTGTCAAGGCTTTAATAGAAGTATATTGTGATGATGCATCTATTCGGACCCGGGTCCCAATAGCGGCTGTGGCTATTGGGACCCGGGTCCGAATAGCTTCGGCCGCTATTGGGACCAGCCAATAGAATTGTTAATATTTAGTTATACAAAAACTCTTTTAAGATGCAGTATATATAGTTTTTGTTGTGATTTTTTTCCTGATATATTGAGATCTTGCTTTAAATACCCGATACGTTATGGCGAGCGGGTGTCGTTAGGTCTATAATATAATTATTGCCTATGGTATGAACGTCTATGTCGAGCGAATGTTGAGCGAATGTTGAGCGCGCATGTAAAAATGTCATTATTTTTATTTATTTTTTTCTTCTGTTAAACGTAATTTGATCAGAGTTTCTTCCGAACTAGATGGATTTTATATAGTAAACATATATATAGTGTCTGCCCCCCCCCCCCCCAAAAATGTTGACAGACCCCCCCCCCCCCCGAAAATTTCAAGTGCCCCCCCCCCCCCCCCCCCCGGAGAAAAAAGTCTGGAAAAAAACACTGAATTTGATTTCATGGTCTATCCGTCCAAATACAACACACACACATTTATATATATATATATATATATAAATTTTAAATTGTATAAAATAGCTCTATAGGCTGCAGACTACAGCTCTTGACTACGAATATCTCGCATGCGTTGTAGTACGCTTTTAAGCAATATGTAACATTTGAACTCACAATGACCATAAATCCGTTTTTCCCTCTTGCTGGGTTGGGAGGGGGGAAACTACGACGACGACAAATCTCGACCAGCTCACAGCAATGGTCTTGCTATGGCGTATGCTATACGCCTTCACTGTTCACATCCAAACCAATCTGACCTCACAGTGACCCTGGCCAGACCGTGTTGGTATTTTTCTCGTGCTGACGAGAAAACAAATAACATCAGCGGGCGATCACTGGAGCAACAATGTTTATAATTGGCGTTTTTTAAAACCTAAATCTAGAAAAAAAATATATATAATCTATTTTTAAAAAAAAATATTTAAAAAAGACACTTATGCAAACAACTCTATGAAATGTTAAACTTAGATAAATACACTTTACTTCACGCAAAAACAAGAGCTTTAATAGGTTCCGATCCCGTAACTGATCAAGAATCGGGAGGTACTGCGTTCTCCACTCGACCACGACGTCTTACGGTAATAATAATTATTTAATGATTTTTGTATATGCAGCTAAATATAGGGTATTTAGAAATAGCAACACAAGAACTAACGCTACCTAATCCACATAACTAATTACAATAAAAGACAACAAAATACGAGCAAATCCACAAGAAAAATCAAATAAGCATAAAAGGTATAATTTTAATACAGGTTGTACAAGTGCTTAACGAACTTATTGCCGGGTCCCAATAGCGGCCGAGGCTATTAGGACCCGGGTCCCAATAGCGGCCGTGGCTATTGGGACCCGGGTCCGAATAGCCACTTCCATATTGTGATATATTTGTGTCAAATATTATAGATAAATCAATAATAAACTTAAATCAACGGCTAGGCCTAAATATATCAATATAGCAAGAAATTAACTTTAAACAGCAGTGTTTGCGAGCAGGATTTGCTATATAAAAAGCAGCCATCTGTAAGTCTACAATAAAAAAAATAATAAACAAGATGGCTGCTATAGTAAATGAGCATGGTTGCATCTGTTGGAAACATCGCTAGTCTACATTTATTACTGAAAAGTTTTAATTCAGTTGTTTAAAAAACAGGTAAATAAATGAAACAAGGAAACATTTTTGTATTTTTCAAAACATAAATCCTCCTCAAAATGTGAAATAATTATTAAAATTTAAGGAGTCACCTGTTTTTCACATTACTAGTCATGGGCAATTTTACGTACCTAAAACGATAGATTACCCCTTATTTTATATTCTAGTCCGGCTCATTGCTTACCTTAGAATGCCAGAAAAAATCGCAAGATTCGTGGTTATAAATAATGAGAGGATTTGTAGTGGAGCACTCTCTGTAAAAACTGACTAACGGGGAAAACAGCCAGACTAACTCTAAATTAATATATAATTGATATATTTACCTTGTATATTTACAATTTACAGTATTATTGATTACTTTTTCCAAAATCTTACTCGAAGATGAGGCAGACATTTCTATCGGCTATTTTTAGTATTGTGACGTCATTGTTACGCTAGTTACCTGACAGAAACAACAAGTTCAAAAGCATATACTATAAAAAATAGGGCGGAAAATAGATCACATTCTCAAACATCTATTACTCTACTTTTAGGGTCAATTTTCAAAGTAACAAATATTGACATTTTATATATCAGTTTTGTTGCATCTGTATTCTGCCCTAGCTAAGTTCTGTGTTTGAGTAGGGGGTCTAGAAAAACATTAGGCCTATGAGCTAGAGAACTGTCTAAAAATATTTGAAACTATGTTGTTATCTTATAGATCTAGGCCCCTATGTACAATCCTTTAAAATACTTTAAAATATATATATATAATTCTCTTCATGGAGGGACCATGCGCCACATATACGCACACCGCCCAGGCCCCTCCCTTGCTCTCCAGGCAGACCATATCGCTACCACCCCCACCCCACAATTGTAGAGCCGGTTTGAATTAGTGACGGCTATTAGGGGCAGATAATTTAGTTTTTAAACTATTTGAAACTAAGGAGAGGTGGTAACAAGTTCTGCTTGATCTTTTCATTGTCGTCTGTAAACTGTCATCACGGGCGACTGCTTACACTGGGGTGGGAGGAGGGAGGAGAGGAAAGTAATGTTGAGGATAATCGTCCTTCACGAGCTACTGATTGTGTTTAAAGCAAAATATTTTCAGTCGCAGCTTTGGGTAGTGTTGAATTCACAAATTATGAATTACTGAAAAATACTAAATAAAACAACTAAATAGCGGTGTATGCTACATCACGGGTCAGCTTGTATTAATTATTGTTTGCGGATTGTTACAAAGATAATAAAGTCTACTAATAAAATATCTTGAAAAGTAAAGAAATAAATTATAATTCATTTAAAAAATGTGTGGCACCCCTGTAAATGGGTGCTCTCTTATTTCAGTGCTTTGCATAATTTTTATGTCTTGGACAACATACTGCTTTTCTTGTGTGTCTTTCTCACACTACACATATCTATCACACCAAGCAAATCTAATAGCAGATAATTTATACTTACCATCCTACGAAAATACAAGTTAGCCCTGCAATGTCCTTCAGCAACTATCTCTTTTTACCATTAGCCCAGTCACATATATTAATGCCCCATAACAGAGACATCTACACCATCACTCTAATCTTAAGTTTTTTTTTGCTAATATACAAAAATCTGATATGGCTAACTTTAATAGTGCTGATTTCCTTGATTAATATTGATTTTGAGTCCTTGTATATTTATAATACCATGTCAGTTTGTTCAGTTTTGGGATTTTTTCCTCAGGTTCCTTTCAACCTTCACATGAGCTTATGTTAAAGTTTTATAGCTATTATAAACAAGCTACTGAAGGGCCATGCACCTCTGCTAAACCAGGCTTTTGGGATTTAGTCAACAGAAAAAAATGGTTGGTTCTAAATTCATGTTTCACATAGACAAGCAGTTTCATTGTGGGCTATGATAAAATGAAATTCTTAGCAGCAAATAGGTTTTTCATTCTGCATTCTCCTATTCAACTTTTTTTACTTTAGGCTATTCCAACTTGTGTATTTAATACAATAAATCACATTTTTTGTTTTTTGAGCTCAAGAAGTTAGAATATGTATGTTAAAGAAGTCTACAACATACACTAATGGGTTTGAATCATGAACTGAACATGAGACTTTGGGTGCACTCAACCACACTGTCCCAATAAACTCTACAAGTTCTGATTTAATAAAATTCCTATTTTGTAGGGAAGCTTGGTCAAGTTTAGGTAATATGGATGGTGAAAAGGCTATGCTGTTGTACGTGGATGAGTTGAAAAAAGTGAGCATTAATGTCCGGAAAGTTTACTATCCACCACAGGTACTGATAATGGCAAGCCTCAAATTTTGTTTTGGAATGTTATGAAGTTAACAAATCATTTATATTTATGTCAAATTGTATAACTAAATTATGTCACAGGACACATAACTCTCTGGGACCATGAAGTGATTACGCTTAATTTTTCATAATATAGAAGCTACATTTATTTAAATTGTTTGCTGCATTTTACTAATTATGTACTAAAATAGTTTGTGTTTTAAGTTTTTGAAGAAATTGTAAGTCTCATTTTATCTGAATTATAATATTTATAGTTTCCTATTTTTTAACATTTTAAACAAATTATTTATTCTGTCTTTAAGTTTATTTTTTCTGTTCTGTTTTTTTTTTATATACTAACAAGACACATTATTAGGTACTTAAATTCAAGATGCGCTACACTAAATTGCTTTATTGTATTATGTCTAAAAGAAAATGTAATCCTTCTATAAAATCTTCTTTCATTTATTTCCTAAGTTAACCTAGATCTTGCTTATTTTCTTTTACACACAACCCTGATTGCTTATCTACTGCACTATTTTGGCCCTCGACATGTTTGCTTTCTATTTTATCTTTTTTTTTTTTACTTTTAATTATTGCACTTTTTTCTTACATTTAAATTCCTACTTAGTCAGTTCCTAAGAATACTGGTTAAAGTATAGCTAAATGCATTCTAATGAGGCTTGTCATTATTGGTACATTGATTTGTTTTCTTTTTCTATCTTTTAGATGGTATCAATGTTGTTAATCATAGTTAACAATTGTTTCCTACTTAACTATCACACAACTATTGGAAATATACACCATTTGGTTGTATTGTTATCTCTTTAAACTAATAGTAAAAACTTTTTACACTTCTTAATCAATTAAAAAGTTTTTAAGTCCAAATATAAAAACAAGCTTAAAACCTGAAATTCCACTTACCATTTTATGTGATGAAAATGTTGCACAACTTTTGCCTGTCCATATTATTCTCCAACAAAAGTAAAAATCTGACTTATATTCTGCTTCATTTTTTGACAAATTGTATGTGCAATTAAGAGAGCTGCATTAATGATTGCCTTTAAAATGCAGTGACCCTTTTTTTAATGGAAGCCAATACTGTATACTCAACATAATTGTAAAATTTCATATTTCAAGTCAAACTAAAAAACAGATGGTTGTTGTTTTTTCTTTTATATAATGCTGTAAGTTTTACTTTACCTGATGAAAATATACCTACCTTTTTTTAAGCTAAAGCAAAAAAGCAAGCTTTTAAAAGTGAACTAGGCACAAATGACAGTTTGTATTTAAGATTAGAATTCTTAGTCAGTTTTTTATGTCACCATAAGAAAATATGATCATATTTTTTAAAGATATAATGTTTTTGGTAAATTTTTCAACTTATTTTATTTTCTAACAAACTTGACAGATTGTTGAGACTATGCCACAGACCAATGATGTGTCAGAGTTTTTACAAAAGTTGGATAATTTTTATGAAATGGTGGATGAACAGGAAAGCTTCAATGACAATAAACATGTAGAACAAGCTGGCTTGAATGGGTTAATAGCAGTTATGAAAGGTACATGCTCTGTAATGACATTGAGGAAATGTTTATGTCTATGTAATGAAAGCAAAGATTTTGCTAAAAATGATAAATAATCCCTTTATTATTACTGCAGTAGTAATTGCCAAATCTTTATTGTTGAGTAGTTCTGTGTGGTTCAGTAGTAAAGTACTTGACTGCTAACTAAAAGACACAAGCTCAAATAACAGATTTGATTGTCTAGTCCTCCCTGAGTCCACTCACCTCTAATGGGTTCTAGAATTATGTTAGGAAAGTAAAGGCAACTGGGCATAGTGCTGACCACATCATTCCTCCATATGTTATGGTCAAGAAACATGAGCTCTGCTTCATCAGTCTGATAGGGGAACTTTACTTAGTCAAGTACTTAGATTTGCCTAAACTAAGTCATTAAGTAGAAAAAAGTTTTCCAGTTGAAAATATTTGCAACTAGTGAACAAGTTCCCTTTTTGAACCTAACAGTTCATGGGGTAAGTGTAGTAGAGTTCACTTGTTTCTGTGACCTTGGCATGTGAAGTTAGTGTTTAATTTATGTTTAGAAAATTCCAAAATTATTTGAATTTTAATGATTATTTATTTGTATGCACAATGAACAATTTAATATGATTTTATTAGATTATAAAATATATAAAGAAATCTTTCATCCATGTTATCACTTATTTCATTATTTTTAACTTCAATATTTTCCATTATTTTTGTTATAGAAAAAAAAAATTGGGTCATTATCAGAGTGTAGCAAAGAATTTCAATTTTGTTCCTAATACTTAAAATCTGATAACTGCATTTTTCCCTTTAATTTGATGCCTAGTTTAAATACTTATGTTAGTAGCCTAGAAAATGCTTTTTAAAAGAATTATTTTTTTTTAAATGTATGCCTTTAAAAAAACTTTTTTTTTCTTTCCTATGCAACTATTTGGCTCTCCTTGTAGTTTTTTTACAATGGAAGTGTCTTGTTTAATGATTTAGAATATTTTTCCAGTACTATTACACATTTCAAGTGTCTCAGCTGTTATAGCAACATAAATAGGGGTTCAGATAAACAAAAATAAATAAGCTGTGAATTTCTGGTCAAAATATAAATAAATATATATATACAGTAAGTTAGGGATAATTAACTCTCTTTATAAAATGTTTAGATCATGGATAAAGAGTTATCTCTTTATTGAGTTATATCTTTAAGCGTAGGAAAGTCAGACTTTAAAACTACATTGACCACACAGTCTTTATGTTGAAACTACAAAACCACAAATAAAAATGTTCTATTTTTTTATTTGTAGCACTGAGTGTGATATAAATATTACAAATATAATGTAGATCTAAATAATGCAAGGGTGGTAAGTGAACAAATTTTAAAGTGCAAACTTTTTGTTTTATTTTCCTAGATGTGCGTGGAGAAGTTGAGAATTTATGCATAGAATATGATAATCATATTGTAGATAAAAATAATGCAGGAAAAAGTGGAGAATGGGAAGAGCTAGATAATGAGTTGTCTAATACTTCAATTGTTGATGCAAGTGATAGTGAAACTGATGAATTTTGTGATACTTCGGATGAACCACTAGAGGTATTTTACACATCTTATTCAGTGTTATCTTTTTTATGAAAATTAGACTCAAGCATTCTAGTTTCCACAATTCAGCAAAGGTTCATGGACTCTATCTAATCCTTAATCTAATCTTACTCAAACTTACAAGTCAATTATTTTCCTAACTTTTTAGATATTTCTGTTTCATTTCTTTTTCTTAAACCATATTTTTTAATCACATTGTATCTTAAAAATTAGAAAACTTGTGTTTTTTTTTTTAAATATAGAAATATAGATATTTCCATGCATTGAATATAATAATGATATAATATTGAAATTGTTTTCCAGTCGGTTCATCTTGATGACACAGCAGTAGTGGTTGAAACATCCACTCCAGTGGTGAGGAATAAAACTGTTCACTTTGACACAAGGCCAGTTACCTATAAAGATAGTGAGACTGTGATTTGTCAGGAAAATTCAACCAGTTTCTCCCAAGTTCACATTGAAAAAACATCTTCATCTCAACGTTCCAATAACACTAATACTTCTCCAGACCCTTCTCAACATCAACAGGAAGATAAAGTGGTCAACAGGATATTGAGAGAGAGTAAAGAGATGACACGTGGGACAAGAGATGCTGGTAGACACACTCACATTGGTGAGTGGATGCAAATATTTCTTCTCCCCCCCCCCCCCCCCCCCACCCTTTTTATAACACATGCATCCTCTTCTATTTTATCCTTAGTCCACTTGTCTGAAGCTACAAATATTTAATAAGGAAAGTTTTAGGTACTGAGAGCTCGTGGTTCACATATAACCTTTATGGTTTGAGAGACCTACTTAATTTTACATTTACTTGCACCACCTTATAGTTGAAATATTTAAGAGGCTGTTGAAATTTTGCTTATAATCCTTATATTGGGACCAGGTTTTTGTATAATCCTGTCTAATCTGGTGGTTGTAACAAATGTACTACCATGTTTCAGAGCATTTCTTTCAAAAACAGTTTTCATTTTTTCCCTTAAATTTCTAACCAGACATGAGGCAAGCAAATGGTGAGTTGCCAGGGTCATCCACTTACCATAAAAGTCATCAGCCGGTTAAATGTTGTAGTGTAAATGAGAAAATGAGTCTAACTGTGCAAAGACTTCAACAAGATGTCAAAGAAGCTCAAAAGAGAATTCGTCATTTGGAACACAAAGTGGTGGCTAATAAAATGGTACATACATTTGAAAAATAAAAATATTAAAAGAATTAACTGCATAATCTGTATTTTTTATTAAATACTTTTAAGGAATTGTAGTTTTATACTATATTATGTAACTGATATTGAAAAACATTTTTATAATAATACATTTTCAGTGGTGGTGGCCATTTCCAGAGTTATCTGTGAAATCTGCAGTGATTATTCTCTTATGGCCTGTCATCCTACATCTAACTTTGCGATATATTCAGCAAAGGCACAGGTATACCTTGTTTTATTGTTAATTAATATATTTTAAATGTTTATTATTTAGTTATTGCTTTATGGTTTTATATTTTTTAAATTCTTTGCAAAATCACTACTTGTACTTATTGTCTAATAAAATTCATAATACTAAGATATCTCTATTTTGTATTGTTTTAATAAACAAAATTAATTTAGATAGGAAATTACTAATAAATAGTTAATTAATAAGAATGAACTACATTAGACAGGAAATTAGACAGTTGAAAATGAAATATCTGCTTACAGTTCTGTATTTAAAACAAAGGTTTACTTGGAAGTTTATCTTGAATATATTATGAATTAGATTATAGTTTTAAATATTATTTTTTCCCCAGAAAACAATAAGCACTCAGGAAAAAGATTCAAGAAAAATGTACATAACAAATTAGACACCCATGTTGTTATGACAATAAAGCTCCAGTATTTTTATAGTTTTGTAATTTTGTAAAATGTTGACCTTTCTACCTTGTACTGGAAAATGACACTTCTTGTTCTAAAAATACATGAAGTTGTGGCTGTGATAAAAATTTGGTGTAGACAAAAACCACCAAATGAAACTTTGTTAACCTGCTTTGTCTTAACTGGTCCAGTAATTGAGTGTATAGACAATATTCGTGATGTAAGAACTTGAAAGAAGAACCAGCTTGTTTTACTTCAGTAGAGTTCTTGTCATTTTGGTCAGCTAGGGATTTACATTTATTCAAACTTGAACTATTCATCAATCAATGTTTTAAGTTACTAATGGTGTATTTTAAAAAGTTGTATCCATAGCGTGCAAATAGTTTGATCACATTAGCTCAAGTCAAATCCAGTTTAAAATCTGTTAATTGTGGATGATCCAATTGCAATGTCTTTACTCAATGTACTAATTCATGACAGTTGCTGATGATGTAAGTTGCATATATTGTTATATTGTTACATAAAACAACAGTACATTCCCAATGGAGGGTTTTTAATTTGTCAACCCAAGTCATTTTTTGTATTTGTTGACATGCATTTGAAAATTATCCTATTTTTTAATGGCTGAAATTCTTAGTGTCTAATCTTCTTTCTTTATTATTATCAAGACACTGAGATTCAATTATTTTATTAAGTTAATGAATAAATAAATAATCCATTTCAGGGGTTTTATTTTGTTGATATTTTCATTCATCAATAAAATGTTAGTCTAGTAACAAATCCAATGTTTCCATTCACTTGAAAGCACTCTTGAAATCATGTGACCCCTTTTCTATAGCGAGTCACGCATAAAACTAACATCTCTTGATTCATCATTATGAGTTTAACAGCCAATTACATTCAGTCAATTTTTATTTTCAGTGAATTCAATGCCATACTCAAAATACTGTGACAGTAAAATGACAATCCATTATGTTTATAATTATTATATAATAAGCAAGCGATGTTATTCTTATTAGCATAAATACAACACAGTGTAATACACTGTCATCAGCTTTAGGGTTAAAGTTTTATGACAATAAGCTCATTATAATCAGCCATTTGATTAAGCTATTTGTTCACATGCCATTTATGTTTTCTTAATTTGTCATGACATGTAAAATACAGAAAATTACTATGGGCTTTCAAAATTATTTATTTTAAGAATGATTTGTATTCTTCTTAACTGATCTAGGCCATATGAAATTTTTTTCTTTGAATGCTGAAAATTAAAATCTATTTTTAATTTTAAGAACAGAAATTATCCTTTTGTTTTAAAATTGGTGATTTCCCCCCCCCCCCCCCCCCCCAAGAATGCATATCAATGTTATATTTTTATATCAGTGTGTGTGTTGTGTTGTTTAACTGTGGACAGCTTGATATCTTATTATGATGTGCAAATAATGTAACAGAGTAGCTCACAAAATGTAAAGGTAAATGTCTCAGTCAGCCAATTCAAGTGCCATACATGTAATAGAAAATTGTATTTACATTAAAATATTAATGAACTGTTTACCATTATTACCATGTACTTTTTAAATGTATATACATAATTCAATTGCAGACTTTTCTTTATGTGATGGCTATGTTATGGGCTTGTGTTTTCTATTTTGTCAATAAAAGTTGATTAAAACAAAATATTACAATTAAAAGAGCTGAATTTGATTATGTATACTATCGCATAAAATAAGTGAACAGCCTTCAATTTCAGCATTAGTTTGATAAGCAGCTACAAACATTGAATAACCCCTGAATAGAATGTTAATCTTTAGATATAGATAAAACAATGTGCCAGTTGCCCTACCTCTAATGACACTTTAAGTAGGGTTAATGAGGTCATCAAGAAAATTTCTTTTAATAAAAAATAATTTAAACAACATATCAAGACACAGCAGAAAAAAAAAAGCTGGTATTGAATGAATTCAATGATGTGTACCTCGAGTCAACAGTGATGTGTACATCATTGAGACAACAGCTGTGATGTGTACATCATTGAGACAGCAGCTGTGATGTGTACCTCAAGTCAACAGTGATGTGTACATCATTGAGACAACAGCTGTGATGAGTACATCATTGAGACAGCAGCTGTGATGTGTACCCGAAGTCAACAGTGATGTGTACATCATTGAGACAACAGCTGTGATGTATACCTCAAGTCAACAGTGATGTGTACATCAACAACATATCAAGACACAGCAGAAAAAAAAGCTGGTATTGAGTGAATTCAATGATGTGTACCTCGAGTCAACAGTGATGTGTACATCATTGAGACAACAGCTGTGATGTGTACATCATTGAGACAGCAGCTGTGATGTGTACCTCAAGTCAACAGTGATGTGTACATCATTGAGACAACAGGTGTGATGAGTACATCATTGAGACAGCAGCTGTGATGTGTACCTGAAGTCAACAGTGATGTGTACATCATCGAGACAACAGCTGTAATGTGTACATCATTGAGACAACAGCTGTGATGTGTACATCATTTAGACAACAGCTGTGATTTGTAGCTCATTGAGACAACAGCTGTGATGTGTTGCTCATTGAGACAACTGTGATGTGTACATCATTGAGACAACAGCTGTGATGTGTACATCATTGAGACAACAGCTGTGATGTATTGCTCATTAAGACAACAGCTGTGATGTGTACATCATTGAGACAACAGCTGTGATGTGTACCTCAAGTCAATAGTGATGTGTTGCTCATTGAGACAACAGCTGTGATGTGTACCTCAAGTCAATAGTGATGTGTACATCATTGAGACAACAGCTGTGATGTGTTGCTCATTGAGACAACAGCTGTGATGTGTTGCTCATTAAGACAACAGCTGTGATGTGTAGCTCATTGAGACAACAGCTGTGATGTGTTGCTCATTAAGACAACAGCTGTGATGTATTGCTCGTTGAGACAACAGCTGTGATGTGTACATCATTGAGACAACAGCTGTGATGTGTAGCTCATTGAGACAACAGCTGTGATTTGTAGCTCATTGAGACAACAGCTGTGATGTGTACATCATTAAGACAACAGCTGTGATGTGTACATCATTAAGACAACAGCTGTGATGTGTACATCATTGAGACAACAGCTGTGATGTGTACATCATTAAGACAACAGCTGTGATGTGTACATCATTGAGACAACAGCTGTGATGTGTACATCATTGAGACAACAGCTGTGATTTGTACATCATTGAGACAACAGCTGTGATGTGTACATCATTGAGACAACAGCTGTGATGTGTACATCATTGAGACAACAGCTGTGATGTGTACATCATTGAGACAACAGCTGTGATGTGTACATCATTGAGACAACAGCTGTGATGTGTACATCATTGAGACAACAGCTGTGATGTGTACATCATTGAGACAACAGCTGTGATGTGTACATCATTGAGACAACAGCTGTGATGTGTACATCATTGAGACAACAGCTGTGATGTGTACATCATTGAGACAACAGCTGTGATGTGTAGCTCATTGATAGCTGTGTTAGACTAGATCTAGAATTTACACTATTAAATCTATATCTAGCAGTTTTGATGATCTAGAACGCTAGATTTAATCTAGATCCTAGTACTCAAGTAGAGTATTAGACTAGTCTATTATTTTATTGTGCCTAACATTTTTTTAACTGCAAACGGTATAAAAGAACAAAAGTGCTGGCAGAAGATCCACCAAAAATTTTTCTAGAAAGTTGCAACTTCTGCAGTGCTTAGCTAATTGGAAATCAACCTACTGGGGGGCTACAGATGACACAGAGAGTCCTAACAAGAATAAAGCACAGGCTGATCCAATCCAGCAAAGAAATTCTGCCTCTAAGCGAAAACTTACTTATTGGGATGCAGAACATACTTCCCCTGCACAGTTTACATCAAATCTGCCCAAAAGTTTTGCTGCCTTTCATGAAATGCAACACCTCTTTGCTGAACTTGTGTGCCCCTATTGCCATGAGGCTACTTTACAGGTCATGGTAGACAGTAGCAAGTCAGAAGGCTTGGCACTCTGTTGCGTTATCCACTGTACTACGTCATTGGCTAAAATAGATTCCTTTATGTATGATGTCTACCACCAGTTTGTAGCAGGGTGGCTAAATGCTGATATTGGATATGAAGGAGCTGACAGATTTTGTGGTGTAACAGGAATAATACATTTAATTTAATAAGCATACAAATGCCATTTTGAATGCCTCAAAGGTATTCTCCTCTCTACAAAAAAAGAAAAAACAATACAAAAAGTTAGTAGAGGTTCACTGTGCAAATGGCTCAGAGACATTAGATGTGGCAGTCAGTTTTGATGTATCCTGGCAGAAAGAGGCTGCACAAGTAAACATGGAATCAGTGTTTCTTCCAGACTTTTTTCTAGAGGGGTGGGGGTGGGGGTGGGGGCAGTGTTTCTTCCAGACTTCTTTCTCTAAGGGGGGGCACTCAATATTTTCCAGGGGGGGAGGGGAGTGCGGTCAACATTTTTCCGGGGGCGGACACTAGTATTGTAGTAAAAGTGTATGTTTACTATATACATTCCATCTTGTTCGGCGGGTTAGACTCCCCCCCCCCCTCCCCCCCCCCCCCCCAAAGAGATGCCTGGAAGAAACTGTGCATGGAATTGGTGTAGTCATCGAGTTTGAGACAAGACTAGTAGTTAGTAATTGATTACCACATACTATCAGTAAGAATAATTATTTTTGTAAATTGATCTTATAATCATGATCATATTAATTTCATTTTCCTACATATGGGGAATATATTATACTAAATGTTGTTCATTTTCAGACATGTGCAATCACTGGCCAAGACTTGAAAAAAATTCTCCAGACTATGTTAGATGGCTAGCACAAGGAAGACTGCTGCGCTAACCATACCCGGTCAGCTGGGGCAATAGGGGTAGCTGGTGCCAAAGTGCTTTGGGGTGGATCTTCTGAGTGCCCTGAGGTACACTAAACTTATTTGTGATAATGACTCAAAAACTTTGGTGGAGCTGCAGAAATTGTCACCATACAGAAGAAGGAGGAGTGTGTAAACATGTAAACAAGAGACTCTGAGTTTGGTGTCAGATGTGATAAGGTGTGACTGGGTGGCACAAAATCCAGAAGCTCGACACAGGCATGCTTCCAATCAGTTTACTTTTTACAACCTAATCAAAATTGTTTTCCTTTTGCATAGTTAATATTGCTTCAGAGGTTTTTATTCTTTTGCTTCTTTACAGGCTAAGATAGGCTTTCTGCAGCTATATTACAAGAATGCTGTCATCAGCAACAATGTCCAGGAGCTACAAAATAAACTATGGGCATCATACTACCACTGTACATCAACATTAAGCCAACACATGATATGTGTCCTGATGGAGAAAGCTCCTGGTGTTTTTACAAAAAGGCACAAGGAGAGGCTGTCCCAGTCATGAAAAAATAAACCATTTTAAAATAAAGTTGTGGCTCACTACGTGAAGCCAGTGTATGAGTGGCTAACTCACAATAAACTAATGTCTCTGGGTGTGCTGGGTGTGACCCAGATTGAGAGCTTTCACTCAGTAGTTTGGTCACATTACCCTCAGCACATATTTGTAGGCAGTGAAAGTGTAGCTATAGCCACATAGGAGTGTTAGAATTTGTAGGAGTGTTAGAATTTGTCAAGGCCATAGGCTACAGTGTAACTAGGGAAATGGAAAGTCTGGGTGCTAAAAGGGATCAGGGTAGAGTTTGTAGGGCTGTGAAGGGGAAATGACTGAGGTAAAACATAGGAGGGCAAGAGGACTTTAAATATTAGCAGGGAAGAGGGTTTTGTTGTTGCAGAGGGAAATCTTTATTTAGCTGGGGCTGTGGATGATTAGGTTCATTACTTTCTCTTCTCATTTCTATTCTCAGTTTCTCATGTTTTATTAGAAATTATTAATACATCATTTCTATTGATCTTTGAATGTTTTTCACTTTGTAACCCATGAATAAATGAAATTTTTTTTTTTAAATTGTAAATTCACATTTTTATTTCTTTTTTTTTTTTGGTTTTAGGAATGTTTGTAATTTGATGTCTGATTCTTTTTCTGACAGCTTAGCCATTTATACTTTTACAAGTTTTCTTAGTAAATAAACATGTTCACCTTTCTAAAATCAACTTTGAAATAGTTTTTCATGTTTTACGATTTTTCTAACTTTGGAAAACTATACAGTATATTACTCAATAAGAAAAGGTAAAACAGGATTGAAATTTCCAATGATCATTTCACATACATTAATCTAGAGAATGACCGAAGGGATTTTCCTTCTTTTGTTAGTTTCTTTTTAATCTTTTTTTTATTGGTATGGGTTGACTTTTTTTGGTTGCGCCCCAAAGCAGATTTCAGGGAAAAAATTATATATAACATTTTTAAAATAAGATATAAATAAATCCTTAGGTCATTCAGTATAATAGTACAAGTCAAAGCAAACAGTGAAGTTTCAACTTATTCTGTCTTTGGGTCCACAAAATATTTAAGTATAGTTTGTTGCTAAAATTATGTAAATTTAACGCAAGATCATCACCTAATTAATTTTTCTTTTTAAAACGAAGTTTTAAAATGCTATTTGATACTTATGTTAACATATGTACATCTTGCTATACAATTTCTTTATAAAACTTTGTCTGACCTAAGCCAAAAACATTTTTTGGTTATTACTTGGTCGTTATAAAAAAGATGGCATTGAAAATCATCTCTAATTTCTATTCAAACATTGAAAACAAATGTCTTTATTGTGATCACTACAAAAACTTTGAAAGACATACAACATTGTGAAAATGCTTGTTTGATTTTTAATTTTAAGTATGTATTTATAAAATTCATAGCATCATTCTAAGCACCAACACAACATATACTGAGATTCTTTCAGGATTTAGACATTCTTCACCTCACATTGAAAACTGTTTTAAGAAGATGATATAATAAAATACTAGATCATTTATCACAGAAGGTGACTGTCAATACAGAATATTAAAATATTTCTTTGATTCAAAAGATTGACATCATTTTAATTTAAAGCAGGATCTTTCATTTATCATATATTTGTTTCATTTTAAACAATAAAGCGGACTATTTAAATAGCAGTCACCATGATTTTACCAACTAAAGCGTCTTTAAAAATCTGCAAACTTTTAAGCTGTCTTTAGAAATGTAACCATTAAAGATGCACATTTTATTCATTGAACCATTCAAAACAATAAACAAATTTAAGAAAAATATGTATATCTGTATCACAAACAATTAGGTTTATGTCAGTGAGTTAAAAATGTATATAAAATTCATAAAAGTCATTATATTCATAGCATGGAGTTCATAATTCAAAAGGTCCAATCATCTTGCATTGAAACTTCACTCATTTTCCTAGAAAAATCTTCTTCCTCTACCAAAAGAGCTGTGAATACACAAGCAAAATTTTCCTTAAAAAGCTGCCAATTGCAAAATAAAATAAATTTTTAAAAAACAAAAAAAAAGGCTCACCTTTTGGTGCCTTAGCAATGTCACTGAGTGGCGTTACAGGTTGTAACAAAGACGGCAGCACGGACGAGGATTTGTTTTTGATAGCCTTGAACAGTGCATGGCTCAGTAACTGTGTGGCTGAAGGTCTGGTCAAATATTTCACAGCAGTTTTAGATCACATAAAACATTGGCAACAACACATAGTAAACATTTTATTTAGATCACATAAAACATTGGCAACAACACATAGTAAACATTTTATTTAGATCACATAAAACATTGGCAACAACACATTAGCAAACATTTTATTTAGATCACATAAAACATTGGCAACAACACATAGTAAACATTTCATTTAGATCACATAAAACATTGGCAACAACACATAGTAAACATTTTATTTAGATCACATAAAACATTGGCAACAACACATAGTAAACATTTCATTTAGATCACATAAAACATTGGCAACAACACATTAGCAAACATTTTATTTAGATCACTTAAACATTGATTAAACATTTTATTTAGATCACATGAAACATTGGCAACAACACACAAGTGAAGAACTGATAGAACCAATTAATTTGTACTTTGACCACAAGTCATTGTTAGAAAAACCAGTCATATAAAATAGTCTCAAATTACAGCATGTGATTTGAGTAAGTTGTAAGACAAAGCTAAATGAGACAACTTAGGAAGATTACAGCATGTGATTTGTGTAAGACAAAGCTAAATGAGACAGCTTAGGAAAATTAAAAAGAATCTGAAACCTGCAAAGTTGGTCCCTCTCCAGGCAAACAGACACAAAATCATGCAAGTGTGGGGAAAATGTTCTTCTAAAGAAAATGGCATCAGCTTTCTCTTGTGTGGTAGCAGTCTGATCTTCAATATCATCTAGGACAATAGAAAGATAACACATCATAACAATAGACTGAAATGTAAGGTAATCAACCAAGCAAACAGTTTTGATTTTGGAATAAAAGGTTAATTTATAAAGTGTGTAATTATATGTAGGCAGTCTTATAAGTTGAAAAATATTGTTCTGAGCAATAATGAAGTTTTAAAAAGAACTAGGCCATTAGCAACCATTTGTAAACATATCAAGGCAAATGATAGTGTATCAAGGGAGACAAATATTCATAAGACAACTAAAATCCCAGGCTTTAAATAATCTTTGTGAAACTAGTGCCACAACAAGCACCAACCATATATCATTAGTCAGATCAAGCACCACACCAGATGTCATGTGCCAGATCAAGCACCACACCAGATGTCATGTGCCAGATCAAGCACCACACCAGATGTCATCTGTCACATCAAGCACCACACCAGATGTCATCTGTCACATCAAGAACCACACCAGATGTCATGTGCCAGATCAAGCACCACACCAGATGTCATGTGCCAGATCAAGCACCACACCAGATGTCATCTGTCACATCAAGAACCACACCAGATGTCATGTGCCAGATCAAGCACCACACCAGATGTCATGTGCCAGATCAAGCACCACACCAGATGTCATCTGTCACATCAAGAACCACACCAGATGTCATGTGCCAGATCAAGCACTACACTAGATGTCATGTGCCAGATCAAGCACCACACCAGATGTCATGTGCCAGATCAAGCACCACACCAGATGTCATGTGCCAGATCAAGCACCACACCAGATGTCATCTGTCACACCAAGAACCACACCAGATGTCATGTGCCAGATCAAGCACTACACTAGATGTCATGTGCCAGATCAAGCACCACACCAGATGTCATGTGCCAGATCAAGCACCACACCAGATGTCATGTGCCAGATCAAGCACCACACCAGATGTCATCTGTCACACCAAGAACCACACCAGATGTCATGTGCCAGATCAAGCACCACACCAGATGTCATGTGCCAGATCAAGCACCACACCAGATGTCATGTGCCAGATCAAGCACCACACCAGATGTCATGTGCCAGATCAAGCACCACACCAGATGTCATGTGCCAGATCAAGCACCACACCAGATGTCATCTGTCACATCAAGAACCACACCAGATGTCATGTGCCAGATCAAGCACTACACTAGATGTCATGTGCCAGATCAAGCACTACACTAGATGTCAAGTATCAGATCAAAGATCATCCCAGATGTCATGTGCATGGGCTCTCCTGGTTACTAGATTTATTTTTGATAAAGAAGATATTGAATGTCAGTACCATACCGTCATCAATGACAAATTCACCAACAGTCGTAGAATCAGCTAGTTTTGGTTTTGTAGCATTTAACTTTTCTAGCAACATCTGCAATAAAGTTAACACATTGTTTATATTTACTATTAACTAACTGTTAACATTTCATACAAAACTACATATAGAAGTAATATTCATGCCTTTCAAAATAATTGTATTAACAATGACATTTACATCATATTTTACAGTAAGTTTATATTAGGTTAAAATATAATGTACCTGAGTGGCAGACATATCAGAAAATGGAGACTGTCCATTGGCTAGTTCACACGCCAATATTCCCATGCTATAAATATCTGATTTGTAGTTGTAGCCTGCCAAATTCTAAACAAATTTTTTTTTTTAATGAAAAATAATTTCTTGAAACTTGAACTGACTGCATTAATAAAGTTATGAAAGTTGTAATGTCAAACCAAACTTGAGAGTTACAAACCTGTTCTAATAACTCTGGACTGTAACAATGAACACAATCAATGGTGTGCATTGGGAAATCATGTACTTTTCTAAGTCTTTTGCCATTCTGTATTGTGTTAAAACAGTTGTGTAATCCTGACAGACAGACCTGACCATTTTTTGAAATCAGCACATGGCTTGCTTTAATGCCCCTGTCAATATAAAACAACAATTTGGTTAAAAGATTTTATTTTTAAGTAATTTTAGGTAACATTAAAATAAATAAAAACTAACAACACATTTTTAAAATTATTCTAATTCTAAATAGCTGTGTGCTGGACAGAATTTCCAATCTAAATTTAAAGAATATGGCAGACAAGTGCCAGTGAAGTAAAAAATAAAAGAAAGGAAGAGGGGGTGGACGAAACACCAGCAGAAAGACCATCAAACCACTAGACGGGTGCTTGAGTGCAGACCAAAATATCCAGTAGGAAACTATTTGAAAATGAGATAAGGGACGCTGGAATTCATGGCCAGACTTTAAAAAGTGTCCATAAATTGTGTCCATTGCCAGAGTGTCATCTCAGCTCTATCATGCAAGTTTTGTTTATGCACTCATTTTGTGCTGTCCAACAAACAAATAGTAAATGGTATATAAGGGGGGGAGGGGGCGGGGGAAGAAGTATTTGTCTTTTGTAATTGTACAGAAGGAATGTGTTTTGAATTTTAATGCAATCACAAAGTACTTTTTATGTTGAAATGGATTTTGTTACTATTTTTGACATCTGAAAGAAAATGTACCTGTGAATTATTCCTCTATGATGTATATATTCTAAGGCTAGAAGTACGTCTCTTAAAATAAAAACAATAGCTTGCTCTGGTAACCCAGAGTTAAAGTATGCATGGATCAAGTCCTTACATGAGCCTGTGAACAAGAACGCAAGTCAAATCTAAAAATCTAAATGTTAACAAACTTTAGTGTTTATTGCTAAAACAATGACAAATCAAATGGCTTAACTATTCATATTTTAAGTTATCAATTAAAAATGTAATTATCACATTGAAAGAAAAACAAAAACCATTTCAGCACAACATATTTTTAGAAATAATTAGAAATTGAAATGAATTTACCAAATGCCATAAGTGGCATGATACTCCATAACTCTTGTCCAGAAATAAAACTGCAGTGAATGGGCAACAAACAGGGGTGAGAGAGTTGCTGGGTTATGATGATTTCATTCTGGAGGTAAAGTTTACAGTTTCAGCAACACTAGGAGTAGCTATCTAATTTAAAATTAGCTGTTAGGGCATGCCTTAACGCTTTAGCCTAAAGAAAAAAAAGTTTTCAAATTTTCACCAATGAGTTTAATAACTGTGAAGACCAACTAAAATTTCCAGCTCTAAATAAAGTTTAAATTCTGGTCCTTAAATATACCCTATTTAAGTATTATTTGTAATAGCTTGGCCGCTTGTGTACCCTGACCACCCCCAGAGCTATACCAGTGGAAGTGTAAACTCCGACCATGTCCCCAGAGCTATACCAGTAGAAGTATAAACTCCTGGTTGGTTCAACCAAGCTGGGAAGGTATGCATGGGTAGTGGTCAGATAAAAGCTAGTACACTGGCCCTTCAGGTTGAGGGTTGCGCAACGGGGCAGCAACCTTATAGTAAGGTCAGCAACCTTATATCATAAAAAATAACTTGCTACAGAAACAAAGACAGCTCAGACCAGAGAAAGAATGGATCTCCCGATGGAGAATTTATAAATACTGGATACACCTGGGGACAGTTGGAGAGACTAGTCCAGGACAGAGACGCCTGGAAAGCTCTTGTCAGCCGCCTATGTTCCAGGAGGGGCGGCAGACAAACCTAACTAACCTAACTATTCCTAATACATTATTATACCTAAATCTTAAGAAAATCCAGTTTGAAATTGAGTAGCAATGAGCAATAGTTGAAAACTTGCACCAACCTGCAAATATGACAGCTTGTTATCCCATTCTTCTACATTGATTCTTTTCACAGCTACTAAAGACTCTGATGGTTTGTGCTTTGCCAAAGAAATAGTTGAAGCATTAAGATGACCTTTCCCTGTATAAGTTAAAATATTATTATAATGTTACATTTCAGCCAATGCAATTTAGAAAAGCTGGGAAAAAAATTTCCACAAAATTGTAAAGATATGTCTGTTTCAAACATATATTTTTTCTTATAAATACTTCAAATTATTGCAAATTTTAAAATTTAAACAAATTAAGGTATTTGAAGATTATGAATATGACATAAATATGAATGGATGGGGTTAGCAGTGGTTTATCATTCTGTTGTATAAATAACAACTCATATTTCTCTTATGCAAAACATTTTCAATCTCTTTAACTTTAGTGACATTTTCTTTACATCTAAAATCTAACTTTAAAAAAATAGTTGTTTGATTTTCTCATCACAAATATGATATTGTCAAATAGAATTTTGTTATAAGAAAGAAGCTCACCAATGGTTACAATCAATTCATACTGGGCAATGTTAGGGCTGTATATCTTGAATGTCTGGGAACTCATCCTAGCATTGATCTGTCTACTACTGTCTTGCTTCTTTGACTGCTATACAGTGGTGATATTTGGTAAACAACAGCTTGACATGATATCCATATAAATAAAATACTTTAACAATCAAATTCACTGAGTGTTACTTAAAGATTATTAATATACTTTACACACATGTATATTTTATTACCCCCCCCCCCCCATCACAATGATAACTGGAAATACTTTACCTTTTTGGGAACTTCTTTGCTAATCTTGTCAAAAGAATTTGCTTCAAACAGTTTACTTTCCTTTGATGAACAAGCACAATTCTAGAAAAAGTATTCATTAAAGTACAATAAATTGTATGATATGAAACACAGAGTATGCTGAGACCAGAAGACTGGCGATTGATAAAACTCAATTATTTTTAAAACGCAACACAAATATCCTATCTGTTGTCTTGATGTGTGCAAGAGTATTGATAAGTGTACACAAAATATGAGCCACTTTTAGTTATAATTAGAAATCAATTGTAGCATATTCACATCTGGGTCAAGTCATTTGAATTAATCTGAAGTAAGATTTTTGGAAAATAACAAAAAGGTCATTTAAAGATCCTCTCCAGAAAAACTTGTTGCTGAAGCACTGTAAACAAAAGATAAGAAAGTAAGATTGTACACGCTAAAGGAAGTGGGTACAAATAACGACAAACCACAGAACCATTAGTAAAAATGAAATGTTTCCCCTGTACCAATGGAAAGATATGTTTGGTCTTTTTTGTCAACAAGACTTCAAAGAGTGTAATAAGAAATCTAACATTGTTCAGCTTAATAAAAGCTTACTTCTTTTTTACTTTTACAAGTTTGTTTTGAAAAAATCCTCTAAGCTCAATATATAATACTAAGAGGCTTTGAGGAATAAACTGGTAAACATGTTAATTAAATAAGAAAATTTTGCAAAAATAGTTACAAACAAAAAATGTGTATATGCAAGACACTGAATATGTTTGACAATTTTATAAGCTGATATTATTGTTACTCATCTTTTAGACTTTCTTGAATATTCTTATATAACACTACGGGATGGCTACTCGGGATATAGACAATATTTTAAATCCACTTTTAATTACTTAAACTTTTTAAAATAGAATAGAATCTTGTAGAAAAAAGAATTGCACACCAAGTGAACGCCAAATAAAGCGTGTATAATAGTGTGGAATATTATTAGTACTTTATAAATTCACATGCGTTTTTTGTGAAATCGGAAATACCATAAATTACTACTTCTGGTCAACGGAAGTTACTCATAATTTGATAGAAGGCAGAGAATTAGATCTTTTACTTATATGTGAAATTTCATTTATCTATCTGAAATAGTACTCAAGTTATAGGCATTTGACAAATTGAATGTAGAATAAGTTCCACTTCCGGTTATCAGAAATCGCTGTAAAGTTGATACGGATCTACAAATTTGATATAATACTTATATATGAAATTTCATCAACCTAGCTGTAACGGTACTCAAGTTATCATGTTTACAGACAGACAGACACACACACACACACACAGACATACGGACAAGATTGCAAAACTATGTTTTTCCGACTCAGGGAGGTGTAAAACATCAAGATTTCCAAAAATCTTGATTTTTTTTTTGCACGATTACACTACTTTCTCTATATTTGATTTTTTTTTTAAATTTGCAATTCAACACTATTTTCTTGAAAATGGTAGCTACAGTGAGGAATACTAAATTTACTAAATTGTAATCACATCATATCTGCAGACCAATTTTAAGTACAAAACTTGAGGTTGTAAAGATGTTTCTAATCAGTGTCCATTGAACAACTTTTAAAAGCAGCACAGAAATGAATCATCAGCAAATGGGATAATTAATCAATCACAAATATCATTATTGAATGAATATACCTAGGCAGATGAGGCTTGTAAGCTAGGAACAGCAACCCATATAGGAAAAACTGCTGGGTGGACAAAGGCTATGGGAGCAAATCCAGAAAGAAAGCCGGGGGAAGTCAGAACCAATGGCCATATGGCATATAACATGTTGAGATGAAATATTTAATTGTGTTGAATGAAAGTTCCCTTCAATGTTACAATTAAGAACAAAGAAGAATGGGGGAAAAATATAAATAATAAAATGATAATTTAGTATAGCTTTATACAGTTTACATTTCTGCTAAGTTCTTTGCACCTCTCCCACACACTATGCTTGTGCTCCCAAAGAAAGACCTGCCTCCCAAATGGTGACAGTTAAATTGGAAAACTGATATGTTAAATGGTGCCTTAGTATGCCCAAACTTATAAAATAAAAAAAGGAAATGTCACAGAAAAAATAACAAATTAACTAAAACTTATAACAGAATACATGTTAATTAAAATTATAAAAATATTAACCAAAATGTTTTGGTGTTAAAGATATTTTTCAAAATTAAATTTAAAATGTTTAATGATTTAAGAATGTAAATTCCAATCTAAAACTTTACAATATTATAGCTGCATATTAAGTTGAAAAAATGATAATATAATGCAAAATTTAAATAGGTTGGATACCACTTCAGATAACACACCACAATTTAATTTTTAAATAATTTCATAGTAACAAACAAAAATTTACTTTTACTTACCATCTAATCCCTTGAAATCCATTTCAATGCAATAAATTTACAAAAGAAATATGCACACACAGGTTATTTATACTGTTTTGATAATAATAATAATAGTCATTAGGTTTCCTAAACTCAACAAGACAGTAAGTAGATGCTGGAATATGCCAGGAAAAAAAATGGAAGGATAGGAAAAGTTTTAACTAGTAGTACAAAAAAAGAAGTTTTAGCTTAAACATGGGTTATTTTTTTTTAATCATTTTAGTACATTAAGATATAAGTATAGGATACTTACAAAAAGAGACATTGGTTCTTTAGATTTTTCTCTTAAGCTCCTAAGTAAATTCAATTTTACAAACTAGTTTAATGAAGTCTGTAAAAAAAAAAAAAAAATTAAAATTGTAATAATTGAAATTGGCAAACAAATGTGTATTGGTCAGTGGGGCTAGCACAAAAAGAAATTAGTGGGGACAAGGGTTAATAATTTTTTAGAATACACTGATATATAGCATAAACATATTTCAAATACACCATAGTTTCTTTGCAACGGATATAATGGGTTCATCACCATCTTTTCTTTTGGTGTCCAAAATGTAACTGCCAAAGAAAGCTCTTTCCACTTGGCCGGTCTCTAGCAACTTTCTTTGCAGTTCCCTAAGACAGTCTGACTCTTGTCAGTTGTTTTTCTGCTGTGCACCAAAATGACTACCTTGGGCTTCATTGTCTTTTTTTGTTTTTGAGCCGTTTAGTTCAGTACCATTCTTGTAATCCTTAATTTTAATACATGGCCTTCTATTTTCTGTTACTTCTGAAACTTCTCATTATAACCTATAATTGGAGATTGTAGATGCTTTTTAGCCTTTGCAATCATGTTGTTATCAGGGTGCCGACATCTGTGTCACATCAGCATCTGTCATTGTTCCATGGTGGAGAACTCCCCTTTCACTGGTTTAATACATTCTGCTTTGGTTTAGTAGTGTTTTTTTTATTATTAAATAACTTTGCTCAACCTGCAAGACTTGTCTGACATCTACCCGCACAAATTTTCCCATCTTTCTTATCATTCTTGTTAGTGTAGCTCTAGGGGTTGTTGGATACACAAGCTGCCAGTATACTAGGTGGCCTTACTAAATTTTAAATTGAATTCATTGGTGTGTTATTTTAAACTAATTCCATTGCAAAGAATATCAGTCACAAATAAGCTGAACACTAAATTTCAAACCCCAAACTGTTTTAGGGACTAAAATGATTGAGTTACAAAAAAAACTGAATCTTGTTTCATTGCAGATGAAATTTAAGTTAACTCTAAAAGTTATCATATGACAAACCAACCAATAAAATTTTACTCATACAACCTATTTTTTTATGTTCCTTTACTTTCAATGATGTTATATCCACACAGTTTATTAATAATCAACCATATTTTATTTGACTTGATAATACAGTGTAAAATTATAGTTAGAGATTCAGGGGAGGTCACTCTAATTTTCAAAGGGCTGCTGTTTATATAGCAAATTTTGCTTGCAAGCACTGCTGTTTGTATTAAAGCCATAATAATAAGTCACATTTTTACACATTACTAGCCTTGGCTGATTTTACATACCTAAAATCATACTAAAATGATAGATTACCATATTTAATCCATTAGGCACTAATTTTCAAGTTTTTAGTTTGTTTTAAACTAAATTACTTAATTTAATATTTATTGTCACTCACTGCCATGACATGACAAACCTCTCCATGACAACACATGTTATATCACTCTTACATTTGAGGCAAACCACGAATCAGTTTGACTTTTTAGTTGGCTATGCTTTTCTGGCATATAGATCTATAGCCCAGCTGCCACCTATGGTTTGTTTTTATATTGCGAAAACCACCCCGCCATTTTGCTCGTGGTAAACATTTTAAACAGTAATTTTAAGAAGGTCACTGGAACTAAGACGAAAAATCATCAGAAGTCATGCATCCGGTGTGTACGCCATATTATTGTTAGCAATCGGCCACACCTCCGGGTAAGCGAGTAATACTGTTTACTGTTAAGTGTTTAGAACTGTTTAGTAGTTAGGCCAACGTGTTGAGTGTTGTCTTGATGAGACAGGGATAAACACCATAAATACTTAAATACTAGATATAAATAGGCTATTAAAATAGATTCTTAAAAAATATTATATACTTAAGCTTTACACTAGAACTCTTTGCTAGCTATACTACGTGTATAAACCCTCAACCCCTGACGACCAGAAGCGCAACTGCTCGACCACACAGTCCAGATAGTTTTGTCAGAAGAATAAAGCTAAAAGAGTAATTGATCACATTGTGCAGTTAAAAAAGAATAAATTGAGTCTGTTGCGCAGCTATTAATAGTATTTAAATTGAGCCCATTGCACAGAAATTTAGGTCATTGCTTTTTGCATCTTTTCCCGGCCAGATAGCGCTTGGGTGGAAAATCTTTATCCAAAGAGTCACTTCGTTAAATTATAATGGTTTAGACAATCCAAAGAGTAAATAATTATTAATTGGGGTAATTATTCACTATGGGTTTAGTAATTTTACTAATTTAGTTTTACTAGTTATAGATACATGAAATCTGTCAAGGTTAGTAATGTGAAAAAAAGGTGAGTTATTAAATTTTAGTAATTAGGTCTATTTCACATTTTTAGGAAGATTTTAATGTTTTAAAAGTTACAAGAATGTTTCAAAAATTCCACTCATGAACCTGTTTTAAACAATTGAATTAAAACTTTTCAGTAATAAAGAAAGACTAACGATGATTTCATTTACTTTAGCAGCCATCTTGTTTAAGCTTTTTTTTTGGTAAAATTGTAGTTAGAGATTCAGGGGAAACCACTCTAATTTAGAGATGGCCGCTGTTTATGTAGCAAATCTTGCTTGCAAACACTTTAAAGTTAATTTCTGGCCTATATTGCTGTATTTAGCCATTGCTTTTGGTTTATTATTCAGTTATCTATTATATTTGACACAGATAGAGTCTATATCACAATATACTTCTATTTAAGCCATAACAATGAGGCAACTTTTTTCACATTACTAGCCTCGGCCGATTTTACACACCTAAAATGATAGATTACCTTAAATATTAAAGGCCGATGCTAGCCGGAAAAAAGATACGCATGCGCAATGGAGAGAAACTACTACTTGCCAATGCGGCGATGTTTTCGATGGTACTGCGCATGCGTGTGTTTACAACCGCAGAAACCTCAAAAACCTAACCTTAATCCTATCCCTACCCCTAACCGTAATCCTATCCCTAACCCTAATACTAGCCCTAACCCTAGCCATAGGTCACTGCGCATGCGCAGAACTATCTTTTGCCGACTAAGTGGAGACGTTGGGAAGAAAAATCTTTTTCCAAGTAGGCACTTCGAATATTAAATATGGATGTCTATCTATATATATAATTCTCTTCTTGGATACGGTAGAAAACACCAAGCTGTAAGCGCGCCCATCAGCCCCCTCTCTTCCTCTCTAAGCATACCCCTACCACCCCACCATGGTCTGGTGAGATGTGGTTCACGCTACAATCGTAGAGCCGGGTTTAGTGACGGCTAACGGCTATCAGGGGCAGATAATTTGGTTTGAAACGATTTTAAACTTATGGGAGGTAACTAAGAGTAAGCTGCTTTAACAGGGGGGGGGGGGGGGTAGAGTAGGGGTTGGGGTAAAAGGAGGGGGGGGGGGGGGTTATCTTCCTTAACAACCTACTGATAGTGTTTTAAACAATATTCTCAGTGGCAGCATTGGTACTGTCGAATTTACAAATTATGAATTACTGAAAAGTAGAAAATAAAACAACTAAATAGCAGCATATTATACGTTCGTTATTATAATATTATTATTCAGTGATCATGTTTAAATTGAAAATTGAGTAAATTTTAGATTTAGTGAAAAAAATCTAGATTTAGTAAACAGCGATCATGTAGATTAGAAAGAATGTAGATTATTTAGGTAAAATCACGATATACCGTCGTAAATTATCTGGTGATTTTTGTTGAGTTTCGTTAACATTTGTTACCGTAAACAATATTTTATTTCACCTATGAAATAAAAATAAAGTCAAGTGCCTTAAATGCCTTAAATTAATGTTTTAACTTAATTTAAAGTTGAATTGACAGAAAATTAGCAACAATTAGTAAATCTAAATATTTTTAATAAAGCCGAGTGCAATAATAAATGTTTGTTAAGAAACACAGAAAAAAACTTGCAGAATATTTGCGACAACTAGATCTAGATCTAGTACATTTAAACAAGAAGACGATTAGATTAACTAGTTAAAAGTAGTAAGAAGAACTAGAACTATGTTTAGTAGCAGCAATAGTTAGCACATACTTTTAAAATAATTAATTAGAAATACAAAATAAATAGCTAAACAGTATTTAAAATGCAACTAAAATCAATCCATGCAAATTTTTAAACATTATGTATTAAAAATAATATGACGGCAAACAAATGATGGTTTACAGTATTTCTGGTGGTTTCTGGAACGGCCCGACAAACTACGTCATGGTTTTACTGTTTTTTACTGGTGTACGATTCCGGAATAATAAAGGTCGCTATATCGTGATTTTACCATTATTTAAAAGGCTGATGCTAGCCGGAATAAGATACGCATCCGCAATGGAGAGAAACTACGACTTGCCTTTGCGCCGATCTTTTCGATGGTACTGCGCATGCGTGTGTTTACAACCGCAGAACCCTAACACCAACCCTAATCCTATCCCTAACACTATCCCTAACCCTAATCCTACCCCTAACCCTCATTCTAGCCCTAACCCTAGGTCACTGCGCATGCGCAGAGCTATCTTTTGCCAACTAAGTGGAGACGTTGGGGAGAAAAATCTTCTTCCGAGTAGTCACTTCGTATTTAAAAATATTTTGAAGATTTAGAGAAAGAATTAGAATGTGTCAATGTACTTGAATGTACTAAACTAATGTTATGTAGTATGTAGTAATATGTTGATTAATGACAATTAATATTAATGACTAGGCCTAATTATTAATTATAATTAATTTTAGTAATTTAAATCAATAAATGTAGGCCTAGATGAGTAGATGTCACTAGATATGACAAGGAGGAAAAAAAAACAGGTAGTTGAGGTAGGCCTAGGCGGTAAACCTCCAGTTTAGCGTATTTTATTCCCTGCTTCACGTTCACCTCCAGTTGAGCGTATTTTATTATAAACACAACCGAAACACACAAAAACGTCAGGAAAACACTAGATCTACTTATTTTTTTAATGAATGTGATTTTTAATTAGAAAAAAAAAAAACTATCGAATCTCGAGTAATCGTCAGCGGGAGAAAAATCCTTACACGGTCGCAGGTTCACCGTGAGTTCACATTGACATTGAATTATCAGCATACCTCATAGCTCGGGCAATTGCTATTTGAAATTGTGTTGGTCTCAGTTTTGGGGTCATTGTAAGTTCATTAATGTTTATTTGTAGTAAAAATAGTATCATGCCTGGGAGATACTTGTAACAATACAAACTTAACCGCCTTGCAATTGTGAGTTATGTTTACGTACTTCACCCATTGTCATGAAAATTCTGACACACGAACATTGCACATTCAATATTCTAAATTTGGATTTTTCTCAAGTTTTAACTTTAACAAAACTAAATTATTTTAAAATTATCAAAATCTAAAACAAAGACAGTTTCTTTGTTTTTTTAATTCATTTTTATTAATTTGTAAAACAAAAATACAATACAAATAAATGAATCGTGTTTTCCTATGTTTCGGTTGTTATAATAAAATTCGCTCAACTGGAGGTAAACAAGCAGTGGAGAAATAAAATACGCTAAAATGGAGTTTTACCGGCCTAGGCCTAATTATTATACTAGGTCTAAAATATACTTAAATATAGGTAGTAGAGCTATGTTCTTTATCCTAATAATTATTTAATTAACTGATTTTAAACAAAAGAATAAGAATGAAAAGTTGTTATTGTAAAATAGATGTAGGTAGATTAACTAATAACTAGTTTACTAGCATTTCAATTACATTTAATATTTAACATTAGAGCAGCGAAAGGCTTCTGGTGTTGTTTACAAATTTTCTTAACTGGTTTGAATAAATATCGAAACGAACAAAATAGATACTGACGCCCTTTAGATTATTTAATCTAGATCTAGTCAAAATTGTTAAAACAAATTATTTTGAATCCCCAAGTGCTTTTATATTTAATTTATTAATTTTTACTATACTTTTCACTTTTGAGTTTTATATTAGTTATAGGCCTAGTTATAATTCCGAAATAATTCGAATTCGGCGCTTATATATATTATATTATTAATATTATTTATTCAAAATAACCCTTTCTCCATACAATTTGTTACTGATTGACGATTGTTATTTACTGGGCTTTTTTTGTCAGTAGATTCTATATATTTTACTAGGCCTATATATATATATATATATATATATATATATATATATATATATATATATTATTAGGCCTAATATTATTAATAATATTAAAGGAAGTGGCTATTCGGCCTTATAGTGCATCCAATATTAATAGGTATTACTATTATGAGAGATGGGATAGTATTACGACAATGCTTAATTTAAAGCCACGCCAAAGCAAAAATAACTTGTAATAGTACTAAGCAGATCTTCTTCTTCTTCGTTCTTAATTATTAGTGTTGAAGGGGATCGACATTCATCTGCCTGTGGGACTAAGCAGATAATTTACTAAATTTAGGTCTAGATTCTGCAGTGATCAACCTCCCCACCATAAAATTATAAAAAAAAGTAAGATTATGTGACAAATGGTAAATGTCGACATTTAGAGCATTTAAAAAAAAAAGAAATATATTTTTTTATTTAGATAATTTAGATCTATATATTAATTTTAACATGTAATTTGTTCTAAGATATAGTATAAAGAAAAATAGAAAAAATATTGCTATTTATTTTAAAATCGTTTTTAAAAGTGTAAATATTTAGATCTATAACGCAAAAGAGCATTCATGGAAAAATATTTAAGATGGCTGCTTGACAACACAAACAAATAGATACGAAATAGTGAAATACCATAGGTCAGGATTGATGCTGAGTGAGTATGGATCATACACATATTCATAGAATTTATTGTATAGATTATTTAACAATACGAAGTTAACAAATTACATTAGGTAGATTAATTGTCTATTAATGATTTAATATTAATAATGCAAATTCAAAGTAGTACTGAGTACTGCTACTGTACTCAACTGTATTGTAATTATTTAATATTTATTTAGTTATATAGTTAAGTGTACAGTGTAGTGTAGAAGTAGAAGAGTAGAAGTGTAGTTGTTTTTTTTAGTAGTCATGTCAAACATATATTATTAATATTATCATTAGAATGATAGTAATGATAAGTAGTACATACAAGTAGTAGTAGGCCTAATAAAATTAAGTAAGATTAGTAAGTAGTACTAAGTAGTAGTGGTCAGTAGTAGTACTAGTAACTAGCTATAACTAGATCTAGTACTACTAGTAGGCCTAAATAAATATTAGTAAATAAATACAAATAGTGTAAGTGTAAATAACTAAATAGTAAATAGGCGTAATTAATATTTAATATTTTAGTATAGTCGGAGTATAGAGTAGGACAGGCCTACTTACTTTAATTTTAATACTTACTACTGTGTAGTGTCACTAGTCATGACTGGTGAAAGTGTACTACTTAGAGAAGATACTATGTCTACTAGTAGTCTAGTACAAAAATAAGCTATTATTAGCACAATAGCAGGAACCAAATGTTTGTTTTTTGCTCAGTACTCTGTACAAAGTTTTATTAGATCAAGGATAGGATAAATAAAAGATTAGAAAATGTCTTTAAATTCTCTCTAAAAAGTTGTAGTATAATGAAATTCTGATTACATTTTCACAATGTATACTATTGTGTGTGCTTGCCATCCCACAAGCTTAGCCCATCCTGTGTCCAAATATTGTAAGCACAAAACAAAGGTGCAGTTATTCTTTATACCCAGTGGCTAAGCTAGAGTAAGCAAGGCATATGGGCCCAAGGAAAGTAGGGGCCCTTTTCCCTCTTTAAATTTTTAAAAAACTTTTGCATTGGATTATTAATATTTGTATTATTAAAATAATTTTTAAAAGAAAACGGAAATCCAGTTTCTCAGTATTATTAATAACACTATAGGCATTGTTGCATTGTAGGGATAGCCGTTGAGAAAATTAGCCTATAAATAGACTTGAACATTGACTCTTTTGTGAGATTGGCATCCAGCACTCACAAATTAATACGCATCACTAAAAACTCTCTACCCCACTGCCACAAACCTGCACCCCCTCCCCTCTCAACTCTCTGTCTTCACCGAAATTCCATCTATCCATGATTACAATTAAGCTGAAGACAGTGTTTTCACAACAAGCTACATCAAAATTGTGTCAATGTTTTTCTAGTTTTAACCTTAATCACAATTTGTTTGTTGATCTAATTTATCTCTAATCAATATGCCGCTACTTAAAGATTTATGTTTGTCTGTCTCCTTTGTCCTTTACGCATTAATACAAAAATGTTCCAATCGTCAAGAAACATTGGGAAGTCATTTAGAATAATTCAGACAAACCTCTACTGACCGGGAAAATTTCCTACCACAACCCCACACATGAGGAGCAGTGCCTCTCCTGAGTCTCCTCTTGAAGAGAAGCCAGAAAGAAACTTGTTCTACTGCAAAGTTTTCTGCCATTATATTTTTTTTTATTTCATTCGGAGAGCTGCCCGTTGACAATAAGGCAGTTCGGTTTGCCAACCAGAGTTTCCCAGCAACTTTCTTAGCACCTGGGGTCAGTTAGTTGGGTGTCCTGCACAAGGGGTCAGGGTCACTGCTTAATCAAAGGTCAAACTGCACATGTGCATCAGCCGGCGCCCCGGGCTCCCCCTGTTAGCACTACGGCACATACACTTGTGTCACGCCTAAATTGTGAGGCCCCCGACTCGTGAAGCTACTGTGTTAGGTTACTTAAAGGTTACAGGCTAACAGTTAGTTTGTTTTTTCATAAAAGTAATATAAAATCAAAGGTATTTTATGTTACGGGGTACAACATAATAATACCGTATAAATACACAATTAGGACATATAAAATACACAATTTACAGATTAATATAGGGGCCCAATAATAATTTTTGCATAGGGGCCCGAAAATCCTAGATACGCCACTGTTTATGCCCCATGGGTCTAATAATGATCAGATGTGTAAAGCACCACACAATTAATCTTAATTCTTTAGGTACTTGAAATATTGCACTACTCATACAAAACCTTTGTCTCTCATTATAAGTAATTGTATTTTTCTCACATTACTTGTTCCAATATACTTAAAATGTATAAACTAGTGTTTCTGCTGTGCATACAAGGCTATTGTCAATAAGTAAGCCATTTCAAATAACTGAAGGCCATTTCAAATAACTGAAGGCCATTTTAAATAACTGAAGGCCATTTTAAATAACTGAAGGCCATTTTAAATAACTGAAGCCTTCTTAATAAAAATAGAAAATGGAGAAACTCTTCTGTCACTGTTTCTATTAACTGTCCCCTCTTATGATAATATACATCATTGGGACTGCATAGTCTAGCAATCATTCCCTGTGTGAACAGTCCCTCATGTCCAAACCAGGTGGTGCAATGCTATAGTAATATGGGTGACATCAATTCTTAACCCTGTTCTTGTCTGCCTGGACAGTGAACAAAAGCTTGAGCTGGTAATGACCATCTACCAGAGAGAGATAACAGACATCACCTAGAACAGGGCAACTAGAATGAGAATGTCTGTAGTAATCTTAAGTTCAACGGAATGCATAAAATGTTCTTGCACTAACTATTAAGGAGCAGGAAAATTGAAGCTTACTTCTTGATATGTCTTTTTTCCAGCTCTCAAATTATTGTATTAATGTTTGTATTGCACGCAAGCAAGAATTTATCTTTGGAAAGAAATCTAACATACTCTTCAATAACAATACACCTATAAGTAATAATAAATATAGATATTTTTTTCTTTAAAGATTTTCTAAATCTTTTACTTTAATTTTATTACAGTTTTAGTTGTGGATAGGCCATAAAAATGCCTAGTGCAGGTGCACTACCTGCTCCATTTATAACTCCAATCCATAAGGATTGTCAATTACCAGGAAATAAAATTGATGTTTCTACACTTATTGAATTAAGTTCAGGTAAGTTATTTATATCTGTTATCTTTACAGAAAAAGATATATTACCACTAAAATAAATAATTTTAAAAAATACGTCTGATATATAGAATTTTATTTATTGTATTATTTCCTTTTAGCTTTTTCTAAAACAAATAATTTTTTTAACCATATTAAATTTAAATTCATAATCATGGCAGATAGAAAAAGAAAATAAATGTTTCTAAGTGTTTTTTTTTTTTGTTTATTACAGAAACTCCCAATACTAAAATCTACTTCACAACTGACGGTAGTAAACCTCTTCCTTTTAAAAAAAAAATTGGAGGGAAGGAAAGAACATTCAAATATTTTGCCCCTTTTAGTTTAAAACCTGGAAAAAGAACAATAAAAGCTGTGGCTGTTTCTAGGTAAGTTATAAACAGAGTTTTCCTTCAACAAACAAACGCTTTGTGAATTAAAGAAATAAAAAAAGTAATGAAAAAAAAATAATTTTTAGTAGTTGTTGTAGCAATTTCATTATGCCCAAACAGTTTGGGTTTTAACTTATTTTTAATCCTAGTTTTCAGCTAATTAATAAATGTAATTATGTTAATATTTTTTTAGGGATGGACTTTTGGAAAGTGCAGTTGTATCTAAAGACTTAACTGTTGTAGATGCAATAAATTCATCAATGCAGGATGGTTATGATAGTAGTGCAAGTGGAATGACATTGCAATCTTTTTTTGATGATAATTCTGATGCAGATTTTAACTTAAAACCTGGAAAAGTCAATGGTTTTCGCTCTGTGAGTAGCTTCATTTTCTCATTTGTTATAATAAAATGTATTTTAAAGCCCTAAACATTGACATCAAACAAGATTTATTTTCTGAAATGTTTACAGATAATTATTAAACACCAAGCAGTTAATCTTTGATGATTTTATTTTTTAGAAAAAGTCTCCAAAAAAATCAAGGTCAACTTTACCAAAAGAAGCTTGGAGTGGTACTTATTATCAAGATCCCTCAGCAACTGGTGCATCAGAGAGTAAGTTTTTACTTGAAATTTGTTTAATGATTTATCAGTGTTTTAAAATGTTTAAAATAATACATTGCTTTTTATTGAAATAAAAGATATAATTTCAAAGCTGGCTATACATGGGGTAGATAAAGTGAAGTTCATCTGTTACTGTGATCTCAGCATATAAAGGAATAGTGTGGTCAGTACTATACCCAGCATCCTTTACTTTATCTCATGTAAGTCAGGTACTTATTAGAGCTGGGTGGACTCAATGATACCTCAGGATGCAAGACCAGTATGTGAACTTGAAACTTTTGAGTTAGCTACCATCCGACCATGCTACTTCTCCATTGTAATTTTTATGTTAAAAATAATTTTTACAATGTTAGTTTCAGATATCTAATTAAAAATATTCTATTAAAATTATATTTTTCTCTCTTCTTATTACCAAAAAAAACATGTAATTTGTAATATAAATTTGTTGTTTGAAAATTCAAAGCAAATTATATAAAAGCTTTGAGAAAATGTACATTTATATTTATAAAGTAACATTTGTTAAAATTTGCTGTATTCCTTCTAGATCAATACCCGCCTATTCCTGATGGACCATTCAATCCAACAAATTATTCAGGAACTCAAATCAATGTATGGGGAGCGCCACCTGGGTCTTGGCCAGGCATGCATGCTAACAATGGAATGATCACCTTTGGTAATGGCCCACCAGCTCCACCTTATCCTGTACAGTATGGGTTTTTAACAGAGAATATGATACATGTGAGTATCTCATGCCTCAATATCAGTTCACATCAGACTGCTGGTAAACCATTTATTGGTAGATTAATCTCTTACATTTTTAAATTAGGGACTCAAGAAAAAAGAGGAACCAAAAAAACCAGATGGTTTGACCCTGGGAGATATAAGAAAACTGATGGAAGAAGCTAAACCAAAAACACCACCACCTGCTATTGAGTACAAAACAGTTTGGAAGGATCCTCCCTTAAATGCTGTTAGCCCAGGGAATGGTATAACATTTTTCATATTTGTTTTATGTTCTTTTGTAAAAAGAATATTTTTGATAAAAGCAAAAAAAAACAACTTAAAATGATTGTTGTACTTTTTAAGTAGAAACATTTATTCAAGGTGTAATTATTTATTCCAGACGATTTTCAAGGCAATATTCTTCACATATATGCTCATATGCTAGACATGGCTAAAAATAAAGTAAACTTCAAGAAGAATATTGGAGAATTTAAAATGGGAAAGGTTGTCCAAATTTTAATTTTATTTATTTAAGTGTTAGTTAAAACAGCTTTTTCTATTCTAGCCCTTTAAAAAAATTGATTAAATTTTTTTTTTTAAATTGACATAATTGTGTTGACTGCTAAATAAATATAGATAATTAGGTATCTTCTATGTGTTAAGAATTGTGTTTTAAGTAATAATTTCAATATCATTTATCTTGTTATAGATTTTGGAGGCCAAGGTAGAAGATGAAGGCGATGGGTACAAACTTAATATTGTTTTTGAAAAGCCAGGAACACAAAGTAATTAAATAATATACTATTTAATTCTGAATAATGAATTATTATTCATTTTGAAAATTAAAATTTAGTTTTGTAGTACAATGGCCATTAGATTTTTTTTTCTACTAAATTTATGACTAAATAGATTATGTGCTTTAATTTTATTATTTTTATTGTACTGTTACTTGAAAGCTCAGCAGCCACAGCTGAATATGATACTTTTGAAAAAAAAATCTCATTATTTTTACTAATACATTTTTAATAATGATTAAAAATGAGAAGATACATAGCTGTTAAAATGTTTATCAGATTCAACATTTGAGCATTATTTTTTGCTAGGAGGGTTAAACAAAAAATCAGCCAAACCTCCTGTTGTCAAAAAAACACTGCCCAAAGAAGTTAAAGCAGCCACTCCACCCCCATCTCCACCTAAACCTGTAGAGCCACCAAAACCTAAGGATGTACCTAAACCTAAACCAGAGAAAAAAGCTGATCCTTACTATGAAAAAGAAATTGAAAATCTGCCAGTAAGTGTTTCATTAGTATATTACTGCACTAAGTTCACTAGTAACAAAATATTTTTGTTTTGAAAAATAAATATAGATGTTATATAGATGAAGACAACCAACATACAGTTAAAAAGCAGAGGTTTCATTCAATAAACACAATTAATGATAATTAAGTCTGTCAGAATACATTTTAAAATGAACTTAAAAATAGCAAAATTTCTGAAAACTGATCATGAATTTTAATCCATCAAGACTGGAAATCACTGTGTATTCAGTGGTAATTAATTTAAAACAAGAAGCTGCTCAATGGTATATTTTGTACTTCCTTTTTTCAAATAGGCCCACTTGAAATTTTTTCCTTGAGGTTTATGTTTAAAAAATAACAGACAGTTATGTAATTTTCTTTTGACAGTGTGAGGGCACACTAAAGCCTTATGAACCATTTAAAGCTGAAGCAGATGCTGAAACATTGAGAAATGCAATGAAAGGATTAGGTTGGATTTTAAATTACTCTACTGATTATAAATATAGAATAGGCTTGCAGTTTTCTATCTAAGGAGGAATCACATTGTTTAAAAATAATTTTCATTAATAATTCAAATATTATTTTGAGTTCTGTATTTTTATATTTACAAGATTTCAATATTTCCTATTAGATACGTATAAAACATTATTTATATTTATATTAGCATTTGAAAAGTTATATAATAATCATTAGAAAAGCTTAATGTCATTATTGATGAGTTCATACCAGATGTTTTACATATCTAAAGTACAGTATTCAACCAGAAAGTATGGTTACTTATACCTTGCTTCCTACCATTATATTTTAACAATAAACAGATTTCATTTTAAAAAGTTAATTTCAGTTAAGCAATGGCAAAATAAGCCATTGTTTTTTTTAGATTATACAACTAAAATCCATTTCAGTTGTTCTTTAGTCTTCTCTGTACTTTTGTTTCAGGCACAGATGAAAATGCCCTAATTAATATTTTGGCCTACAGGGCAAACCCCCAGAGAGCAGAAATAGTTGCAGCATATAAAACTCTTTTTGGCAAGGTTAGTTTTAATTATACCTATTCATTTTATGTAGTTAAATATGGATTATATATGTAGTTTAATAAACATTGTGTAACCAACATAATTAAGGATTCAACTCAGTACTTTACTCAACACTCAGGACTTAGTTGAAGATATCAAAAGTGAAACAAGTGGCAACTTCTGTGAGGCCTTGAAAGGACTACTCCTGAAACCAGCGGAGTTTGATGCACTAATGCTTAGAAATGCAATGAAGGTCAATTTCATGTTTGTTTTTTTTTGCTTTTGCAATTTTTAAAATGTATTTTAAAATCATAAGCAAGCTTACAGAGTTTGTAATTTATTTGGGACTTCATTATTCAATAGGGCTTGGGAACGGATGAAGATGTTTTAATTGAGATATTATGTACACGTTCAAATGTACAAATTCAAGAAATTAAAAAAGTATACAAAGAAAGTAAGTATAAATTTTGATTCAATCAGACTCATTCATAACCCTGTCCAAACAGACTAACAGATCCTGGTCACATTTGTGTTCTTTGATTTTAAGAAATCCTATAAATGTTTATATTTTTCTCCATTTTAGAATTCAACAAAGATCTTGAAAAGGACATAATAGTGGACACTTCAGGACATTTTAAGAAACTACTCGTGTCGCTGATCCAAGGAAATAGGTCAGACAGTAATGAAGTTGACAGAAACATGGCACATGCAGATGCCAAGGTTACATTTATTATATTTATATTCATCTTTAAAAATCAAGTAGATATTTTTTTAAATGAAAATACATGACTGAATTATGAGATGAAATCAAATAGCTGTATGCAACTATAAAGCACAATTTATGGGACTGTCAGTTCAGTTCAAACAGTTTTATTTATAATTTAACTATAATGTATCAAATTGATATAAAAAGTAAAGTTCCCTTTTCAAACCTGGCGGTCTATAGGGCAAGTGAAGTAGAGTTCACTTGTTTCTGTGACCTCGGCATATGAAGAGATAGTTTGGTCAGCACTATACCCAGCCGCCTTTACTTTCCCTAACATGAGTTAGGTATCCATCAGAGTTGGGTGGACTCTGGGACAATCTGCTGACTTGAACCCGGATTCGATCTTACCGGTTAGCAGTCCAGCTTTGGTTACTTATCTGATGCCAAAGTACCTAATTGATTTTGTTTTGAAAATTTTTAACTTACATTTAAAAACATTATCAAATATTTTTAATATTATTTAAAAATTATTTTATTTTGAAAAAAACCATAGATCTAAATGACAGTGTCTTTGATTATCTAATAACTTTTTATAAAGGATGAGTAACAACTGTGTAGATTTTATTGTCAGAGCTTAGAGACTCAAGTGTAGTTAGATGCTGTCATTTATAGATGATATAGATAAATAATGTTAGTAGATGCTCTTGTTTTGATGCTTACATTTATGTGTTCTTGGATAAAAATCCTCCACCAATTATTGTAGAAAGCTTACGTTTTAAAGAGTTGATAGTTTGAGTTCAGGGACATTAATTTTGGATACTTTATTGAGTTCTCATTTTATATCAATGCAAGTATTTTATTATCATCTGTACATAGGCACTTTTCCAAGCTGGAGAACAAAAATGGGGGACAGATGAATCCCAGTTCAATAAAATTTTGGTGTCACGCAGTTTTCCACAAATACGTGCTACCCTTGAAGAATATTCAAAAATATCAAAGAAAGATATGGAGGAAGTATTGAAAAGTGAATTCTCTGGTGATGTGCTCAGTGGCATGAAATCAATTGGTAAGATTAACATATATATTTTTTAAATGTGTGCAATAGATCTTTTTCTATTGTTGATAACATAAATTAAATTTGTATGCTTAAAAATGTTAATATAAATTTTTTGTTAACACTTTAAAAGTAAACCTAGAATTACATTTTTAGAAATACACTTAAAATGTTTATTAAAATCAATTTATCAAAACATTTGAATACAGTGGCAGCTCGTTTAAAAGCATTCATGGGTTTTATCAAAATAATTTAAAAACACTAGTGAATAGATTTACAAATGTATTAAGTTAAAAATTAAATTGAGGATTGTATTGTATCAATTCACTTTAAATTTAATATAAATAACATTTTTGTTTCAGTTAGGTGTGTGAAAAACAGATTTCAACATTTTGCTAGACAACTCCAGAAGACAGTGTCAGGACTTGGGACTGATGATAGCAGCCTTATTCGAATTATTATCAGTCGCTGTGAGATAGATTTGGTGCAGATTAAAGATGAATTTAAAAAACTTACAGGAAAAACCTTGGAACAGTTTATAGCAGTATGGTTTTAAAATATAGAAATCTCATAATTTGTTTCTGAATTTTAAATTTTTTTTTTAAAAATAAACTTTGTTTTTTATGTAGTGTGAAACAATAACTTAAAAATTGTTGAAAAATAAATTATCAGGAGACTATAGCATACATGTTATTTATAAGTTTTAATGTGTAAAATTAAATCATTTTTTAAAAATATATATTTTAGGATGATATCTCAGGAGACTATCAACGACTGATGCTAGCATTAGCTACTGGTGGACCACCCCCTAAACCTACATGTAATTTTATTTTATCTAATTTTTTCCTAATGTTATTATAACAAGAAAAACTTTGACTCTGCATAAATATGTTTGTTTTTGTTGTTTTCTTAAATTTGAAAACATTACTATTGCTTCAGAAAAAAATAATTTTATCTATACTTTCCACTTCAGCTGGAAAAGCCTTTGTAGAATCTGTAAAATACAAGACAGACGAGCAGCTAGATGAAGAGGTCAAGTTAGAGAATGAACCCAAGAAGGTAAATAATTGTCACTTATTCAGTGCAAATAAAAGTCTGTTGTTGTTTTTAAACAAGGTCTGTTGATGCATCTCAAATTCATTAGTCAAGCCTGATTGCATCTCAAAGTATTGGTAATGAAAAGAATGATCAGTAAAGCTCCATTCTGTGGGAAAGAGCGGTTGTATTGCAACCTCAACTAAAACAATTTTAAAAAATAATGCAATAATTTTACAGGAGGATCCCACACTTTTGCCATATCAGGCTTTTAATCCAGAGCAGGACTGTGCTGTACTGCAAAAAGCAATGAAAGGTTTTGGTAAGTAATTATGTTCATCATACTATAGTTGTAGACAAATTTGAAAAGTGAAACAGATTAAGAAACTCATTTGACTTTAAATAAGGCAGATTAAAAAGTAGGGTTCACCTTCTTCTATTTCTATGACCTCAGCATTTAAAGGGATCATGTGCTCAGTTCTATGCCCAGCTGCCTTTACTTTCCACAATTAGAGTCAGGTAACCATTAGAGCTGGGTGAACTCAAGGAAATTCTACAGACTCAAGTATTCTGAAAATTCAAATAAGCAATAATGTATTTTCACAGTAATGCTTAATTTGTTCAAACATAGTCTATTTTTTGAGTGAATAACTTGTTATAACTGCTTTATAAACGCCAATTTAATTGTAATGCTTATAGGTACAGATGAAAAGGCTATCATAAGTGTATTAGGATACCGGTCAATGGATCAAAGACAAAAAATTGCCCTTACTTACAAGACACAGTTTGGAAAGGTACACTATATCCATAATTAATATCTGTCTTTTTGTATAAATAATGTTATGTTCATTATGGCTAAATTTTGTATTTGACTAAAGCAAAACAATTATGTTAAAGTTTTTAGTGTTTGGATAGAGCATGATATTTTCTCATGAAATAAATACTGAACTAAATAAAAAAACATTTTAATTTTCAAATTCTCCATATGCCTATGATCTATTAAATGTCAACTCACGTGCCTGCAGGATCTAGGAGCTGAACTTTCAAGTGAACTTAGTGGAAATTTTAAAACACTTTGCATAGACATGCTACTAGGTCAAGCTGACTTTGATGCCAAACAGTTGAATAAAGCCATAAAGGTAACTAAAAATTCTGCACTTCATTTATATTAAATATATGTATCTTTTGTACAACAACAGATGTAAACAAAGTGTTTTCTTGGCATCCATTTTGAGATCTCCCTCCATGAAAACCGCCCACTGCCTGTGTGCTAACTGATAAGTGCTGGAAAAAAGGAATAAATATAATAAATAATAATAAATAAATAATAAATAACACACATCATCATTATGATTCAGCTTGGTTATTTGTAAGTTTGGTTAGGTATTAGAGTTGTTTCCCTTTGTTTATTAATCCAATTTAAATGAGTCTTTTTTCATTAACTAGTCTAAGCTTACAAAAGCATGTCATTAGAATTTGTCAACATGGGGGGAGGTGGAAAAAAGTTACATACCTTTTAAAACCTATAAAAGGTTAGTAGGCTACACATTAATAATGGGGGCCCATAGCTGATTGCATCATTGCCATCAGGGGGGGACTGACCCAATTGTCTGCTGGGAAAAATTTCCCAGGTCTTTTGGACACAGCCAGTTCACCCCTGATTGCCATTGTCTACCAAGTAGATTTTTAAAATAAAGATTACTTGTTGAATTGAGTTATATTTATATTATATACTACTTGTTGTGAGTGGTGGTGATGGGGACGTATACCAACAACATTGATTACATACGAAGACAAAGGCCACTTGTATAAATACATATATCTTTTATTTGGACAGTGGCACACGAGCACACAACATGTTGCTTGAGTCAGTCGTCCCCGGGCTTCCAATCCCCTGTCTTATATAGTCTATCCTGGCCAAGGTCAACCTAAGGTGTCAGCCTCGGGTCAGCATCTTGGGGCTGCACACCATGGCCATCGTTGAGCGCTATTAACGGTCTGTCATTTGATAGTCGTGTGTAGCACCTGTCCAGGTCATATTGACCTGTGGGGATCTCCCGCTGCTCCGTCCTGGTCTGTTATTTGATAACTGTGGTACAGTCCGGGTCACAACACTACCCCTGCCTACAATTCACTACCTTTATTCAGATAAATAACATACATAATATAACAATACCATAAGCTGTATAAACAATCACTTTTAAAGCCCTTGTATTAATTTGTTTTAAACTCTCAAGGGTCTTGGAACTGATGAAAATGCACTTGTTGAGATCATATGTACACGTACCAATGCCCAGCTGAATAACATCAAAACCTCATACAAAACAAGTAAGCTATATTATTATTAACTAGTGTGAGCTTTGTACAAACACATTTTCTTTGAAAAAAGACACATAGCACTATGATCTAATATATATATTTGACTTGAGTGAAGTTTAAATAAAATATTAGTTATATCAACACATTAATAAACTAAAACTTGTTGATTTCATGTTCAGTGTTTAACAAAGAGTTAGAAAAGGATATAGCAGGGGATACATCTGGCCATTTCAAGAGATTACTTGTAGGGTGTCTGCAGGCAAATAGACCTGAGGGAACAGAGTTCAATCGTGTTATGGCTAAACAGGATGCTCAGGTGCTTTATCAAATATTTTAATTATCTTTGGGCAGTTTTAAAAAATAGTCTCTATTTTTTTTTCTTAGTTTGTTCTCATGATATTTAAAACATAGCTGCTCTATTTTAATTTCTATAAAATAATTGCTTTCTAAATTGAAGTTTTATGTTAATAGGCTTTGTTGGACGCTGGTGAGAAGAAATGGGGAACTGATGAATCTCGTTTCCATACAATTCTTGTATCTCGAAGTTATGCACAACTGAGAGCTACCTTCCAAGAGTATGCAAAATTAGCCAACAAAGATATAGAAGATAGTATCAAATCAGAAATGAGTGGGGACATAAAGGAAGGCATGTTAGCAATAGGTTAGTCTAACTTGTTGATATTATGTTGATTTTTTAAAATAATTTTTGTAAAATCTGCATTAATATTTATCAATTCCTTTAACCTCAGGAGCATTTGCTTGATTTCTAAGGGTACAAATATTTTTTTTTCAGTTCGAGTGATCAGAAATAAATCTGCATACTTTGCTTCGGAACTGCATCGTTCTATGAAAGGTTTGGGAACAGATGACAATACATTAGTTCGTATTGTTGCTTCTCGGTGTGAAGTTGACATGGTACAAATAAAAGAAGAATTCCAGAAAGCTTATAAGCAGACCCTTGGAATGTTCATTAAAGTGAGAATGTTTGCATTATTCAACAATCATATTATCAACATTAACATTGCTGTAACTATTATTAATCTGATGTCAAACTTAGGATATATTGGACAATTTTGTTGTTAATACTGTGCATTCTCTTGTCTATTTTTAGGATGATACATCCGGTGATTATCGTACAATGCTGTTAACTCTAATTGGAGAACCACCTGCCAAATAATTTTAATTTTACAATCAAAACTTAGTACATAAAGCCAGTAATCATTGTAACCATTAAATACATTTTTAAAATATATTTAAATTTAAGTAAAATAATGTTTTATTGGTACTTTCTATTGTTTAAATTCTGTGATAAATATTGTTACATAATAATATCGGCTATTATTTACATAACTCCAGCTGTCTCACATTGTCCCCCATACTTTCATGTTTTTTAAGATATATCTATGAGAAGTAAACAAAGGTTATTGAGTTAGTTTACTATTTTAATCAATAACATGCTAAAATGTTAACCATTAGCCATAATAAAACCTGCAGAATGATTATTGAACAAGCCCATGAGTCTTTACTAATTTTTTTTAGTTGTCAGCAGCCTAGTAAAATAAATTCTTAAAATTAGAATCAGAAATTTTGATTTTTTTGTTAATCATGTATGGATATAAATAATTAAGATCTTTTACCTTTAACTGTAATAAACAATGTATTAGCTTCTTTAACTTTCTCTTTAAAAACTTCAAAAAATTATTTGTCTTATAAACATTATAAGTTATATTTTACTTTTTTTTTAATGATAGCCAACATATTCTTATTATCTTATAATTAATTATAGATTTATATGTAATACTAGGGTTTGGGAAACATTACACCAATAAACTCCTCTGAATGATTCATTTTTCATATAAATGTACTAGCTTTAATGTTTTATATTTTTAAAATTGTAAATATAGAATTTTTTTTGATGTCTATTTTCAATTTGGTAATTACTGTAATTTTTTATATAACTGTATTACAAAATAATAGGAACTTTTTTGCAATGATAAGTTGTCTTCTTTAATATAAAGGATTCTGTCTTTACATTTCAAAATAAATTTTCTAAAAATATATATTTGTTTCATGCATTTTATCCTGTTTTCTGTCTATAAATTGATTTTTAGAAAAAAAAACAGATTTTATAAGAATGTTGATTATTTGGCCTAGTTCATCTTTTAAAAAAACAAAAAATAACAATATATTACTGTATCTTTCATGCAATCTGCATGGTTAGCCATCGCAGTGTTGCTATAAATTGTCCCCATTTAAAAAATGGTACTATTTTTGCATTACTAAAATAAAAATTTACTCAATATAAAAATTATTACTATAGAGCCAGATCTAAGCCTATAGTTGAGTAAAATGAATTGTTTTAAATATAAAACAATATATATTTCCATCTACCATCACTGCTGTATAGATCTAGAAACAACAATTTCTGATTCAACCTTTGATACATTTTTATTCATCACTATCTTTTCCTTTTTGTGCCCAAGACACATAGGACCTCCACAGAATGCTCCCTCCACTTTTGTTGTTCACCCAGTGCCGGCGCCAGTTTACTTAGCACCCGAGGCAAAACTTATTAAAACGCCCCCCCCCCCATTTTTTTCATATATATATATATATATATATATATATATATATATATATATATATATATATATATATATATTATATATACCTATATGTGGGTGTGTGTATTAGAATATTAATTCTGTTTAGGATCTTGTGGTGCCAACAATTAATTTTGTTTGAAAATCTAAATCTCTCCCAGGCTAACGAGATTTCTAATTCAAAGTGAGAGAAAATAAGACTTAGCCCTATAAAAATTGCACAGGCGCCTATTCAATGGGTGCGGCAAATGCAGAGGCGTAGCGACCCTTCCCGGCGCCCGGGGACAAACTTTTCGATTTGCACCCCCCCCTCAAGATTTCGATTTGCACCCCCCTCAACCTTTCAATTTATTTTTCCAACCCATTTTGGTGCCCCCTTAGGTCGGCGCCCGGGGACATATGTTTCCCCCCCCCCCCGCCCCACCCCTCGCTACGATACTGGGCAAATGCGGTGATAATATTACAAAAAGTTCATTACTGAATCATAGACAGTCAAAATAAAGATAGTTGACTGCTACTTGGCATTATTTAGTTGTTTTCTGCATCAATTTCTTGACACCAAAATAAAAAGGCAAACGGACTGGTAAAAAGTGCCCCGACCTTTCCTGGTGAGGGAGGTTAGGGTGCATTTTCACCAACGCGAGTAACTATAAATATAAGCCTTTGTATATTACCCTAAAGTTTTAAGTTTATATAATGTATCAAAGTTATTCATTATTAGGTACTTTTTATTATTGGAGATTACACATTTTTGCGCCCCCCCCCCCTGTGGATAGCGCCCTAGGCGACCGCCTAGTTCGCCTTATAGGTAGCGCCGGCCCTGCGTTCATCTGCCATTTTCCTGGCAGTCCCCCATAGTCATAGTACTGCCTCTGCAAGCTGCTTCCCCGCAGTGCGCCTCCACTACTCCCTATAATAATCTTTTATTCAGTTCACGATGCCTGTGATTATTTTTTTCTAGGCCTAATTTGTGGCAAATCTTGTTACTCAATTTTAATCCACTTTTAATGCAGCGATTTTGTTCAAACGTTCTTCGGTGACAGTGCAGTGATGTCTAATTTTAACTGTTTTTATCTAATTAGATAAAAAATTAGTCATTTCAATTAAATTTGAAAATTTCTAAATTTAGTAACAAAAAATAAAAGAGATAACATCTATTAACAATTATTCTCTATCAGCCTGGTTAGATTAAACTTAAACGCCAATAAATGGTGAACTGAGGGTCAGAACTGTTGATCTCGTGAGTCGGACAGCTGATGTTAATTCACATCAAAATGTTTTTTAATGCACATTTACTATTTATTGCCAAAAAATTTAAGTTAAAAACAATTACTTTTTCAACGCAAATGGAAAACTTTACCCTAACCCTAACCTTCCTCCCCACACCCACGCCCCTTTCCTTTTTCTTTTTTGTTTTTTTAAAGTGTGACGTGACGTTATTTTTTTTTTTTTTTCAGAAAGCCGCATTAAGACTTTTAGTCCCGATATTAGATTAATGATTAAGTGTTAAGCTAGATCTAAATTAAAACAACTATTGGTTTTATTTTAGCCATCAAAGGAGACGCAGTTGTTTTTTGTTTTTTTTAATTTTAAAATGTCGCTGACTGCCCATCTCAGTGCTTGCCGTGCTGAACTTGGGGGTCAAAGGTTCTCAGAATGAACTTTGAACCCTACACATGTCAAATCAAAATACCAACATTGGGACAACTTAAAATCTAGATCTACAAAATACAAAAGACTACAACTAACTTAAAAATTTTAAAATATGGCAACAGATGGAATTGCAGATTCTGATAGTTTATTTCTTGGTTTTGATTTCAGCACACAGCAAGTAGGCAAATTTTATAATGATAAGTAAAATGAAATAATAATAATATTTTTTATAGTGCCTAAAAAATAAAAATTTAATAATTATTAAATAATAAATTAATAATACAAACTATAAAATTATAATAAAATAGTAGTAGTCTAGTAATAGTAATAATAATACTATTATAAACTATTATTGTCTTATACTATACTATACACTTTAGTCTTAGACCTAGAGATAATATTAATAAATATAAATATATATTATATATTAATATTAAATAATAATATAAACTATTAGAAATATAATAATAGCCTTATATTTTATATATATATATACTTTACTATAAAATAGTTATATAATTTAAATAAATGAAATATTAATATTATAAATCTTTTTATTATAAATGTCCAAAATGACAAATGTAGTGTCTTGTAATATAGTCTGAGACTCAAGTCTCACAAATACTCAGACTCACATTAATCACCAAAGGCAAAGGCCATTAACTGCATGAATAATCTGGTAATAGTGTGAGGTTGATCATATCAGCTCTACACTAAAACGGCACACTTTCTCAACTCATCATACATAGTCATTCTTCAAATGCACAAGTCCTGAGTTCGAACCTCTGGCAGATGAGACTCATTAGTTGGAGACAGAAACCTAACTTAAAATTCAGACCATTTGAGGCTTGTGGCACATAACATGTTGACACATAACACTTACTTGTGTTGGAGGGTAGCCCCTTTAATATTACAGTTAATTACAGTTAAGAACCAACTTCTATGTAGGATTAAGAAATATAACTAATATGTATTTATGCTTACTTGAAGCCTTCCAAGCTTTTCTTCTTCCTTCTTAATTATAATGTTGGATGGGATTTCCTGCAACACAATCAAGTAAGCATTATGTGTCAACCTGTTATGTGCCATATATTATAAGCCATTGATTCCAATTTCAGAGGAAAAACTTTAAGACATACATTATTGTCTAATGTTTTTTAAAAGTTTTTTTTATGTACATTTATTAAAATTTAGGTAAACAGTTCTACTAACATAACTTTTTCAATGAACTGCTTTTAGGTCAAAGTTATAGCTGTCACAGAAACTTTACGTGTTGTCTATGAGAAACATGTGCAATTTGACTCTGATTTACCTGAATTTGGGTAATGTACCATACTTAATTTTCTAAACAATATGATACACATCTGCATAAGATCAACTAATTCAAACTATGTAGTTTAAATCATCTATTTTAAAATTTCTAATTTTTAGATGAGAGTTAATTATATAACAGTCAGTAATAATTACTTTAAACTACAGTATGTATAATATGTCACTATATAATATATAGAAAATTTCAATTTAATTTGTGGTCATTGTTTATAAAATCCAAAAAGTCCTACTGTGTTTACTTGTTACACAATGTAGTCTATTGTTGTGTAACAATCCATCAAACCTGGAAGACAAAGTATTAGTAAAAGCACTATAACAGAAAATGACGTGTATATTAGTCGTGGTTCATTTACTATTTTTATTTTATTTTTTTATACTAAACTGTGAAACCGGAGACTGAGAAATGATTAATACATAATCTTTATCTTCAATAATAATGCCTAACCCAAATCTGTCTCTTACCCCAAAATTAATCCTGAACTCCTTCAGCTTAACCTTTAATTGTACCACCTGTCTCTATTTAAAATATCGCATTTATAAAACTATTCCTCTCTATATAAAGAAGTTCAAAATGTGAGGGATATATATATATATATATATATATATATATATATATATATATATATATATATATATATATATATATATATATATATATATATATATATATATATATATATATATATATATGATAGAATGATGTATAATGAAAAAAAATTGCCAAAAGCCATCCTGTAAAGCACAATACACAATAGTATGTGCAATGGAGAATAGAATTACACATCTATAGGGTTATAACTAATTTTTAAAAAAATGATAGTCACTTTAGAGCAATAAAAATTTAAAAGAGAACATTAGCATGTATAGCTCAGTAATTTTATTTTTAGAAATTTTGAAACATTTTTACTAGGACACATGGTGGTGTGCATGTTCATGAAGATGGTATTACAGTAACTGCTCCCACCAAAATGTGGGTTAGAGCTTTTGATGTTCTGTTAGAAAAAATGAAAGGAGACAATTTTCCATTCCAAAATGTGGTTGCTCTCTCAGGAGCTGGTCAGGTTTGTTTGAATTTGAATTTTAGGGAGATAAAAAAAATTTAAAATGTAAAGATAAAACAATATAACCCTGCCATTTCAGTGTTTTAGAAAATGGTATAAAGTGTGTAGGTTATTTACCTTACTAATTTTTATTCAGTTGCTGTATTTTTGTAAAGTAATATTATAAAAGAAAAGTGTGTGTAGCAAAATATTATAAATAATAAAGTAGGGTACTAATAATTTATTTTCAGCAACATGGGAGTGTGTACTGGAAAAATGGTTCAAGGCAAATTTTGAGGAATGCAAATCCAGATGAATCTTTATTTAATCAGCTTAAGGTAAATATTTATTGCTGTAAAAAAACAACTAATCTTGAACATTTACTCTTAACTGTATGTCTCGGAAAATAAAATATTTATTTTAGATAACATCACAATTGGAAATATTGTGCTAAATAAAGGTGTTACTCAATATGCACAGTTTGTGAAACTTCATAGAAAATGATTAAACATTAAAGTTCACCTCACGAAAAATAATGATTTAAGTTGTATACAACATTTCAAGAGTTATTTACAGTATTTATATAACTACCTTAGTGGAGATATGGTGTGATGTCACCCACTGAGGTGTAGTGTTTTAATGGGCTGATACTGAGAGATAACAAAACCAAAGATGTTTCTTGCTTTTGGATTGCATAGAATAGTACAATTGCAAGTACATAGGTAGATCAAGTACAAGTTTTAAAACAAGTCCTTAAACAAGTCCAAGTACAAGTCCTTAAACAAGTCCAAGTACAAGTCCTTAAACAAGTCCAAGTACAAACCCTTAAACAAGTCCAAGTACAAGTCCTTAAACAAGTCCTTCATTAGGTCGATGCCCATGTTAGCAACAGTCCTGGTCATCAGCAGCCTGGGGTTTGAATGCTGTGGACCCTTTTGCAACTAGCCAGAGTCCCAGAGGTCACATGACATGGGAAAACACTGGGCAACATAGAAGAGCATGCAAAAATAACATTACATCAAAGATTGTAGTCCCACAGGGGCCGCAACCAAATATGGTTTAAGTTATCTCCCCTGACTGGTAACCCAATTTATGTGTTACATATAAATGATCACATAATACTAAACAAACCAAACTTATAAATGGTTTTGTTTGTTTCATTTTTTTGTATACAAAAAGGTCAAAATAGATGTATATTCATTGACATTTTTTGTAAATGCTATAATTCTTAGATCGTATTATCTTTTACTTTCAAGCACTGCTTTAGTGTTGAAGACTCTCCAGTTTGGATGGATTCAAGCACTAGCAGTCAATGTACTTTGTTAGAAGGAAAAATAGGAGGACCACAGGTAGTGACCTTTTTTTTCTCAGTAGAATTATTTGATTACAAGTCTCAATAGCCCACTAATTTTTCAGCTCTTCAGCTGTTTCCCACTCAGTTTCTTCCCCCAACTAAATAGAATTATGTACGAAATATATACTTCAGCTAATGTGTGTTCTCCCCAGGGTGGAGAAAAAAATGTCTGAAATAAGCTCTGTGACCACTAACTGTCTTTTTACTGCTACCAATACCATATCATAATTAACACTTTGAATTAAATCAAGTTTTTCTATGAAAAGTTTAATTATATTGCCTTTTTATAAATTTTTCTAGCTTTTTGCATAATTTAAAATCTATAAATAATTATTGATGCTATTAAAGGTTGTACTTAATTATTTACTTTTAGGCCTTAGCACAAATTACTGGCTCAAAAGCTTATGAAAGATTTACTGGATCTCAAATTATGAAAATATTTCAGACAAGAAGAAATGCTTATGATAATACTGAAGTAAGAGCACTTTAAATTTTTAAATGTTATAGTCATTATATACAACTTAAAAAATGAATGATGAATAAATGGTTTAGGATTTGGAGTCTTTAGGATCTGCTGCCCAAACTAATTTGGTTTAAAATATATTTTTTCAGATAATCTTTGCATAATTTAGACTGTTTTCTTAAAAATTCAATCTTTAATTTTGATCTACATTATCTTCAAATTTACACAGAAAAGTTAAATAAGTTACTATGGAAACTTATAGATCTACTTAAACTTGTCAAAATCATTTTTACTGTTTTAATAAAGTTAATTTAATTAACTATTTAGTCTTTTTTACTTTGTAAAATGACATTTCTTCTAAAAATGTTTAATCAATATTTCTTTTAGAGGATATCTTTAGTAAGTAGTTTCGCAGCAAGTTTATTTATTGGAGATTATGCTGACATTGACTACAGTGATGCCACTGGAATGAACTTACTGGACATTTGGACTAAAGAATGGTCACAATGTTGCCTTGAGGTTTGTTCTTTCAGTTTTATAATGTGGTTATATTATTGTTGAGAAATGGCTATATTTAAACCTTTTTCAGTGTCCTAAGTTGACAAGGGTGCATAAATAGTCATCATAAAGATTGAACAGTGACTATTTTTGTACCTTGTATAGTCAGGGTGTTACAATAACACTTCTTCAGTTACCAAGCCTGTAATATCTCTCTCTAGATAAATTTCATAAATGTTTTACTTCCTAACCTTAAGAATTAGCTTTTTTTTAATACCCAGAATATAACTGGCATATAACAATACATCTAACTAGTTCAAGCGCATACTTCAAACCAATAAAATTGAGGAGTGTAAGGGCCCTACATGTAGTTATATAAAAAATTGCAATGGAAGTAGATATGCTAGAAAGAGTTTATGTAGATTCTATAAAGTTTTAATTTTGGAAACAAAGATGAGATATGTGACCTTTAAAACTATATTATTTGCTTTTCTATTCAGTGTTCGGCATTAATTTATTTGATTGAATATACCTTAGTTTTAGTTTTATTTCTTTATTCTTTTTCAGATATGTGGTATAGATCTAGAAGCAAAACTTGGGTCTCCTATTCCCTCAGCCACATGTATAGTGAGTTAATCAAACATTTAACCTGGATTCAAATTTTTGAATTTTTTTTTGATAACTTGTTAAAAATTTAAATGTATAAAAAATGTCAATTATCATTTTAAACCTAAGTGGTGTTACATTAAAAGAATAATGTGTTGCTTAACATTACATACTTGTGTGGTTTTTTTAAAAATAGTAATTTCTTCCCTTTTGTAGGGGAAAATTTCACAATACTTAATCTCAAGATTTGCCTTCAATCCAGACTGTATTGTTGCAGCCTTTGTTGGTGACAACCCAGGTAAATTTAACAAATCTACCATTTTGATACTTGACAGAACATTTTTGTTATTTTCATTTTATAAATAGATCTTCAAAGACTTATAAATTTTCAGTTTCTTGATCAAGTTTTTGTAATTAAAAAAAAGGTAGTTACTTTTTTTGACCTGTTGGTCAGTAGAGTTGATGAAGTTTGTTCTTGTGACCACGGCATGTGAAGGGCTAGTGTGGTCATTACCATGCCCAGCTGCTTTTCCCTAATGTGGGTCAGGTAAGAGCTAGGTGGACATGAGTCTGAGACCCAACTTTCACTCCACTGCCTAGCCACACCATATCATATATTTATAATTTAATTGGTATTATGCTGCATCTGTCACCTTATTATCAAAGTTTGATGTAACATTTTTATTTTGATAAAACAAAATGATTTGTAGCATCACTTGCTGGGCTAGCACCAGAAGAAGGAGATGTGATTGTAAGTTTTAAGAAATATTTTTTTTTTACTTCTGATAATTTCTAGTTAATTAAAGTTATTGTATTTTAAGTACTAAAGTGTACTCAGAATTGTGGAGAATGGAAATGACTGTCACAATGTAGTTGTTTGAACCTCAATTTGGTATCTATTAATATTAAACATACCTATTCACCCTTGATATTTTAGTTGCAAAGTAATTAATCTACTAAGTGTGCATATGTATTTGTTTAGTCTTTTGGTACTGAGATAATATTAGAAATTAAAACAAAAAACAGATTTAGTACATAAGCTGTGATGTATCCCTAGGTCAGTCTTGGTACAAGTGATACAGTGTTTGTGTGGTTGACCCAACCTGTACCTGGTCTTACTGGACATATTTTTGCCAATCCTCTCAACAGAGATGACTTTATGGCTTTAACATGGTAATTTTAAAAACTAGATACAAACCGAGGATTGAAATATTTTTTATTTTTTTTTGCTGACACAATACCTTTGAGTTTCAACTTTACCAAAAACTAAACTACATAAATAACTTTTTAATAATTTATTACAAAACAATGATTGAAGGCTGAAAACAATCCCATATCTGCTTGTGACACACATTCACTTTGCCTTTCTAAAACTTTCTTTTAACAGAGATGTTACACAAAACAAAATTTGTGTGGTCTACAATACTTAAATATTTCATTACCAATTTGTATCTTAATACTTTAAAATAACTAAATCATATTATAAATTTGATTACATTGATTACACGAATAACTCATGTTAATTGGTCTGGGGATACACATAAATCAGTTATTGTTAAGATAATGAAATTGTATACTCCATATGTATATCATTTATATGTAGAATGTGAAAATAGAAATGCATTAGTAGATAATATAAAGTGTAAGTTTGATGGTTGATAAAGTCACACATAAAAAATGTATATTTCATGTCACTGAAGTTTTAAAAATGGTTCTCTAACAAGAGAGCGAATCAGAGATGAAAGTGCTGGTGGTTCGTGGGAGGTTTTTAGTGAATTGCTCAAGAAAACGCCTCCTGGTAACAATGGAAACTTAGGTAAGAAAATTTTAGTTCACATTTGGGATAGTTTTTTGTGAGAACATATGTTAAATTGAACAGGAGTATGCATTCACTACATAAATGGTTGAAACATTGTGTAAACTTTTATTTTGATTTCATCATTAGGCATTTATTTTGATATGATGGAAATACAACCTCATGCTAAAGGTGTATTCAGGTTTGGTGACCAGGGAAATCTGGTATGTATCAAGTCATGTCTTTCTTTAGTAATTTTTGTCCTAAAGTGTAAAATTAAAAATATCCTTTCAATTTGATTTATAAATTGCCTGAATTTTACGATTACTTAAATAATTACCAAATGATATTATTTAAAGACAAATTGTTAATTTACTTAACTGACAAAAGACATTTTCAAAAATGTCAGTCTTGAACAATAGATTCTAATGTGTTAGGATGTTTGTCTAATCACATGAGGTTACTAATCAAATTCCTGAATACTAAAATGAAATCTTCTTGACACCTTGAGTAAAAATCATCAGTTTTGAGACAGCTGCATCTTTTGCCATCATTTACATACTTGTATTGAACAGGTCGATTCCTTCTCACCTGAGGTAGAGGTAAGAGCTGTGTTGGAAGGTCAATTTGTAGCTCGTAGAGTACATGCTGAAAAAGTTGGCTGTAAATTAGGTACGATTTACCTTTCACATTTAATTACAATCAGAAATGTAATGAAATGTGGGTTACCTTTCTGGTTAACTGCCTGAGTTGTATCAGGCAAAAGATATACCAGTAATCAATCAATATTTGAAAACTTAAGAAATATTAAATTTATACAAATAATTTGTTAGGGAACGGCAGTTTTAACTCTCTTGAAAATCTTACTTTAATTTATCAAGGTAATAAAACAAGAATCATTGCAACCGGTGGAGGATCAAAAAATAAAGACATCTTACAGGTGATTTTAGTGGTGTTCATTTACTTTAGTATATCAAGAATTTGTAAACAAGAGTTTGAAGTGTTTGCTTTAATGGGCAAGTGAATTTAGAATGTTCATGTTACAGGTTCTTGCTGATGTGTTTAACACACCTGTCTATGTTAAAGATGTGCCAAATTCTGCTTGCCTAGGATGTGCAATAAGAGCTAAACATAGTAAGATCCATTTTAGAAATTCTGCATTAACAGATATATCACATAGCTACTACCTCCGGAGGTACAGACTTTATTTTTAGAATTTACTTGCTTCCACTAGCAGACTGTATTAACCAACTTACAATATGTTTTTCTTTAAAAAAATGTAAAAACTAAAGATGACAAAAACATCTAACCTATGTTATTTTTGAAGATAAACTATAGGCTACTAGATCTATACCTATGTGCTATGTTGGTCTTTAAGATAACCTATAGGCTTCTAATTAATTTATAAAGTAATGTTCAGTTGAGTTGCATTTTTTTACATTTTGAAAATACATTATAGATAGTTCAAGGATGCTAACTTACTTTGTGGTTTGGTGGTTGCTGTGAGTCACTTTGATAAAAAAAAAGGCAACAAAACTGTAATACCACATTGTCTTTTTAGCATCATTAGGGGGAGATGTGACATACTCTCAAGTTGCTCATATACCATGTTGTCCTTTTAGCATCATTAGGGGGAGATGTGACATATTCTCAAGTTGCTCATATACCACATTGTCCTTTTAGCATCATTAGGGGGAGATGTGACATACTCTCAAGTTGCTCATATACCATGTTGTCCTTTTAGCATCATTAGGGGGAGATGTGACATATTCTCAAGTTGCTCATATACCACATTGTCCTTTTAGCATCATTAGGGGGAGATGTGACATATTCTCAAGTTGCTCATTTAACTCAGGCACCACTGCTGGTCACTACCCCAGGAAACTGGACTAAGGTAAATCTCTAGCAATTTTCTTAAACTATCATAAATACATTTCTTTCACAAAAATTGTATGACTCTAAAAGTTACCTAATTTATTTAGCAGAAAAATAATATAAAATTCTCACTTCCAGGAATATGAAACTTTGTGTGCCAAGTATCTAGAGTTTGAGAAAACATGTGGAAATTAATTGAAATTAATTGAACAACTTTGGCATGCTAACAGTAGGCCTATATTTAAGGCTTTGAATTGTTTGACTCTCTCATCTTGCCTGTTAAGTTTTGGGAGAGTGTACTTTTGCAATGTTTATAATTTACAAAGTGATTTTTTTTTTCTTTTATCAAGTAATAAAAGTTAATAAAACTTAAATAACTTTTTTTTTATATCACCCTTTTAAATGCACCAAAAATAAAAAAAATAAAACAAACAAACAAGTGTTTGCTAAAATGTGTCAAAATTTCATGATTGACTGAACAGTGCTTTTACTAAAGAAAACTGAAACGGTTTTCACCCTATCTTGTTCTAACACACACAGAAACAGACATAAAGACCAGATTCAGACTGAGAAAGGTGTAAAATGTCAATAGCCCACTTGTCAAAATCTCAACTACAATTTTTGTAGTACAATTTTTTTTGTACAATTTTTTTTGTTAAAACAGTTCTTATACTTTTACTCCTAGAAAGTAAAATGTGCATTATGTTTAATATACTATTGCATATTGCTATATATTGAACCGAATTTGAAAGTAAGTTGACAAATATCTTCAAGTATAAAGCTTAGTTTGATGTTACTTTTAGCCTTTTTAATTTTTTTTTTGCCTTTGACTGAAGCTCAAAGAGGCTCACCAGCTTGGATCTGGTGACAAAAGATAAGGTTCCACCAGTTCTCCTGAACCAGCCAACGTTATAGAGAGTACTTTCTCAATAACATCAATAGCAAGGATAGGCAAAACAATCCCTTTCATTTGACTTAAAAATACATGTGGACATCTATAGAGCTGTTCATAGAATTATTAATTATTTAGGGACTGGAATAGAGACTTTGATGAATAGCAAGAAAATCTTACTAAAATCCCAAATAACGGCCTTAGAAGGTTGTCCTAAATCTGCTAACTTTCAAACTTATAAACGTTTAATTTCGTCACTAGACTGGATCTTACAAAAGATAGGAAGAGTAGGCAACCTATTAAAAAGGTGGAAATTGAACGATACTAACACCTCAAGCAAAGGCTAAAACTTACCAAAGGCAAAGGTTAAGATTTGAAGATGGGCTCATATCTTGCAGGCCAGGAAACAAAGTACATTTGCTACAATTGACAGATTGGTGTCTTGTCCTTTCCTGGTGCTTAACTTGGCATGAAAATATTAAGTTGAAACTTTGCTTTTATTTGATTGATCCTTTAACAATATGTCACTCTCTTGAAACTGGCCAACTTTAATGTCCTGTCAATTCCAACTTCTAACTAGGTTCATATAGCGACAAATTATATTAAGCTACAACTACAAGGCTGTTTTTGAACGCCATAAATACCATTAGGCTATCTTAGTGGTTGTTCATAAACAACGCGACACTACTGGGGAAGGTGGCTCAGACTTTTATGACCTGTGAAGAGCAGATTCAGTAAGTCTGACAACACTTTTGCATTAAAAAAATGTTGGAAACTGAATTTTCACCATTTTTTACAACTATGTTATTTTGTTGTAAATTGCAATTTAAAATATTTTTTAAATAAATAGGTTTTAAAAACAACTTAGCCTACAACACACCCCCACCCCTCTCAAGCTGCTGAGTTGTTACACCATTTTAAGGGAGTTCTGGCTTATCAAGTCACTGGGGAGGGGTAACATGATGTGACCACAGTTGCTTAGCTTAATCCTCATCACTCCCTGTGGAGTATTGGGCAACAACAAATCTCCACCATTCCACTCTGTCTTGGGCGAGCCACTTTAGTTCATGCCAGGTCTTGCCAGCAGCTTGCACTTCTTCTTCCATCTCTCTCCTCCATGTTCCCAGTGGTCTTCCTCTCTTTCGCTTTCCAGACGGCGTCCACCTCAGCGCCATGTTGGGGAGCCTTCTTTTGCTTATCCGTAGGACATGGCCCAGCCATCTCCATCTCCTCATTCAAACTTCTGAAACAAGATCGTTTAATCCTGTCCTTCGCCATATTTCCTTGTTCGGGACTTTGTCGTCCCACTTTATTCTGAGGATGCGTTGGAGGGATCTTCTTTCAAATCCTCTGAGTCGGCTCTCTCCTTTCTTGTTTAGCATAGAGGAGTACAGAACGTACATTAGACTTGTAGATCCTTATTTTGGTTCTCTGCTGCAGTGAGGATGATTTCCAGATCTTAGCGAGTCTGTTGAAAGCTTGTGCTGCCATTGCTATTCTGGTGGCCATTTCTTTCTCCATGCTGCCATTTGCTGATATATAGCTGCCGAGGTACTTAAAGCCTTCGACCTCTTCTAGCTCTGCTCCATTCGCAAAGGTCTTGAGAGCACTTTTGGTTTTTATTTTCATTAGCTTGGTTTTTCCGGAGTTTATCTTTAGCCCAACGCTTAAAGCAATTTGCTCTATTTTTGTGCTTTTTTGCTTGGATGTCTTTTTGGGCATGTGAGAGTAAAGCCAAGTCATCAGCAAAGTCACAGTCCTCTAGGTGGTTGGTAAGTTCCCAAACAATTCCTCTTGGCTTATCCTCAGTGGTCCTTCTCATAATCCAGTCTATTACCACCAAAAAGATGGCAGGTGAGATGACACAGCCCGGTCTGACTCCTGTTTTTACCTTGAACCATTCACTTTGCTGATTTTCATGTCACACACAGCATTGGTTGTCATAGTACATGTCCTTAAGTATGTTTATGACTTTTCCTGGAAAGCCATATAGCTCTAGTATCTTCCATAATGATGGATGGTGGATGCTATCAAATGCTTTCTCGAAATCTATGTAGTTGATGTAGAGAGACGAATTCTACTCCAGGGACTGTTCCACTATAGTGCACAAGACAAATATTTGGTCATTACATGACCTGTTGGCGATCTCATCAATTCCTTTCCTCTTTCTTTGTAATAAGACTGCAGAAGATTTTTCCGGGTACTGATGTGACCACAGTACTGTAGTCTAAACACCAGAAAAAAAAACCTACACATTTTTTCCCCACAAAGAAATTATGCTGAGATTTTCCCTGGCCACCCTTCCCCAAATACCTTAAAACTATTATTTATTGCTATCCACTCCATTATTACAAATTGACTGATAGTTGCCATAAATCCTGTGACACACTTGTTTATTGTTTGTGTATGGTAAAATTATTGTTTATAATTGTTGAATTAAATGAATAAATGTCTTTAATAAAAAATTTAAACAGGAATAAATTAGTTCTTTCTGTCAATTTTTATTTTCCAACAAAAATATTTTATATATAATTTCATTTGTAAATAAAAGTTTGTTTTGAATGAACAAAGCATAACATGTAAATAAAATAATAACTTGCTTGGTTTGATTAGTTGCCCTTCACAGTTTGCTAATTACACCTTCTATATTTTGCTTCAATTCTCTAGAAGAAAAAAAAAATTATACAATACATCACTGACAAATAAAAACTATTGAAATATGGAAAGATGACCAGATTTAAGTTTAAAAATTAAAATGTAAGGCAAATACCTTAAAGCTTCATCATTAGCATCTTTGTCCAAACCAGCAGACTGGATGTTTTCAATGGATCTTCTCAGGGTTTCAACATCACCTGCTTAGAGATAATAATAGATATAATAGACTGCTATAATGTACATTAGAATGATATCCAGCTTTTTCCCACCTACATAAAAAATGTAAATAAACTTTTATTAACCTGACTCCAATAGTGCAATGATGTTGACGACAATAGAGAGTTGATCAATGTCTGATATATCAGTACTGCAATACTCTTGGAAATGCTTGAGAAACATTCTGTAGAGGTAATAAACTAGTATTATCTAACAGGACAAATTTGATTTAATGTTCATGCTTATGCCATTCTCTTATTTTTCATTGAGTGATAACATATTGAGCAAGTTTATTAGCCCATTGGGTAGTAGATAGCTTAATGAGCAATATATGTTCTTTTACTTAATTTCATTATGTGTGCCAAAATGGCTAATTGTATCACAAAATCAAATAATTAAACTGTTGATTAATGTACCTGTGAAACTATTGTTTGGATGTGTTTAGAGAATAATGAAAAATTGAAATAGAAATCTAATGGCAACCTACTTCTTTATTGGTATCCTTTTTTTAAAAAGGGGGATCAAAAACCTAGTGAACCCAGGCTTTTTATCTGTATTTTTGTTCTTTGACATCCAGGCAGTTTCAATTAAGGTAGATGAAAGAATACTAGCCATTACTTTATCCACTGATGACATAAATCTACCTTGTCTGACCAGCTCTAGTATAATATCAATGATGGTACAGCTCCATGATGCAAATGTCTCACTTAATTGGCCCAATGCTTGAAATTCCTCTGAATTTTCTTCAGTTAAACTTTTTGAAAGAGAATTTAAAAATTGACTAACACATAAATGAACAGAGCCATTTAAGCTTTCCTGCACTTCTTGTTTACGGAACAGACAAAACTGGTAGACACATGCTAGTGAATCAGATGTCAGCGTCACAAAGGACAATGGGGATTGCAACAGTGTCTTGCATAGCAGAATAACTTCATCTAGTAGTGGACCTTCACACCCTCCAATCATCAACAGACCCCTGCAAACTTTTAATGTATATTCTATTGTCTGGATACAGTAGTTTTGTTTTTCTTGTGTAGTATTCACGTGAAGAATAGGCACGACACAGCTGTTAGTCCAGGAAACGGCCAGTTGCATTGCTTTGATGCCACCATTAACATTGTTCTCATCATCCATTTGGTTATCTGAGAGATTCAGGTTGTCTTGCTGTGTGTGGGTGCAAGTAAATGCAGCAAGGCGGAGGTAAGTTGCATACAGTTTGACAAGGCCCGCTACCTCACATTCAACTACTGTAGCCGAAGTTAAGAAACTCTGCAGCTTCTGTGTAACAGGACTCATGGAATCCAACAGTAAATAAAGTCCAGCTCTATGTTTACTTAACAACAACAATCTGCAATCAGCCTGGCTCATTAATTTCAATATCAAATCCATAGCCAGATCCAAGGCAATCACAGAATCCTCTTCAGCAGTGAAAGTAACAGTTCTTTTCTTCTTGGGCTTTTTAAAATTCTTATTTAAATCATCTTGATTAACATTCAAAGTGTTCTCCAATGATTCTTTAATCAGTTCAATCACACAGTCTGTTTTCCCCCACAGCACAAGTGTTTTAATGATTGAAGCTGTGTCTAACATCTTTCCTGACTGACAGCCTCTTCGAAGTCTATTGAGCAGGTTCTGGCTGACAAGAGGCAAGGCTTTAGGTGGCAGGTGACCGGCCAGAGCTATCAAGGCTGTGTCTAGATCAGGATCCTGGAAAAAAGAAAAGATGTACAGGTTGAAATGTTTAACCCAATGACTTGAAAACAACACAAACTTTAGAAACTTTTCAAGCATCAAAAGCTATTGCCTTCAACTGGTGCACATTTAAAGTTCATGCAAATATTTAAGAGCCATAAAAAAACTTTAAGAGTAAAAAATAAAATTCTGACTTTAATTTACCTGTGACACTGCCATTAGTTCTCTTACAGTAACACTCAGTTTCTTCGCCAGACTTTCTTTCATTTGTTGGTTTTCAGCTGAGCTGATCTCTTCTGAGATAGAGATGAACATTAAATAAATAGCTTCAACCATTCCACAAAAAACTTGGCTGTCATTGCTCTCCAGACTGGCATCTTCAGTAGAACTATCTTTATCTTTCTCTGACTCTTTGCACTTGTTTGTGCTTTTTGATCGTGTATCTTTTTTTGCCTTTTTATTGCTTGTTGCTTCTTCTTTATCATTAATGTTTTCATTTTCTTCATTTCTACTAGCACTATTGGTTCCTTTAATTTGGCGTGCACTTTCTAAAATATAGCGGCATAATATAACAATGTACTTGACAACATCTTCTAGACTGAAGAATTGAGAAACATGCATGAAAAATTGTCTGGCTGCACCCTGGTTGGTTTTGATCAGAGTAATGCATCTCTCTACTTGTTCAGCTGGTGTGCAATCCACTGGCAAGAAAGAGGGGCCAATTAACTTCATGATTCGTTTTACAACTGGTGCAGTATCAGTTTCAAGTCTGCTTAAAATATGCTCCAGTGATACGACATTCCAAAACTTGATAGCTCTTAGACCTTTGATCTTCAGCAAGATATCAAACATGGCTATCCTCACTTTCTCAGATACATCATGCACAAAGTTGCCAAGTTCTGGAAGGATGGTCTTTAATAGAGGAATGCACAAATGATTGTCACATAGGTGAAGCAGAACCTGTGAAATGTAAACAAGAAACAAAACCATTTTCAGTTATTCATTTTACTTTAGGAAATAGATTGTAATAATTTTCAATTAAAATTTTTACAAAGGGTGAAAATAATTACTACCTTAATGACAGCTTCCCTGATTAGAGGAGATGAACAATCATAAGCAAGATCCTGCACTAAAGTTGTAATAAGACACTGGATAACCTGAATGGAGTAATTATACACATAGTGGTATTTCATATTGCAAAATAAAATAGTTTCACTTAAATTAAGTATTTTGATTTTATAATTTCATTGCATTAAAAAAATAAGCCATCAAACATTTGCTCATTACTACCTGGGCAGGGATTAGTTCCCAATAGATTTTCAGAACCTGACCAACACCTTTGACTGCTATCAGACGAATTTCTGCTACAGGATCTGCTAACAGACTCTTTAAAAAAAAAAAAAAAAAAATACAAGGTACAGGAATCATTTTAGTTAAAACAATTTTATAAATTTTCTCAGTAGCACTTGAGCTGTGAACATCGGTTATTTATGTATGGGGATAAATTTTATAAGTCCCAAAATGCAAGTGGAAAAGAAAATAAAAACCAACTAAAAATATTTTTTTACCATTTGTGCTCTAATAAACTTTCCAATGAACAGATTTAGCAAGATACCTACGTGCATTAAATCAAACTGCCTCTGTAAGGCTGTATCTGCCTGTTCATTGTGTAATGCTGGATCTTGTAGAGGGAAAACATCAAACATAAGAGCTGCAGCATTTGCTCTTACATCACTGTTAGTAACCTTGTTTACACACAAAATGTGGGAATGAAAATCAATTGATTATATTATTTTAGAATAAGAATTAAAATGTGTTGATACAATTAATTAAAACTACTGATTTTAAAAATGAATTTAACTTGCTATATAATTTGTATTTTATAATTTAATAAAGAAAACTAGTCGCTATGATGAAAATGTCTGCATAAATTGGCCAAGTCTCATTTTCATTTATTTACTTATGGCAATTTCAACAACGCATAAATGGAAAAATAATTTTTGCATAAGTGAACTGAAGAAAATGCAGCAGATATACTATTGAAAAACAGAAACCTAAAAAACACCAAAAGGCTGAGCATTACTAAGGAATAAAGATTTTTAAGTTTAGCCATTTAATAATAAACACAGCCCTATTCTTTCTTCTTAATTGTAATGTTGGACGGGATTTCCTACTACACAATTAAGTATTACATGTCAACTTGTTATATGCCAAATAGGCTATTGACTCCATTTTTAGCCAGCTTTTCTTTTTGCATTTGCTTCTAAAGGTGTTAACCATCCTAGAAAAAACTACTGAGTTCTCAATCCTAGATGGGTAACAGTCCTCAGCTATAAAGCCTCATCAGCCCAAGTCTGAACTTTTTGGTTTGGCAACAATGGGCTTTACTTACCCAACCGTAAAGCATTTTAAAAAAAAAAAGGCATTGTCTAGGCTGCAATTTAGATTGATAATTGAGTTGGATTTGAAATTAAAGGTAAAAATTTTTTTTTAGCTTTTTATTATTACTCCTTAAAATAATTAAATTAATTTTTTTTAAATTAAATGTTAAAATCTTAATTTACCAGTAGGGATCTCCAAAGTATAGGTTCATACAACTTAGTTAACATAGCCTCTACACCCCTCTGTGTTTTTTCTTTATGGATGAAACTTAGTACCTAAACAGAATTGAAAAATATTTTTCTTCCTGTTATAAATAAAGTTAAAGAATATGTAGCAAAACGTAATAATACCTTGTTAAAATGTAAAGACAGACACTTTCCTGCTTAAGAGTAAACATTTACCTTGAAAAGAGTGTTGAAAATTGGGCTGTTATGTCCTCTTTGTGAATGCACTGTTCTGTACATCAAGTCTTGAATGCAATACACTTCTATTTTCTGTTACATTTTTTTAAATTAATTCTAAACAATACAGTATTAAAACACTTTATATTATTGTATAGCTTATAAGAAAAATCTAATCCTGTTTAAATTGTAAGCTATACGCCTATAAATAAATATAATAAATGGCAGCTAGAGAAGTATTGTTTTATAGATATTTTTTATTATTTTATTAAGAGCTATTTATATTGAATAGAGGATGTGTTGAATGCTATAGGTACTTCCTGGTGAAAACATCAGTAACAAAATATTTACCTCACGAAAAAGATCAGAAGTTCTTTGCCATGCTCTAAAGTAGATTTCCCCAAACTTTGGGTGCCATGTTCTTTAACATAAAATTTGCATAACATTTTAAAATTAAAAAAACATTGAATTACTGCATTCATTTAATTAATTAACTCCCTTTGCAATCTTGATTAAAAATTGGTTTTTCTAAAAAGTTTGGAAATAGTTTACACCTTACAAGACACGAATACATCATACAGATAATTAACTAACCTTGGAGTATTGGGTAAATGATTCTTGATGCTCTGATGCAATTTCTCTGTGAATTCTAAATTCAGGGTGAACAGAAAGGATAAAAACTTTATTCCCTGAAATACAAAAAAGGCAAACCATGTTTTAAAACAATGTTCAAGCTCAATTCTTTCTACTCATTCAAAAAAAAAAAAACAAGAAGTCATCAAATAAGCCAGTTAATATTTCACTATTAATAGGTTGGGTGGATTTTAAAAAAAGAAAACACTGACTGAAGTAAAATAATAATTACCACTGATGAAGTAACAAACTGAGGGTGATAAATGCACTGCAAAAGTAATGCAGACAAAACAGATGCATTTTCACTACATAAGTCAACAGCTGACAGAACTTGGTGAACTCCATAAACACGAGATACATCAGATTGCTGAATAAAAGAAAATACTTCATTCATGAAATACAAATATTTTAATATTTACCTGGCTATTGAATAATACATTTCTGTCAGCTGAAAGCTGAACTGCCTCTAACCAATGTTCTAAAATTATTAATATTAACAGGTACTGCTTAAGTTTTAAGAAAATTGGCTTATTAATTATTTCCAAATATTTTATTTAATAGTTGGCCTTTTTCTATTTAGTGAAAGTTAAAATATAACAACGATAAAAAACTTACAGTAGACTTGGCATGTGTGCTTTTAGAGAGCAGATAAATAATAGTATTGGCCATTAATTCTTCCCTGCCTGGTATTTGATTTATCCAACACAGCTCGAACAAATGGGACAATTCATCTTTTAGCTTGCTTTCATATTGTGTAAGTGTAGGCAGAATTCCTACAGGAAAGTAAAGAAATGTTTGTACATGTAATAAATTTTAAATATAAAATATTTTCATCGGATTAGGATGAAACTTTGGAAAGAATACCCATGGTGAGGTTTCTATGAAAAAAAAATTTTTTTTGCATGGGTGGAGCCTCAGAAGGGTGCAATTAGGCGTCCAGGGCTTTCCCCGTGATCGCTATTGCGCCTATGTCTGTTTTAGACAGTGCAATAGACTAATCATAAGATGGGATGTTATGGTAATTTAATAAATTGAATCAGGCGTGTTTGCCGGTACCCCAGTAGAGTACAATTTGCTATCCATCGAGCACTATGGCACCTACGTTAGTTTTAAAGAGCACCTTACAATATTGACACAGTGGCATACAACATTCATTAATTCAACTGAGCCAGGAGCCGTATGTGACGCCCCTATGGTAGTGTAATCTGGGACTCCCTGGAGCGCCCCTCTACATCCCTAACACTTGGGCGGTCGCAGAAGAGTGTTCTACCTCAATATAACAGTGAGTGATTAATGTACACTCAAGGCTTTCACACCACACGCCACAGGGCATGCTTGGCGGTTGTGTATGTAAACCTGTGCCCCATAAATATAATCAAAACGCAGGCATTGTTTACATTTAAATAGCTCAGTTTTAGAAAACATGATCACACGTCTAAGGATATAGGATTGGTAACGCATTGATGAAACGCTCCTTATATATTTTGTCAGACTTTTTCAAGATCGACCGGCTCTACGATTGTAAACATTCTTGTGAACCACAGCTTACCAAACTGTTAGGGTGATCGCATCCAGCTAGTTAATAAGTTATTTCCCCTTCTGATATTGAATATAGTAATCTATGATTCAAGTGATTTTATTTGTATCTTCTCTTAGTTTTGAAACCACTTAATTTTCAATGACTAATTAAAAATCTAATTTAATTAAAAATAGATGACATATATTGTCATTGAAGTGGAATGTACCTAGAAAGTTTAAATGAAATCACTGCATTAAAAGTGGATCAAAATGGAGTTAAAAGATTTGCCACAAACCAACAAACAATCAGACATTGCAAACTAAATAAAAGCTTGTAATTGTATGGAATATAGAGAGCGCTTGCAATGTTCAAATAGGTTTACAAAAAAAGTGGTTTTAAATAAATGTTTCTATATGTAACAATGCACAATAAAAGCTATATCCACTCACTGTAACATAGTGAGACAGGTAGGGGTGTGTTTTGAGATTAACCTAAACAAGTACTGGACATTGTAGTTGAAATTTGATTAGCTGAATGTTATTCACTGAACCAGGAGATGAGTTACTACAAAAAAAGCTGATAGTAAGTTGATTAAAATTTTAATGTTTAAAAAGCAATTTTTTTTTTAAAAAACTAAATGTTTCTATTCTTTTAAAGAGATTTTTTTTTCCAGAGAGCAAAGCTGCAATTGTTTTAACAGAACCATAAAATCCATAACCAGTGTGTATAAATCATACAATTACAGAAAAGTAATTATAAGTATGCATCTAGGATATAAAAATTTGAAATTACCATGAAGAATAATAGCTATCTCTTGAAGTGACTGTGGTACTACAAGGTCTTCTTTATTGTTATTTCCATCTTTTCCACTTTGTATCATAGCTTTAATAGTTGATGATGCAAGAACTGTTATGCAATGCATAATTTCATACATTTCATCAAGTTCCTAAGATGTAAAAAAAAAACAAAGCAATGTTACTATAATATTTTACATGGAAACAATTAAAAAAAAAATTGTTGAATTTAGTGAGAATAAATACACTAAATGAAAATGAATAAAACTTACAATTAATTTTTCAAGCACTAATTTTGGAAACTAAAATATTTGAGCAACTTATTATTTGTATCATATATAGGCTTAATGATAACTATAATTGGTGTTATATGTAAAGTCATTTAAAAATGTAAAACTTATTTATACATACAGCTCCATTTGTTTCAAGTTCTTTGTTTAAGAGCCGAGACATGCTGAGATTAAGAACACCATCCCATAATTCATCCAATTGCTTTTTGCTCAGATGTATCAAACTATCGATGAGACTTCCATCTAGAGATAACTGTTTAAAAATAATAATTTTTATTAAATCCACAATTACATTACAGCATTAGTATTTGATATATAGGCCAGGTGCAGTAAATTACCTGCATACATTTGAATTAAAAAAATATCAGTCCTACTAAAATAAGTTTATTTTAGGCCTATGGGCAAGTATTAACTAATAACACTAAATCTAGTAACTTAACAGACAGTGATAGTTGTAGGTTCCTAGAGTAAAGTAAGAAATGCCCTTTCGGACCTGGTAGGTAGGTGAAGTAGAGTTCAACTGTTACAGTTACCTCAGTACCCAGAGCCCTACAAATTCTTAATTGGTTGAAGCTTTAGGCCTACCTGTTGTAATTTTTTTTTTATTTCTGCCTTTGTCCACCTTATGTCAATGGTGTAGCCTGCATCTTTCAAACTTCCGCTACGTACTCACCTTTTCTATTATAATTATAGTTATAGGGTTGTTGCGGAGGAAATGTATGCCTCTCAAGGCTTAGCAAACCCTTTGCATATGGCATATAGGCCTAAGTATTATACAATTCAATATAAGCCTAAATAATACTAAATATCGGATGATATTTCGAGTCGTCCCTTTGAATCCCGGTCAGAACGTCCCCCCCCCCCCCCCCGTCGTGGCCTCAACCAACCGGCGGGCTCGTTGCATTGAGTTAAATATAAACTCAAAACAATAATATAAACAATCTCCTTTCAGTAGGTCAGGCCACATACCAGGCACGCACAGTGTTGTGTGTCGTGCCTAAATTAAAACAAAATATTAAAAAATGTGGTAATCTATCGTTTTGGGTACGTAAAATCGCCCGCGGCTTCTAATGTACGAAAAAGTTACCTCATTGTCAAGGCTTTAATAGATGTATATTTTGATATATTTGTGTCAAATATTATAGATAAATGAATAATAAACCTAAATCAATAGCTAAATATATCAATATAGGCAAGAAATTAACTTTAAACAGCAGTGTTTGCGAGCAGGATTTCATATAGTGGGCTATAGACTATACAGCAGCCATAAACAAGATGGCTGCTAGATCTAGATCTATAGTAAATGAGAATGCTTGCATCTGTTGGAAACATCGCTAGTCTTCATTTATTATTGAAAAGTTTTAATTCAATGGAGGCGAGCGAGTTGACGAGATTCCTTCCATAATGTTGTTGACATGGAATAAAAACGTGCTTTTTAGATTTAGACCGTAAAAAAAAATAAAAAAATAAAAACTTAAGCCTAAAATTAATTTAGAAATTTTATATTTTTAGAATAAATGCTATAAAAGTTGAAAATCCAGAGAACTTGAAAATAATTTGTTGAGTTTAAGGCTACATCTCTATTTATTTTCATCAAGCCTAAGTTATAACCGGATGTATCACTTTCGTAAGACAAATATTGATTGGCTGTACAGTAACTTAGTGATCGATAACTATTTGTTTACAAAACTTTGCAGATCAAGTTTTTAAATAACAATGCAAATTAAAAACCCCATGACCTAGTTTTCTATTTTTAGCTTACAATGTGTACAATAAAATCAATGGCGGCCTATCCAATAGCAGGATGCCATTGTTTATGTCGCCATTACACGTGAAAACCAAATTGTTTTTGCTTTTTTTTTAATTTTTATTTAGTTACCGAAAATATTAGGCCTATAAACATCAAATACATCCAATCTTTAGTAAAGTCCGAAAAAAACCAGACATACAGGATTTTATAACCATATTAATTAATTTTAACTACGCTGTGCAAGATTTTTAAATTAATTCATACACCTCTCAAATACCTTTGAGACTTTTCTCGCTGGTGTCCATTGTTTGAAAACAGGTACATAAATGAAACAAGGAGGGTAAAGGAGGGCGTTAAGAGCCGTGTGGTATTAAGCCCCAATCAACACCCCACCCCCACAAAACCCCCAATAACACTGCTAATCTACTTCTGAGGTAACAACCACTGCTGTTCTTTGATAACAGAGAAGCAGAGGATTCATTTTATGTAATTTATGACCCACTTGGTCCAATAGGGAGAGGATGAGACAAGATTTAATTCCACTGCTCTTTCCCTAAATTTCTCATCTCCATAAAACCATTTTGTGAACTTTTTTTCCAAATAGACATAACTTGGGAAACTTCACTTTGTAATAAACCAAATGAGTTTTTCAAGCCCATTCTTTGTTCCTGTATTAGAGTATTGGTTGTTGTACATTTTAACACTATTTTTATAGCTATGGCTAGAAAAGTTTTATTTTGGTGAATTTTTTTTTGCACAGTGATTATTGGTGCCAAAACAAAATGGCCGACATTAGTCCCATTTTACCATGCTATAAAGTTTTTATCATTATCAGAGTAAAACTTGACTGATCATTACCATAATGGTTTTATTTGTTAGATAATAACTAAATCTATTTGAATACATTCATTTTGTTCACTAGCTTGCCTGTTTAGAAAAGTTATAACAGATACTGTTATGTGGCTCTTGAAACCCTATGTGCAAGTTTCTCATTTATTAGACCACTGAATATGACACTGGTATAGGAATAGTTAACACAAAATGTATTAATTGTTAAACAGACTTGTGTCTAAATGATAGAAATACTATTCTAACCTGCTAAAAAGTAAAAATTCAGTCATCTCATGTTAGCAAGGTAATTTTTAAATGGTATGAGTACTTATTACCCCTAAGGGGCAATACAGCCGACTCAGCCCCCACCTGTTTCTAACCAACCATAAAACTTCTAATCTCTTTGTAGGTAACAGGAATAAATGTTCTTAGGTCTCAGCCAATCTGGGGTGGTATGTTATGTAATTTATGACCCTCATGGTCCAGCATGGAAGTAAACAGACACATTAATACCACTGCTCCCCCTTACAATTTCTTACCCCCATGATACCCAGCCCCCACCAGTTTCTGGCCCACCATAAAACTTCATCTCTTTGTAGGTAACATGGATTACAGTTACAGATCTCAGACAATCTGTGGTGGCATGTTATGTAACATATGACCTTCATGGTCTAGCAGGGTGGAGACCAAAGAGGAATCAGTACCACTGCTCTCCCCTCACAATTTCTCACCTCCATGATCTAACCCACCATTAAACTTCATCTCTTTGTAGGTAACATGGACTAAGTTCTTAGATCTCAGCCAACCAGAGATAGCATCTCCTTATGTAATTTATGGCCCTCAGGGTCCAGCAAGGAGAAAAAAAGGGGAAACCAGTACCACTGCTCTCCCCTCACAATTTCTCACCCCCATGATACCCAGCCCCCACCTGTATCTAACCCACCATAAAACTTATCTCTTTGTAGGTAGCATGGACTTAGTTCTTAGATCTCAGCCAACCAGAGATAGCATCTCCTTATGTAATTTATGGCCCTCAGGGTCCAGCAAGGAGAACAAAGGGGAAACCAGTACCACTGCTCTCCCCTCAACATTTCTCACCTCCATGTCATGTTATGTAATGTATAGCACACATGGCTTATCAGGGGAAAGCATTAAGGCAGATTAGTTAGTACCAACCCTTTTTACATACAAGAATGTTAACTCTGGACAGCTACACACTAGTATACTAGCTACACACTAGGCATACTAATGTGCCTACTGTAAACTACTTGACTTTAGGCCCTATGTACACCTGTAATTGTATCAATTGTAGACTGGGCCCATTGGGGCCTAGTGATAGCTAGTATCAGTTAAAGTGTGTGTACACACCATTAACTATTTTGGGGTTAGAAATTATTTTTATTGAGGAGTTAGTCTAAACTAGGAGATAATGCTTATTGCCCCATTGCCCGGCTCCTTTCACCCCAAATGCTGATTTCGGGGGCATGACAATAAATGTTCAATTAAACCCATTTTAAAGTATATTTAATAGACTTTGTTATTATTTTTATATTGTGTAAGATATGTTAGAATAATTTTGCCATATTTTCAATACTAAAAAATTCTTAGATTAGTAGAAATCTTTAAAAATGTACAGGTGCTAAAAAGTGTGGCTCTTAAAGCCCTCCTTTACCCGAAACATTTTTGTATTTTTCAAAACATAAATCCTCCTCAAAATGTGAAATAATTTTAATTTAAGGAGTCACCTGTCTTTCACATCACTAGTCGCTGGCGATTTTACGTACCCAAAACGATAGATTACCAAAAATTAAAAATGTCTCACTCAAGGCTCAGTCTCACTGACTCGCACTGACACACTCTACTCAGCTACTGAGCTCTGAATTCGGTTGGAGTTTTTCTCTTGACTTGTCACTCTCGCATTTTCCAAGTCAGAAATTAATTAATTTTTGTAATTTATCTAGAAATATAATATAGTAGTCCTATAATTATAATATAAATATTAGATAGATCTTTGGGTAAAATCTTAGTTTAGCGTCGTAAATTCGGCCAAAACTAGTAATGTAGGAGAGAGTGAATTAATGAATATGTCATGAAATATGAGTATATTTTCGTATATTTTGATAAAGTATTATAGATAATTGAATAATAGATCACCATTGATGGTTAAATCAATTTAAATATCCTGAAATTAATTTTTATCAACCCTGTTCGAGATAGTAAATTTGCTATTAAAAACAGCAGCCATCTTAAGAAAATGTTATTGAGAGTAGCTTCCCTTTCATTTCTATTCATATGAAAATGTATTTAAATATGATCGTCTTGTTGTATAGTCCATATTACAAAGCATTTTTTTTTAAAATGTGAATTTTCTAACAAACAACTTTATTAATTCTAGAAGCATTGTGAGATGCAACTTGTATCCAAGTATTAAATCACGTTTTTTTTAAAACTAATGTTTATTTGATCTTACTATTACTAAATAGTTGTGAGTTTTTTCTTATTGTTTTAATGTTCACTATTTTCATTTCAGTTTCAGCTTTTTCTTTTCATCAATAATAATTATTAGTAATTCTATCGTAACTTATGACATTTTTTTTTACTTCTCTTTACCTTAATTAAACCCCAACCTCCGTCATATTTTTGTCGTCAATGTCACATCAAGTCATAATGTA